GAGAATGGAAATTTATGCGTGTCAGACTTTTTCCTTTTCGCTTTTCTCACAAAAAAAGAAAACACACATAAAAAGTGTCATGGAAATTTTGCGGCGAAAGTTTATTGAACTTTGCGCGTTTGTCGAGCAAATTTGGTTAGACAAATAAACGTGATAAAAAAAATGTTTTCTTTTTGAAATATTCCATATTAAGCAAGCTGTACTTTATATAATATATATTTATACAAAATGCAAATCTGATTGTTGATTGCACTGCGGGGAGAATTATCTTGGGTTTAATGGGCACACATTAAACGAGAACCTCTAGAACCATAAGACCATCAGCCATAAAAATTCATTTTACGAGCGCTAAATACGAACGAAATTATGCGAAATTCTCAGTACATTAAACAGGAGCATACTGGTCAAGGAAAGAAATGCAAAAGGATCGGAAAAATGGGGGAAAAGGACGCCCAGTTTAAGTGACCTTCTCCAAGGAAAGCCGAGGCTTTTTCGTTTTTTTTCACTTCACTTTTGTTTTTGCGTGCGCCAGGCGGCCAAAGAACAAAGGAAATCAGTGAAACACGAGAGGCTGAAGGAAATTCCGTTTCCAAGGGGAAAATTCTCCGCCACATTTGGTTTTTCCTGCGCCAAAAAAAAGCAAAACTAGAGATACATATAGTCTGATCTCATGAACAAAAGCATAATTGAACCGAGAATAACAACAGGAGTGGGGGTACAGTTACAGTTTTGCGTAACGGGACGGTTTTCCGAGTTTTCCGTGGGTGGAAAACGGAAAGCTGAAAGCAAAAGCAAATTGAGTGGGTCAGCAAATTGAGAAGCATTTCAAGTTCAGTCTCTGTAAATTTTTCTCTTTTGATTCATTAAAATTGCACAAAAACACACTTTTCACCGTATTTTCCTGGCGAAACGAGATATTTTTTTGTTTCTGTTTACACAAGGCTTGATTTAATTGAACATGGTACCGATAATTAGCAAGAAAAGTCGACACGAAAGGAAAACGCGTGGAAATTGTTTAGTGAGTTTTTAGTGTGGTACACAGCGCGACAAATTGTGCGCTTCGATGTGCGCTTTTCCACACGCTGCGCCGTACTCAGCTGGAAAAGCGTCTGCTTGAGCATTTTCTTTCGATTGCAGTTTTTCCTCGCGTTTTTCACAAAAACACGCGACCCCAGAGCTTTGGTCGTGAAAAGCTTTTTGGTATTTTCAGAAAATGCCTCTCTCGCTGGCTCATGAATTATTCTAAGGAATGTACACACGTTTGCAGACTCAATTAATTTATTGAAATCGTATGCGACATACAAATTTTATGTAGGTTTTTTATATATCTTGCATATATGTTGTATATTTAGAAAACTAAACATTCTGTGTAGATAATTTCTTCCCATTTTCACAGGATTTAATTTTCCTACCCCCCATTACTTTCGATTCTTTCACTTTCGTCGCTGATTTGCTCCATAAACCTGCTTTCTCGCGTGCTCAAAATTTCCCATAACAATTACCATCGGACATTTCGCCATTGTTTGTTTGTCTGCCTTGTTGTTGTTGTTGCATATCTCATTTTCCCGGCATCGCATTTTCCGAGAGAGTGCGCCGAGGAAAAGCTTTTGTTCAAAGGGATTTTCCATTTTCTTCTCGCAATTCATTCTGTGGTTTTACTTTTGACTTTGGCACCTGTTCACTTCTGCGCCTTGTCGCAGAGTTTTATGAATGAAGCTGATTTTGTTTTGGACTTACAGCCAAAAGCTTTTTTCGGGGAACATTTTTACAAGGGAATTTTGCCAAAAAGTAAAAAAAACGAAAAGCTATAACTTTTCTAGGGAAATTATCTAATTGCTTGGCAATGGTAATTAGTGCACTCGAAATAATTATTTCTTTGTTAATAGATTTATTTTTTCAACAAACTTACTACTTTTTGTAATTTTCAAGCTACTTACTTAACTAAATGTATTAAAATTATATTGTTTGATATTGTCGATAATAATATTCCTTCTATTTTGATTGCTATAAATACTAAAACCTGGCTAAAAAGGTATCTTGTCAATGATTGATTCCCAATGTTTCCAAAAGTTTAATTTTAATTCTCTTTCCGCTTAGACTTAGTAAGGATTTTTCAATAAGAATTAAACAAAACTTGTTTAGATGAACATCTAAATAATATTTGATTTCCCAGAGAGCTTGGTAAGTGTACAACTTTGTTTCGTCTGAAGTCTCCTGGGTGGCATATCGCCTAATGGCTGACTTCTGCCGTATAATTAGAGGCTAGCCAAGGTCGCAATACAACTCCGAAAATTAAATTCTCGTGGCGAGACCTTTAATTAAGTCCCCAGTCATTAGAAAAATATGAAAAGCCAGTTGGGAAAATGAGAAAGAGAATGGGAGCGCGGCGCAGGCGTCATGAGCTTTCCATCAAATCAAAAACTGTTGCATAGAAATGGGAGCTTGGCGGCGTGCTGGCTACCGACTCAAAGTCCATTTTCCACCAGCGGCAAATTATCTTTTAGTCAAGGATTAACTATGCATGACCAAGTCGAAATGGGTTGGGGATACGGGAGTTCCCACTAACCTGGCCTGCTCCTAATTTCACAGCCGAAATTACACGCATTACAAAAAGGGAGTTTCGGGGGTGGAAAGTAATGGCGATTAATGTAATATTTACACGCGCACTGATTTGCTGTCCAAATGGACGATCATTAGTGGCGGGAAAAGCAGGCACACTCATAGGTAAACAAAAGGCAGTTCAATGCTCCCCACTAAAAATAAAACTAGAAACCCCGAAAAACACACCGAGAGTTGAAAGCGAAAGCCCAGAACCCACGGAACAGCTTCTCAACGAAACCGAAAGTCAACCACAAGTGGTTCATCTGGCTGTGGAGAAAGAGAGGTCACCGATGTTGAATTGATTACGCCATCGCCACTGACACACTTATGGCTGTGGAAATGGAAATGGAACTGGAGAGGAGTGGAGCACCAGCATATGAGGAGTCACCATGGGAGAACCCACATATTAATCACGTTTTATGCCTTTACTGCACTTCGATTTCAGTGCAGAGCTTTAAAGCAATATACCTGTTTTTTTGGGGGAAACCTTGTGATATTATCGCTATTATCGCAAATAGGTGGAAATCGCCTGATGTCTGCCACATTTACCACCCCCTACAGTGGATATCAGCTCTACGTTGGCGTTCAGTCATTAGTGATGGTAAAGTGACACATTTTTTACCCAGTTGGGGCACAAAAACCAAACTACACAGGGCAAATTGATTAAAAAACTAGATTCTTTGGTTATTCAAAATTCATAACCAAAAGACCTGTTTTACGAAATATTTTCACTCTAAATGTCATACAATTGTTATGTTTGGTATAATAATTAATAATGAGTAGATGATCTTAAAATGGTAATAGCATTTAGACTGATATACTTAATAGATATTTTATTGATATTAGTCATCCACATTGATGACGATGTAAAGTAGAAAAATCTGTTTAGGGTTATGTGGTTATAAATGGAAAATAATCGTACAATATTTCAAAATATTAAATGTTATAAATATTTTTATGTGTGGAAAGTACTCTAGATTCTACCAACATTTGTAAGGTAGAAGCTACTACCATAGGATAAGGTATGACTATAATATAAACGACACTTAAAATATCTTAAAATATTACATCGCTCGTTATACGAAATAAGTATTTTAGTGCGAATTGCATACTGAACATACTATGTATTTACTATTGATTTAAAAAGACTATAGTACCCTTTGGAACCGGCCGCTTTGACGATTTATTTGTGTTTATAAACATTAACGTGTTTAAAAACATTAATTTAGATCAAGACAACTTTAAAACACCCTAATACCCTGTGAAAACCCCCGTCCCAACTGAGTAAACACTTCGGGGCTGGCGTAGTCATTACCCGAATCGTTTGATAGACCTCGATTACGACTAAAACTAATGCCCAAATCGGGCGAGCACACGCCGTCTGCTGAATCATATAACCCGGCGATAAGGCAGTTCGAATCCCCATTGAAGTACTCACCGTGAAGACACTCTTGCTCTTGTGGGCACGATTTCGGATGACCAATCCCGCCAGCGGCTTCTTCACATGGATTTTGGGCATATTTAGGGCGATGGCAACGTTGCGGCTACGTGGCTTTAACTTTACCGTTAGCTATGGAATATCGGACGTACTATTTGTTTCGTGGAATGGCAAGTGGAAACGCCGGAGAGCTGCTGTCCTCGCTTTTCTTTCAGTGTCTTTCAGCAAATTGCCTGCATCACTCGCGTGTTTGTTGTTTTTTCACTGCTACGCGGGACTTAATTGAGGCGCACAAACACGGCGTATACTCGATTTGGTTGCTTTTATCGCGATTAATATTAGTTTACTATTATTTTGGTGGTAAAGTAGAGAGACGCCTGGATAACAACAACAACAACGGAGGCGGAAGGGGCGGCGTTTTAGGCGGCTCGCATGCCTATGGGTTAATTGAAATGGTGGACTTCATGTGGCCGGAGCACTGGGAACTGCGCTGTTCTTATGGATACAAATTCTGTCGGGGATTTCGGATTCAGAGATAGGTTCCACGAAAATTTAATGCGTTCGTTGCAAACACGATTACGATTTGGGGCTAAAAAACGCCAAAAGCGATGTCAACATGTGTTCTAGGGTTGCCAGCTGTGCATGGCGGTTCTAGGGTTGCCAAGAGGATTTAAGGTTCTAGGGCTGTCGCAGCACGCAGTTAGTTGTACTATAAAGTCGTGGTCTACAAACGGGTAGAAATTTAAATTAACTTTAAAAATAAAAATCTAAACTTGAAATACCTCGAAATAAAACATTGCATGAATAGTTTTCATTCATATTATAACTTATTACTTATGATAAAACTATAGCAATCAATATTTATACCTAAAAACGAGTTATTAAGGACGATATAATCTTTAAAACAAATCTGTTAAATATTGTTAAAGATATTGAGTTGTATTTGGTATATTTTTAGAACCCTTTCAGAACACCTATTCACTAACGGTCACACTTTCACCAAGTCAGCTGAAGAATAAAATTTAAAAGTTTATCAAAACTAAAGCCTCGAAAAGAATGCTAGCATTCTGACCCTCGTGTTAGCACAAGGATAAAATCCTAGTTCCTGTTTCTAGATTCCAAATTTCAGTACTGCAGATTCCTGTTTAAAGTCATGGTTCGTGTCCTGTTCCTTCACCCGGATTTGGGGATCGGAGGAGCTGAGCGACTAGTAGTGGATGCCGCTCTGGCCCTTAAAGAGCGGGGTCATCAGGTCAGCTTCTTGACCAATCACCACGACAGCACGCACTGCTTCAAGGAGACGGCGGATGGGAGCTTTCCGGTTCAAGTTGTCGGCGACTGGCTGCCACGCAGGCTCTTCGGAAGATTTTACGCCATCTGCGCCTACCTGCGAATGCTCTATGCGGCGATCTACGCCAGCTTCTTCATGCCGCAGCGGGAGCAGGTGGATGTGGTGGTCTGCGACCTGATCTCCGTGTGCATTCCTGTTCTCCGGCTGGCCCGTCATCGTCCACGTGTCCTTTTCTACTGCCACTTTCCGGATCAGCTTCTCAGCGCGCGCGAGGGTCTCCTAAAGCGCCTGTACCGGCTGCCCATCAACTGGCTGGAGGAGCACACCATCGGTCTGGCGGACAAGGTGCTGGTGAATTCCAAGTTTACGCTGCGCGTATTCCAGGACACTTTCCGACGGCTGAAAACGGTTCCGGATGTGCTGTATCCCTCGCTGCACACCCAGTACTTTGATCAGATGGAGAAGAAGCTGGAGCAGCGTTCTGCTTTGTTGGATGAGCCTGTCCACCCGAGGGTGCCACGCAACGCATTCATCTACCTGGACATCAATCGGTATGAGCGGAAGAAGAACCACGCCCTGGCTTTGCATTCCCTGCGTCTTCTGGGCGACATGCTGCCCGCCATGGACTTCAAACAATGTCGTTTAATAATCGCCGGAGGCTACGACACCCGCTGCATGGAGAATGTCGAGCATTTCGCGGAGCTGGAGCAGCTAACGGAGGAGCTGAAGTTGCAGGATCATGTGGTCCTGCTGCGCTCGCCGACGGACGAGGAGAAGTGTCGCCTGCTCTTCGCCGCCCACTGTCTGCTGTACACGCCCGAAAACGAACACTTTGGCATTGTTCCGCTGGAGGGCATGTACTGTTCCAAACCAGTGATTGCCTTGAATAGCGGTGGACCCACCGAAACGGTGGTGAACACTTCAACGGGCTTCCTGTGCGAAAAGCAGGAGAAGAGCTTCGGTGGGGCGATGTACCAGCTTTTCCGGGACGAACCGCTGCGCTTGAAGATGGGCGACCAGGGTCACAAGCGGGTGCAGCAGAAATTCTCCTTCCAGGCCTTTGCAGATCGGCTAAATGGCATTGTCCAGGAGCTGGTTCCCATTCCAAAGCAATCGAGTAACAAGAAAACTGAATAAAATTCCAGTTAAAAAGGCCGATCTTATCACTTACTTTTGGGAATTATTTTTAGCTACATTCTAGAATTAATCATCGTTAGAAAAGCTTTTTCTCGGAAAACTGAATCACCTATTGGAATAATTATAAGTTTAACTCTATAAACACGGCACAAATCATTAGTGATCATACAAATTAAATTCACAAATGGTATTGAAGCCACATTAGAATTTCTCTCAATTATAATTTCAATTATTTCATCACTGTCGGTACTTTCTCACATGGACTCTAAAGAATGAGTCAACAGATCTTCTATAAAAATTATTCGCGAGAATTCGAAAATACCAGATCATACCTAAATTTCTTTCAAACTATCTCCTACAAAGTTATTATATTATTATATTATTTTTGGATCTTAAAAACTCCAAAGTCTAGTGTAGCACTGTATATGTAGTTTATTATAAATTCCATTGTTCAGGGCGCTGAATATTAGGGTGCAGAACTGGGGTACTTCGGTTCGGACTGAGATCGGGCTGGCTACTGGTCGCGCATGTAGAGATACAGATAGCCGAGGTCCTTGGGCGGGTTCTGCGACTTGGCCACCTTGCTGTCGTTGTAGATTACCCACTCGCCCTTCTTGCGGATGTGGCAGACGTAGTGTCCCACCTGGGCGGAGGTGCCCATGTGTGAGATAAAGGCCACCAGTCGGTACTTGCCCCCGCCATCGCGGTAGTTTTCCTTGTTTGGCGCCGAAGAAGCCGCCGCAGCGGATGCATCCGAGGCGGGGACGACCTCCTCCACGCCAATGGAATCAGCGTGCGAGAAAATCCAGTCGGTGGCGCGCTCCACGTTACCATCGGTGGCCTTCAAGGCGGCCACCGCCTGGTGCTCGTCAAATCCCATGCTCATAAGCATGGCCAGACTCTCCGGATTGGCCACAAACTGGTTGGCCGCACAGTCTCCAATGCGATTGTTGGGCACTACAAACGGCTCCGAGATGTCCTCGTCGGCAATGTGTTCCATAAGCCAGTTGGAGGCGGCTTCCAGGCCGCTGTTCTTTGTGTGGAAGCAGGCACGCTTGCAAGCCTCTGGCGGGAAGCCCATGGTGAGCAACTCGGACATGACCGCCTCGTCAAAGGCAAACTGCACCTGCTCCGCCGCGGGCTCCGGCAGAGCCTCCTCTCCAGCCTGCAAGCCACCGGCCGAACGCCAGGTGCTCAGATCCAGTTCATCCGGCATGTCCACGGACACATCAAGCTTCTTGGGCACCCAGTCGTCGCCCAGCGTGAACTTTCCCAGGTGAATCATTAGACAGTCGGGCATTGTGGCCATTCGAGTAATCTTCCTGGCGTTCGTCTTGCCCTCAATGGCAGTGGAGTAGAACTGCTCGATCAGCTCCGGGCCAAAAAAGCTTTCCAGGCAGGCCTGCAGAGGAACCTTATGCCTGACAATGTCCCGATCTACCAGTCGCTGTCCGGTCTCGCGGGCCGCCTTCTCTCGATCCTGGAACTCCTTCACTTCATCCAGATTGGTGGCCTTGTCTAGCGGAATGGGCAGCCTGAAGCTGTACTCCTCGCGCGTTTTGTACTTGACTTTGCGGCTCGCCAAGCACTCAACACGATCCTCCAGCAGGAACTTCAGGGCATCCGCGGGATTGGTTTGGTTGCGCGAATTCCTGTCCAGCAGGGTAAGCAAATGCAAATAGAAATCGTTGGCGTCTTGTTGCTGTTTGGTGCTGAAGTCCGGGTGATTCTTTCCCACAATGTTTTTGAACATGGCCGGCGAGATGCCGGTGGAGTGATCGGTGTCTAGCGTGTTTTCAGCAATGCTGCTATACTTTCCGGATTGCAGCCCAGTGCCCAACTTGGCCATCTGAATGTTGAAGTCGTTGGCGGGGTCGCTGGGGAACTCACTGAAGTAGCGTTCGGCTCCGGTGCCCACGAACCGCTGCTGGAAGTCTGGAATGACGAAGAGCACCTGCATCACGCTGTTGATGTAGCAGGAGTTGCCCAGGTTGCGCATGCCTGTGTATCCAGGACCGGCCAGCGGCAGCAGCTCACTCTCGCTCTCCGTCAACGCCGACCACTCGCCGATGCGCTGGTTAATATCCAACTCCAGCTCCACCATAGACTTCTCGCTCTTCTTCATGGCCGCCATGTTGATCCCAAAGTGTGAGAGATGACGCTCCAGGTGGGGATCGAGTACCATGTCATCCTCCGGGTAGGAGAACACATCAGACTTGCCATCGGCGGTGATGGTGCCCAGTTTGACTGCAAGAGGGTAGCCCGTCACCCGGTAGTGCTCCACGGCATGGTCGTTGCCACCGCTCCCGTCGAAGAACTTTCGACCGCACATGATGGAGCCGTCAGTCAGGTTCAGCCAGAGGTTGTTGGCCAGATCGCACTTCTCGCACTGCCAGCCGGCGGGTGGAATCTTCTTGCCATTGTCCAATTGTTGCAGATTCTCCGCGTATTTCGAGGCCTGACGCACTTCTCCATCCCAGGTGCCTGCAAAGCAAGAAGGGATTCGTTGAAGTATGGGCCAAATCAAAGCAGTAACATATATAGGTGTTTTGCAACTTTTCTTTGATCAAAAATCGATGCCAAATATCTTTTATTTGTTCGAATTAAATCGAATAAAAATAAATTATATTTAACACGGATCCATTTAAGTTAGGTGGGTTTTTAGTACTGACAAAGTTAATAGATTTAAATCTTGTACAACAAAATGTCCCATTTCTAATAATATTTTTTCTGCTAATTAATTTGCTTTGAAAATTTAACAAGCAATCCCCGCACACTCACCCATCAACGTGGCCTTCTCCAGTTTGGCAATGGCAGAGTCCGCGGCAAGGATCGCCTCCACCGCCTGGGTTACGCGCATGGGCAGCTCCGGATCCGGATACGGTAGCTTCTTGTCGAGCTGCGGGGCCACCACGATGCTGTACGTGTCCTTGATCTCATACTTCTTGGCCATGTCCGACTCGTTGTAGCCACCCTCCACGCCGATGGCCAAGCGAGTGATCTTCCGCTCGGGACCCGCCTCTGCCTCTGGATCGCACTCCGCCTCCGCATCGGTTCCCTCTTTGGGCGTCTTTACCCGCTGGATGTGGAGGAAGACCTGGTTGCCAGTCTTGTCGGCGTACTCACGCACATAGGCCTCCCCAAATCCCAAAAAGCTGTGCAGGCACACATACAAGCCGGTGGGCGTCTCGGGATTGTCGTAGGAGTAGACGCACTCGTCCTTGTAAATCGGAGGACTCCCCGTACCCGATCCGCAGGGCACGTTCACCTTGGATAAATGCTTGCGTAGTTCCTCCATGACGCTATCTGGAATTCTGTGGACAGCTTTTTACGCATATACTAGACGAGCCGAATATGAAATAGTTGATTTTTGATATTTTTTGCAGCTGCTGCTTAGAGATGAACAAAAGTAACTGCATCGATACCGGCAAGCACGAAAATGGCGAGTATCGATGGTTGAAGACTAATTTTTGGTGTTTTTTTGGAAAACTTATTAACTTAAATTAGTTTCTTCCAATAATTAACTAGTTTTCGATAGGTTTCAACAGTTTCCTTTCCTAATTTACCACCCGACAAGACCAAATCTCTTCATATAGCCGTTGCCAATATCGGTTCTTTGTTCAAGACTGCCATCTCTATTAAGCCAACAACAAATTCGCGAGTCACCAAGAGAACCAAACTAGTTCCATTAAGTTCAAACTATGGCCACTCTGTTCGTGATTTAGCAAAATAATGAAAATTATTACAATTTTAGATCACAAGTTAAATAAAAGAGATTAATAACGGCCAACCAACAAAATTTTAAAAAACAAACAATTATTATAATAATCTTTGATGTTTTTTCTTACGACATCTGCGGTCACACTTGCATTAGACCTGCCAACTCGGTTTAGGCAGAGTTGCCATATAGTCACAAAAATCTTTCGCATAAAGAAGTAAAACGTAAGAATTTTCAAATGCTTTTTTCGCTGCAAAATCGGCATTAAAATAATGTAAAAAGTGGTAAAGCGACTAGCGCCATCAATTCGGCAGCTAAAAACATTCAAATCCAAACCGTGCGACCAGTTTTCGGTGTTGTTTTGCCCCTCGCATAAATTTGTTGCGCGCCATTTTGTTTTTGGAAAGGAAAGCAAAAAAAAAGATACAACAGCAAAAACCTACCACAAAAAGTCAAAGTTTATAAAAATCAAGAAAAAAAACGAGTTGATGGGGGAAATGGGATTGAAAAACATGTGGCACTGCGCTATTTTGTGTATCAGTTTTTTGCCCATTATATATAAAAATAACGCGCGACAGGCACATAAATAAATGCCACTGAAAATATCGATACGATGAACAAACGAAGAAGAAGCGATTAGTACGTCGTCGGTTTTTCGGCTGTGTGGGTGAGCGAATAGAATAGGGAGAGAGAGCGCGCATATATAATTACGTCATAAGAATCAAAGAAAATTCAAGGTCTACGGCGCTACGACTATACAAAAAGCTATTCGATTTCGTTACGTTCTCGGTTTTATCAAAAATAAAACTTTGGCCAGCAGTATGAGTGTGTGTCATTTTCGCGACTGTATAATTACATACACACACACGCAACCCCTTGTTGTTGTTTGTGCATTTTTTGTAAGCGAGAGAGAGAGCGCGCAGCTGTGATACAGAAAGAGAGAGCGGAATTTGTTTTTGAGCAATTTGTGTAACCATCGATAATGTTTGATTTATTTAAACCCCATTTTTATACCCCTTTTTTGCAGTGACTCGCGATGCGTGCGGCCTAGAAGTCGTAACCCCCCGAAAACCGAAGCCCCGACCCCCCTCACACACACACATCTGTATCTACAAACTGCTCATAAATTTTAATTAACTCAAAAGGCAGAGGCAAAAACAAAGCACAAAAACACCGGAAAGCAGGGAAAATTAATAAAAATCAATAGAGCGGCGAGCGGGAGGCGATAAAAAGTGTTATCAGTGCGGATTAATTGGCTGCGAAGCGGAGGAGGAGGAGGAGAGGAGCTGGAGGAGGAGGAGGTGGCACCTCCGGAGATTGAGGACTAGGGAGCTCCAAGTCGGGACACGGAGCCATCACCATGTCCGTGCAGCAGTTCTGCCTACGCTGGAACAACCACCAGCCGAACTTCATCTCGGTGTGCTCCTCGCTTCTGCACAATGGCACCTTGGTGGACGTCACACTGGCCGCCGAGGGTCGCCAGCTTCAGGCCCACAAAATAGTGCTGTCCGCTTGTAGTTCGTACTTTCAGGTAAAGATCTGCTCCTTCAATCGGAACACCCAAACTAACACTAAATACCTTTACAGGCTCTGTTCACTACAAATCCGTGCCAACATCCCATCGTCATTCTAAAGGACGTGCAGTACGATGACCTCAAGACCATGGTGGACTTTATGTACTACGGCGAGGTCAATGTGTCGCAGGAGCAGCTGCCGCACATCCTCAAGACCGCGGAGATGCTCAAGATCAAGGGCCTGGCGGAAATGCCCACGGATCCGGCCAATCTGACCAAGTCGGACAGCAAGTCCTCCACCGACGGCACCGAATTGGTGGGGGGCTCGGGTGTCGGCACTGGTGCGGGCACCTCGTCTGGAAGTTTGGGCGCCGCCAGTGGCAGCAGCGTGGGCGACTCCCTGTGGAGCAGCAGCGAGGCCCAGCAGTTCCAGCAGCAGCAGCAGCAACAACAGGCCCAGCAACAGGCGCAGCAGCAGCATCATCACCACCAGCAACAGCAGCAGGCGCTGCAGCAGCAGCAGCAACAGGCGCAGCAGCAACAACAGCAGCAACAGCAACACCATCACCACCACCATCAGCAGCAGCAGAGCGGACAGGCGCAGGCGGCGCAGACGCATCACCACCAGATGCGACGTACACCCTCGCCACTAAGCGCCGGCACATCGCCAGCAACAAGGCGCAAACGCTTGCGCAAATCCTCGAATAACGGTGAGTTGGAGTTGGGTAAAGCATCGTCGCGAGAAGTCTTGAATTGTTAAGGTTTAAACTAACTGGGTCCCAAACCCTTTGCAGGCTCTGGTGATCGCAACAATGCGGAGGAGCAGCACAATAGCTCATTGGACGTGGGCAGTGGCGCCGGCAATGCCGGTCTCAGTCTTGCCCAGATGAGCCAGATGTCCTTTGGAGCGGGTGGCGGCCTGGCCGGCCATTCGCTGCACGCGGCTAAGCTGCTGAAGGAGTCGGCTAGCGCCGAGCTGGAGCAGCAGCCGCAGGACTCGGATCTGGACGACGGACACGGACACTTACACATGCAAATTGTAATGAAATTGGTCACGTTAACCTCGTACCCTCGTCCGCTCGAGCAATTCAACTAATTGTTTCCTCTTTTTTTCTCGGTGCCATCGTGCAGAAACCCGAAGTAGACATTGGCGGCGTGAATCAGACGATGCCCCTCGACATCTCCGGCGGCACAACACCATCCGAACACGATGCGCCGAACTCCCAGTCTTCGCACTCGGGTAAGTCGCAAGTAGAACTTGAAAGCCAGCACACTTTTCCATCAAAACTCATTGTTCATCGGGTAGGGAACTCATTCGCCAGGATGGATTCTTTTTTTATAGTTTCATAATTTTGTTTGCCATGATTATTTTAAAAATACAACACAGACAACTTAGAAAACTGAAAACTGAAAGACGAAAAAAAAAAGCCATAAGATCTATTTATAAAGTTGAGTCATTATTGAGTTTAGTGAACTTAAAGTGTAATAGAATTTTGTTGACCTAAAATAAAGCAATCTAAAGACTGAAGCGACCAATATTTATACTTAGCACCTGAACTTGTCAGCTTTGTGGGGGTTTAATGAACTGAAAAGCACTGCAATCAGATCAATCTCAATTGTCAACCACTGTGTACTCTCGATTCACCCATCGAAATAATGACCACGTTCATACTTCATTCTCATATCTCACACACGAACGGTGCCATTTCGAAACAATTTCAGTACACAGCGCTTGGAGAAATGAATGCTAAAGCTAAATATGAGATCTAGCATACCGATTATCCATTACCGATTTACCGACTAAGTGCAACGAAATATTTGTAAAATGCCGAAATTTTCTATGTTTAACTATTTATTGTGTATTGTATTCCAAAAACCGAATCCTGCCTGAACTTGGGAATGGGAGAGAGCTAGCACAGAGTCCAAAACAAAAACCAAATCTTCCAAAAACTAAACCTATGATTTCTTTTTTCGATTATTCATTCTCGATTTGCGTTTACTTGCGTTTTTTGATTTTTGTTTTGTGGGAATTTCAAACAGCGGTTTCCGATGATAATGATTTAGCCTTAGCAATCTTTCCTCTACTACCTATCTCTATTGTACCTATCTATGAACTATAAACTGTCTCAAGACCAGACTTAAAGCAAGACCAATACCAAGACCAAGACCAGACCTGACCTGATCCCGATCCAGTAGAGCTAGGAGAGAGCGATCTAGTGTCAATTTCGATCGAAATGCCCCAGTACCAGAACCAATCTTTCATTCGCTGTCTCTCTCTCTCTCTCCCCTTCCCAGGTCTGCAATGGACAGTTGTCGATTCCAACTATCCGCGCTTCTCCCTGCCCGCCTGCCAGTCCAACTTGCTGGGCAACGGCGGTGGCAGCGGTGGCGGTGCCGGCAGCCAGAGCAGTGGTGCGAATAGCGCCGGCGGCGTCAATAGCGACCAGCGGCAGCAGCACGAGGCCCAGCAGCAGGCCACCCAGCAGCACCTGCAGCAGCTGCACTACCAGCAGCAGCAACAGCAGCAGGAGCAGGCCTCCGCCTCCGGACAGGCCTACTCGTCGCAGATCATCACGGTGAACAACCTAGTCGGAAGCTATGCGACGGCGGCCCAGAACCTCTCGCCCACCTCACCTAATGAGTCGAACATGGTGCAGTCGGTCTACAGTCAGGGTCCTACGCCCACCCAATCCCCCGTGCATGCGGGCGTTGGCGGAGCCAGTGCCGCCGGCGGAGGAGCGGGCAATGCCAACGCCGGCAATGGAGGAGCCGCTGGCGCGGTCAATCAGGTGGTGAAGCGCAAGAGATCGGTAAATCCGCAGGGAGACGAGAACTTTATCCGCGCCCTAGAGGCGGTCCGCACGGGCGGCATTGGATTCTGCAAGGCGGCACGACTGTACGGCGTGAACAACAGGACTCTGTGGCTGGAGTACAAGAAGCGGGGATACCCGGTCTCGCGACCCAGCATCAAGGCGCGCGTGGTCAAGCAGGAGCCGAATCTGTCGCCCTCGCCCACGCCCTCGACGAATCAGGGCGATGACAATACCAACGAGACGCTCAGCATGCAGATCCCGCCACAGGCGGAGACTCCAACGCCGTCGCTGATGTGTACTCCACATCATGCGGGGCTAGGGAGTGGAGCTGGCAGCCTGCCGGGCGGGGGGAACTCCCACCCAGCCATCGGGGTGATGAGCCTGTTCGATGCGCGCTACATGGACTCGCCGGGCAACGTGCACTCGATGACACGGCAGCGGTACATCGAAGCCACAGGCGGCGGAGCGGGCGCGGGAACGGGCGCGGGCACCGGCACCATCAACGTCAATTCGACCACCGCCATGAATCTACAGAGTATTAACTTCAACTCAATATAGAATACGATTTCGAGCCAGGCGGGGACGGCCACTCTGCTGCAGGCAGCCGCCGTGATGGCCGCCAGCGAGCCAGCGGAATCCCTGAGCATATCAGCCATGCCCGTCTCCGTTCCCATGGGCATGGCCCACAGTTTTCTCATTAACAACTTTGTGACGGTGGCTGCACCGCCGGTGGCCACGGTGACCAGCACGGGCCTGCAGTACTTGGACAAGTCGTAGGTCCGGCGGCAGAGCCCCAAATCGATCGATACAGGTATTAGAGCAACGGCAGCAATCTAGTGTATATAACGGACCGCTTTTACGGCAGAGTGGCAATAGAATAGATGTCGGCCATGGATGGATGGATGGAGCACAAGTGGAATCGGATTCCTGCGCTGAGCTGAGCTAAGTAGAGCAGGAAGGATCGGAAATCGGAGTGGAACGGAATGAAAAAGAGAACAGAACAGGCGAGCCGGCCGCACTTGTAATAATTTCTTAGAACCTAATTCCTTAAGCTAAACGTTTTGAACCCTACATTTTTACGATTGTTAACTAAGAAATCGGTAGTACAGATCTTCGATATATATATAAATAGCTATTTTACGTGTAAAAGAATAATGTAACTGTACATAAATTATACAATTTTATTAGTGTTAATCGCGAACATGAAATGATTTGTAAAGCAACTGCAGCTAAAAGTGGTGCTGTGTGCCAGCAGCCGAACAAACCTTGCGGTATCCGTTCCATATTCCACTTTTTGTAATGCGAACAAGCAATGGACGAAACCAAAAATTCTATCTGTAATCGTAATGATAATTGTTAAGGACAAAATGAGATTTATTGGCAAATTTCTGGAAAAAATTTCCCACATCCTGGGGTTTGCTAGGCTCTGGCGCATCAGAAATAAGTTTTCTTCCTCGTTTCGAATGAGATTTCATTTCTGCACTTGTGTTACAATAGCAAATATCAGTATGTAGGTACTCGCGCGAATTCGTATGCATTATAATTAGCTTCTTATCAATGTGTACAGTGAAGCGAATCCACTCTATTTGAAGCATAAGCGTAATCGTTGGCGAACTCCCGACTTCACACCGAATAATGTCATGAACAGAGAGGATCGATCGCAGGACCGCGTACAATAGACTAAGCTACTAGACCAGCGGAGGAGCATGTAAGAGAACCGGATAGATATGTATGATAAATATGTACCAATCAATATATATGTATATATATTTATATTTGTGAATGTATCCACACTTTTTTTCATTTGTTTCCGAGTTATTCAAGGTGCCAGTCCCTGTTTTTAATGGCTGCACTGGCACAAGGTTTTTACGGTGATCGACTCTAGGTTATATATTTCCAAATCCGACAACAACATATCTAAGAGGGTATTTAACAGGGGAACTCAATTATTTTGACACTTGGTTCTTGAAGATTTCTTTGTACATAGGTATGTACATATAAGGGCGCGAGGAGAGAGCGATTAAGATCGGTAATGATTACAAGATACAGATACGCAAACAAACGAAACTTAAAGATAACTCGTAACCACCCAAAATCCTAAACGGAGACTGCAGCTAAAGGCAAATAGAAAACCAAAACACAAACGGAAAACGCATACGATTCCGGTTATGAATAAAGATTACGAATAGTGTGTTTTTAATACGATTCATATAAATAATGTAACTAATAGAGAACTTTTTATATTGTGTCAAGGCATACTAAGAACTAAGCGTGATTTGTTAGAAGTCATAGAGTAACGTAACTTTGATAATGGACTTTTATTACACTCGCCCACACAGACATGATATACCATGGTGGATCCCTACGATCCCGACCCGATCCCAGATCACAGAAACAACCAAACCAGAACCGAATAGAACACGGATGAAACAACGCGAAAATAGCAGAAACAATAAGCAAATATTACTAACTCTGTTTCCTACAATTGCAAAGTACCAATAACTACGCTAGTTATGTGTGTTAAATATATATATAAATTATTTAAATCAGCGCAAGTGCATAAATGAACCGATTGTATTATAAGTTGCATGTACCATACCAAGTAATGCGAACCCCAAACGAATATCGAGATGGAACGAACATTCTAGACTGTAGTCGATGTGCAAGAAACGAATAAACTTTCAAAACTACAACGTAATCAGACTGCTCCCTTGGCTTCATTTTCACTTGAACTGGATTGATTTAAAAATATTCAAAAGATATAACTATATATTTTAACTTAAGGCTGAGCTACATATTGCTTGTTTCAAATATAAGATATCTTTTGGATATTTTGAAAACCGAAAAGTAACATCCGTGCCCAGCAATTTTAAAAAACTGATTCTAATGAGACCCTCTGATCCTTTTCCCTTGCAGAACCAAGTCCGGCGCATGCTCCTCATCCACCACATCCTCCTCTGGCGGCCGCCAGTAGTAGCAGCGGTGGTAGCGGCAGCTTCGAGCGCTCTTTCAGCATCGGAGGCGTTGGCTCCGTCGATTGCGATCCGGATGGCACGCCCAGTTCGCCGGTGGTGATGGGCACGAAGCGCAACCGGGTGCTCACACGCCAGCCGAGGGTGAAGCGGGACAGCGACAGCATCTCCTCCACGAACCAGATATCCCCGGATACGGCTGCCACGACGCTCGACTTTGATCCGTTTAATGCTGCGGGGGCCACGAGTGTCACGGCCAGGGATTATTCCACCACGGGCTCGCATCATCTGCATCACCAGCCGCCGGTGCATCATCATCATCACCTGCTGACCGTTCCGCCGCGTATCGAGCGACATGCCTCTGAACCGGCACCCAGTTTGGGCCCCTCTACGCCGCACCTGCTCAGCGTGCCGTCCAGCACTCCCTATCTCATTAAGCAGCACTCGGATCCGCTGCTGCCCCGCCAGTCAGCCCTGCACATGGTCGGTGGCTCCGGCTCCAGTTCCGGGATGACAACCGGCAGCAATCCGTTTGCCCCGCTGCACCGCCAATACTCGCATCCGCTGTCGGGGACCAATGCCAGCTACGTCAGCCCGGCTCCGCTCCACCATCCGCACCACATCTCGCTGCCCGAGTCTATCTACGCCTCTGGATCCCCGCCGCCGGCCGGCTCCTCGCAGTACCTGGTGCCCACCCGTGTGGTGGCCTGTCCAGTGGTTTCTAGTGAAACGGCGGCCACGCCCACGAACGCCAGTCCAGGCTCCTCGTCAGCCCTGTCGGCTGCCGTGTCCGTGGTTACCTCGCCCACTTCGGGGCTCCAGAACAGCGCCACCCGGCATCCGTTGTCGCCGACGTTCTCCGTTGGATCGGATGTGGCTCACGAGCGGAGGTCCCCGCACTCACCCAACACCAACATCAGGTCGCAAGTCGTTGAGCGGGCAGGAAAGAATCAGGGAGAGGCGGCCAACGGCGGATCGAGGCTGAGGAATTCCAAGTCCGCCTCGGGCTCCATCAGTGGCACCCATCTGCATCCCGGCCAGGTTACCATGAGCAGTTCGTTTGAGCATTTGCCGACGCTGCGCGTCAAGAACGAGGAACTGCAGCGATCGGTGTCTTCACCGCAGGTGAGTTGGGTAACATATATCCCCCCTTAGGTATCCCTTATTGACCCAACTCTTTGACAGACCCAACGGGAGATCATCACTCTCGAGAATCCGCGTTCTAGTCACTGCCCGGTAATTCGCCCGGGTCCGGCGCTTGGCTGCAACTTTTGCTGGAACACCATCGATGGGCATGGCCGTATTTTGCGCCGCAAAACGAAATACCATTGCCCGGAGTGCGAGACGAATTTGTGCATTGTGCCCTGCTTTCAGGAGTACCATGAGCGGCTTAACAATGAGGCAGCTGCAGCCGGGGTCGGCTCATCATCTGGAGAGAATCAGCTGAACAGCAGCAGCACGACGGGATCGGGGAGCAGCAGCAGTGGCAAGGCGTCGCCGTATGTCTCCTCTGCCGGCAGTAGCAGCAGCGGAGCGGGTGCAGCTCGTCATTATACCAAGACGGAATCTATATAATCTGGAGCTGCCTTGGCCACGCCGGCATATTTGTATTTGTGGCAGGACGGCCGCCGAGAGGATGACTTCCTCCAGACTGGAATACCCGTACTGTATGGGTTTTCTGTCTAGAAGGCCGTCTGTCGAATTTGTTTTTTTGTCAGCAGGATGTGCGGAAACCCCGCACTTTATAGCCTGCATCGAAATTTTCATTTGTTGTCCCAGTCCCAATGTGCATCCGGCCCGGATTGCCGGGCACATGGACTGACAGAGAGGGCGCCATTCGGCGCAGGAGATTTGTTTTTTGAGCCGTGCCCCAGAAGGCGCGCAGCCATTGTAAAGTAACGAAAATCTTTTGGACCACTCCGCTGGAATGCGGAGTGCAAACTTTTTTAAAATCGCTAAATGTAATACTATGTTTATGTGTGCGTGTACCTATGTACTATATATATATATGTGTATGTTCTTGTACAAAACAAAAACCAAACAAACGAAAGAAAAATCAAACAAAAATACATTAACAAAAATAAAACCTTGACGGCGGTGCAGCCAAGCGGTGTATCAGACTTCTGAAGCTCGAATTACGATTAGGTTTTCACCAAGTACAACTACTACTCCCCCAATCCGGTCCGATCTGGTCCGGACTAAACTTAAGTACGTCCTTGCACCCGTACTTTTTCGCCGGGCACCGCTGCGCAGGCGCACGAATTGTCAAGAGGCCCACACTTGTTTTAGCAAACGTTTTATAAATGTCCATGTCCTGCAAGGAGCTTTTCGGATGTGCCAGTTCGGGAGATTCGTTCAATTCTGAGTGTAAACTACTATGTAAACAATACGAAAACCAATAAATACTTGTGACCCCTCTGGTTTGATAAAACTGCGTCTTTACATTTTTAATAGGGATTTCCGTTTAAAAGTCTCAAAAAACGAACTCGGCTAACGAGGTTAAATATCCCGCAGTTGTGAAAGTTATTGGGTATTGAACAAAATTGACATTTTATGAGCTAAATGAACTGTAGATAAATAACTCAAAGTATTACCTTATTGTTTTACGTATCTCATAATGATCTCGTTTTATTGATCTAGTTACCATTTAACAAACCGACTCGGGATTACTTCTTGGCCGGGGGAGCCTGTTGGGGAACGACCTCGGAGGGCGGATTGGCGTTGCGAAAGTTGGGGAACTGCTCCCACGGGGCAGACAAGTCGAACTTGCGGAACTCTTGGGCCAATTCCAGGGGTTCGCAAACGACCCGCTTCTTCTCGTCATCGTAACGCAGCTCCACGTAGCCGGAAAGCGGGAAGTCGCGGCGCTGGGGATGCCCCTCGAATCCATAATCGGTCAAGATGCGACGCAAGTCCGGGTGGTTAGCGAAGAACACACCGTACATGTCCCAGATCTCGCGCTCGTACCAATTGGCCGCCTTGTGCACCTCGCAGGCGGAATCCAATGGAGTGAGCTCATCGGTGTAGGTCTTCACGCGGACGCGGGAGTTGTAGCGCAGCGACAAGAGATTGTAGACCACCTCGAAGCGGTTCTTGCGGCAGGGCACATCCACGCCGGCAATATCGATCAAGTTGGTGAACTGCGCCTGGTGGTGATCCTTGAGGAACTGCAGCACCGGTACCACGCCATCGGGGGCGATGAGCACCTCCAGCTCATCGCCGGCGGTCAGCTGCACCTTCTGCACGTACTTGGGCAGGCACTCGGCCACGTAGCGCCCGAAATCAGAGAGATGCGACCGGGCAACTGCATCCGGCTGGCGGACAGTGGCTATGGATGGGAAATCCGAACTTTAGTTGGCTTCGCAATGGTTTGACTAGTTACCCACGCTTATCTGCCTTCTTGGGATCCACGGGCACTGTGCTGGCCATCCGGATGGCAGCTGATCCTGCAGCGGGCACCACTGAGGGGGGTGAAAAAGGATCAGTTGGAGCTCCCGACTAGCGAGGATTACCCACCATGTTTGGCCGTCAGAGCGGCAACTGCGGCACGGGCCCCCAGATTCCTGATTAAGGCCGCCATTCTACAAACTGTTCAATATAAATTCAACAATTTGCACCAGTTTTTAACAATTTATGTAATGCTAAAATGTCAATATAGTTGTTGTAGCCCCAGGGTTGCCGGGGTGCTGAACTTAAAAACACTCGGCAGCCCTGGTTCGGTATTCCTAAATACCGCTTTCAGTGATGGATTCAGTTCATTATTTGTTTTTAATGCGATTCAGTTTAAATAAGTTAACGTTGAATACGATTTGTTACTTTCTACATTGAGTATATTGGGTCTGAGTATATTGGTCTCAGATTGAAAATTTCGGAAAATATACTAATTTATTTCCTAAGTTTTCAATGGTTTTATTGGAAATATATGTTTTGAGTCTGAAGGGAATAATTAATTTTATTAAAAAATACCGAAGCGTTCCTTTGCCGATATACATGCAAAAAATATACCAAAACTACCGAAACCTTTGGACAACTCGACAACCCGGTCAAGAAACCCTGTCTTCGCGTCGCGTTTGGAATTGCGAGAAGTGAAATTGAAAAGTTTGTGGAAATCAATTGGAAATCAAAACACAACAGAATGGTAAGTGAAACGCGCGGTGGCCAACTCCTGAATTAACCGGGATTGACCATCTCAATCGACATCATTTCCAGAATCACCTCAAGTGGATGGGGCACTCGTCCACTATAATGGATATACAGCGCTCGCTGCGCAACGACAACGGCAGCTGCGAGGTGGTCCTGGCCTCCAGGGACGGTGTCCGAGTGCGCGCCCATCTCTTCGTGCTGAGCACTTGCAGTGAGCTGATGCGCAACCTCCTGGTGGATGTTCCGCGTGGTCAGGAGGCCACCATCGTGTTGCCCGACATCCGTGGAGATCTGCTAGAGAGCATGCTTTCCTTCATCTACATGGGCGAGACCAGCCTGCCCTCTGCCTCGCTGTCCGAGTTCCTGGAGGCCATCAACCTGCTGGGAATTAAGTCGGCCATCAGCTTCGAGTGCAATCCGTCGGCCAGTCCGTCCAACGTCGCCGATGTGAAGAGCAGTCCCATGGCCGTGGAGTCGGCCAAGTCGATAACCGGTCTGCAAATCGCCGAGGCGGAGCTATTGGACGAGGAGGAGGAAGAAGAGGCACAGCCAGCGGACGCCGTACCAACCACTGTCCTGGCGGAGGACCAGCATCAGCCCACCCACTCCAGTCGCTCGCTGGAGTATCTGGATGTGTACGAGCCTCCAAAGATCACCTACTCCATCGAACACATGGACGGCAATTCGAACGGCAATCAGTTTATCCTCACCGAAAACACTGGCACCTTTACCATAACACAGTCGACTTCTAGTTTGACCAAGATGGAAGCTGATGAAACGATCACCAGTGGCGCTGAAGTGGAGCTGGTCGACGATGATGTGGACGCGGACATCACTGAGGATTCAGAGGAGCATGAAACACAGATGATCGAGGAGGAGTTCGCGCAAACCGATCCACTGATCGAACTAAGTGCCGCTACTGAAATGGACGATGACGAGGACGCGCACGACGACCTGGCCGACGAGGAGATAGAGGACGAGAAGCCTCGCAAGATGGGCGGAGGAAAGCCGCGCACTCGACGCCCTGTTAATACCAAATCCCCCAAGCGACCGCCCAGTAAGCCAACGCGACTGCAGCAGTTTGTGGCGCTCAAGAGGGAAGTGAAGGACGATATCAACGACGCTTTGGATCTGGCGGCGGACGCCGTGATCCTCGAGGGATTGAGCCTGCAGAAGGCCGCCGACCGATTCGACATCTCTAAGACGGTCCTTTGGCGCCGTGTGCGCACCAATCCCGCCTACATGCGGAACAACCGGGAAAGACCGTCGCTGCTAGAGGCTTACGAGCGCCTGAAGAACGGGGACTCGCTGAAGAGCATCAGCACGGAACTGCAGATCCCCATGTCCACGTTGCACCGGCACAAGATGCGCCTATCGGCCCAGGGACGCCTGCCCGACTTCGTGGCCTGCCGCCGGCGGGACACCACGCCCAAGGACGAGCTGCGGGACAAGTTGGCCAAGGCCGTGCATGCCTGTATGAACGAGGGAATGTCCCAGAACCACGCGGCTAACCTCTTCGAGATCCCCAAAAGCACGCTATGGCGACACCTGCAGCGACGTATGAGCAACGGCGATCGAAAGGTCAAAAAAGAGCTGCAGGACGAGTACGAGGACGATATGCTAACCTAGACTAGGGCCCCCCAAAAAACTCTGGTTTGAGAGATTTAGAGTTGGAATTTATAAGTTACCATTTAAAAGCCATAAGCTTAGCGTTTAACTGTATATCGTCCCATCAATGTACATCACATTATCAAAATCCTTGGGAGAGATGCTATTCTAGAGGCAGTCCTTTTAGACTTATCTGTAGATACCATTCGCAAACGTAATTCACTTCATTATAACTGGTTAATTATGAAATTAAATACAAAACCAATCTTCTAGAAAATGTGTTGTTTATAAGGGTAGCTTGAGGAGGTAGCAATGTATTAGGTCAAGTCCTTCACCTGGTTACATATCTCTTATGCATATCTATGTACTCTTCTCCAGTTAGGGTATAAATATATCGATATTTTCACTGGCTCCTCACATCACTAACGTAATCTTTTCCCGGAATGAAGAATCCAAGTCGGTGGTCTAGTAATGTCCAGGTTGCCTGACCGATCTCTGCTGACCCGCTGCGAGATATTCATCTACTTTGGCGTCTATATAGCCTATATAGTTGTGGGCCTGTACAAGATCTATGGACTGAGGGATCACATTGCCAAGGACGCAAAGTTTCAGTTTCCGGAGGGCTGGAGCTTTTATCCCTTCTCCCAGCGGCGGCGAGATGACAGCAACGATGAGCTGGAAAACTTCGGGGACTTCATCGCCAGCTTTTGGCCATTCTATCTGCTCCATGCGGCTGTGCAGGGAGTAATTCGCTGGAAATGTCCCCGGCTTCAGTGCCTGGGATTCGTCGGTGTTTGTGGCTTGGCCTTGGGCGTGAACCTGGACTGGACATCGCTGGTGCTACTAGCCACATTGATAGCCAGCTACTACCTCATTTCCCTGGCCACATCCAAACGCCTGGTGTGGCTCTTGTCGGCCGGCTGGATACTGTGCATCAACTTAATGCAGAAGAACGCCTGGTGGACGGATCGCGTTGGCTACACCGAGTACGTCCTGGTGATAGTAACCATGTCCTGGAGTGTGCTGCGCGGTTGTAGCTTTTCGCTGTCCAAGATGGGCGTTAAAAAGGAGGAACTAGACAGATACAACCTCATCCAGTATTTGGGCTATGCCATGTACTTTCCGTCCTTAACCTACGGACCCATCATTAGCTTCCAGCGGTTCGCAGCCAGGAGGGAAGATGAGAAGCAAGACTGGCTTGGATTCGCCGGAGGAGTCCTCCGCAGTGCCATTTGGTGGCTTGTCATGCAGTGCGCCCTCCACTATTTCTACATACACTACATGTCGCGGGATGTGCGTATGGTTGATCTAATGGACTCTGTGTTCTGGCAGCATTCCGCCGGTTACTTTATGGGCCAATTCTTCTTCCTGTACTACGTGGTCACCTATGGCATAGGGATAGCCTTCGCCCTGCAGGATGGTATCCCGGCGCCCAGCAGACCGCGCTGCATCGGTCGCATCCACTTCTACTCGGACATGTGGAAGTACTTCGATGAGGGCCTGTACGAGTTCCTCTTCCAGCACATCTACGCCGAGATGTGCGGCAAGCGATCTTCGCCAGCGGCCAAGTTTGGAGCCACCGCCTTGACATTTGCCTTTGTGTTCGTCTGGCATGGATGCTACACCTATGTGCTCATCTGGAGCATTCTGAACTTCCTCTGCCTGGCTGCGGAGAAGCTGTTCAAGACGTTGACCTCCTCCTCGGAGTACCAGCAGTGGACACAGCGTCATTTGGGAGCCGTGGGTGCTCAGCGGCTGTACGCCATGTTGGCCACCCAGCTCTTCATCCCGGCCGCTTTCTCCAATGTCTACTTCATTGGTGGGCAGGAGATCGGCGACTTCCTAATGCGCGGCGCCTACCTCAGTGGAGTGGGCAACTACATGGCTCTGTGCTTCTGCAGCTATTGCTTTTTTCAATGCTCCGAGCTGCTCCTGAATAAGTCAGATGCTCGCTCCAAGACGAAAACTATTTGACCTCGCTAAAAGTCTGCCTAAATTTACGTGAAATGTGACTATTTTTGAACAATCTTGTACTAGTATTGCAACATCTGGTTTTGCAACTTGTATTATAACATGGCTTTATAATTGTTTTGTGATTTTTACGAAACAAATATTTACTTAATTTTTAAATAAATACATTTCATATAACGTCTTATTTAGCTTTTCTATTAAATATAATATAATATATATATAGGAAATTTTAATTTTCTTCAAGTCCTTTGCAAGAAACAATTCCTTTCCAATTCGAATAGGTGTTATAATATTACAGCTTTGATGCTTGGTCCTGCCATCGTATTCAGAAAACATAAAAAAACATAAACTCTAAATTCCCTAACTTTCGCCTTCACCATTGTCCTGCCAGTCCAGCCACCTGGTTTGCGTGCAGGTCGACTGAAAGTTGTCCAGGAAGAATTCCTCCAGCATTTCGTCGCAAGTCTGCGTTTGTTGTGTGTTGTACAGACCATCCGGCCAATGGGTTTGTGTTTGGATGTGGGACAGTCCCAGTTCCTCAAACAGTTCATCACAGGTTTGAGTGTACATGTGGGCGGAGGTTTGCAAGCCAAACATGGCTTCATTTTCGGGATAGGTGGGGAAATCGCTTGCGACTGGAACTGGCTGTCCAATTTGCACTTGTTCTTCCGGAAAATCATCGGTCATCGTTCCCATGTCGCCTCTGGTTTCGGTCGTTTGGGGTTCTATATGTGAATATGTAGGGAAATCGCCTTGAGGTAGCTGTCCCATTTGCTCTTGATCCTCTGGAAAATCATCTGTCATAGTTCCTATATCGCCTCTGGTGTCGGTGGTTTGTGTTTCTATATTTGGATAAGTAGGGAAGTTGCCTGCAACTGGCTGTCCAATTTGCGCTTGTTTCTCTAGAAAATCATCGGTCATTGTTCCTATATCGTCTTTGGAGTCGGGGGTTTGAGTTTCTATATCTGGATAGGGGACTAGCTGTTCGACTTGCTTCTGTTCATCCGGGAAATCATCGGTCATCGTTCCTATATCGCCTCTGGTGTCCGGCGTTTGAGTTTCAATATCCCGCAAAAGAGGTGCCAGAACTTCGTTTCTGATGTCATTCATAGCTTCTTCCTCTGTTTGGGTTTCCATGTCCAGTTTCTCGGATGTCAGCTGCAGTCCAAAGGGCACATCCATAATGGGCAGGAAACATAGAATATGCTCCTCTGGAGCAGATAATTCGGGCGCTGGCCCATTTCCCCCCTCTAGAGGAGGAGGTTCAGCTGGTGGTTCAGTGGCAACTTCCAAGCTGAAGGGGATGTGTTCAATATACTCGTCTGGAGCCGCTAAAGCCGTGGCAGACATACTGAACTCTGCGGGAGGAGGATTCAATTTCCTCCAGGTGGCCAGCGAGGGTATGGCCACCTTGTCGGACTCCTGCTGAACCAAATGATTCTTGCGCCGCATGTGGGTTCGCAGGCCAGCCTTGCTGTTGTAGGTGAGTTCGCACACGGGACACTTGTGCTCCGTGCACTGATGTTTCTCCAGGTGGTGCTGCAGCAGGAACTTTTCACCGCACTCCTGGCACTTGTGGTTCCTGTCCAGGTGGCTCTTCTGGTAGTGCTGGCGCAGAAGGCGCAGACTGGTGAAGCAGCGAGCTCCCTTGGTGGCGACATGGTAGATGCACTTTTCCACAGGGCAGTGGAATGCAATGTTTGGTCCACTTTTCGGGGCTTGGAGCACTTCTTGGTGGCGCTGGCGCAGATGCAACTGATAGTGACTGAGGTTGCCAAACACCAGGTTGGGACATTTTATACATCTGTGCTCCCTTATGGGTAGTAATTCCCGAATTTCCGGTGTATATTTTTCGCTGGCCATTTCTGATGATTTTGAATAGGAGTTCTATCGATAGATGGACTTTTACCTATCGATAAGCCCACAAATGGTATTTCTTAACGATCCCTCGAACGGTCACTGTGCCACAAGAAATTTATTATTATAACGTATACGTCGCTCTCGCTTAAAAAATTCGAGGTAACGATCGGTTTCGAGGAATATTTGTGCAGGTGTGACGAGCTAATAATAACAGCCAGATAAGGGCCTTAAATATAATTGGATAAAACAGAAAACTAGATAAATATTAGCCCTATGTGTGTGCGATTTTAACCTATACTAAGGAGTAACTAACAGTGTGTGCGTGCGATTAAAAATATACATTAAAAATTAGCGCAAATTAAATCGAGTTTTTTTTACCATTGTGCTACATGGTATTATCCATCTGAACTGAAGTGAAGTGAACAAAAACCGAATAATTACTATCCAAAAAGCAATTCCAATTGGAGACAATCCACCCACACAAGCACCTGTAAACCCATCACCTTTTGCTCTTGTTTTCTGCCACGCCTCCACTGTCCTTGCCGCCCACAAAAGTGGTTATTTTTGGCGCGACTACGTCATTGCTAAAAAACATCTGGCGTTGCGAGAGATAATGTTCAAAATACACATCATCATACAAAACAACATCATCATTGGGGAGGGTTTTCAATTCCATTCCAAAGAAGCGGTCTTAAAAGGGCATCTCGAAGGTCGCTCGAACCCAAAAGCCAGTTCTATTCACAAACACTCTAATTCGAAGTAATTGTGTGCAGTTTACCTCCGAAATCACTTCAATTATTCTATTTTCTGGTTTATCTACATAATACCCTGCAATTGGGCTTATAAAATACCCCTTTGGACTTTAGGTTCGTTTCATTAAATTTACATATGACGGAGAAATACACGAAATTAACACAAAGGCTAAAATTAAATACATATTAAGGCGTTTTTTAAATCTCTTCTGATCGTTTTGAGTGGCAGACCTTGTACGCACAGACATACACAGCTGAATATTCTAATTTACTATACTCTTAGAAGAGGTAACATCAAATTAGCTAGATTGCTTTGGTAATACTTTAAATGTAATATTGTTAACATTCCTTATGAAGATTAAGATGATTGACTAAGAAGTTTGTAATTTCTATTATTGTTATTCTTTTCTAAAGAAAAGTGCATCTGAAAATTTGGTTTTAATTATGAGTACTATTTAAGATGAATGAGAATTTACAGCCATGAACAAAAAAAGATAACAACGGATTAAATTAGACACGATGTCTTATTTTTTATATTTGGTCAATATTTTTCACAAATTAATCTCAGTACTTCCATAAACTAACATCCTAGCTGCATTCCATATAAAACTTAGATAAGATAGTATGGCGACAAAAAATTAAGACTTAACCTGTTGACATATATCAACAATTTTAACTAGCGAAGGGAATTATTTAGAGTCAGTAGTAAACTCTGTGATTTAAACATTAGCTTGTTCCAAAATCGCAAGGTTATCGCAGTTTTAAAGCGAAGATTCATCTGAGCTGATATAATGAATGCGACGAAGTCGAAAAGTCTGACGTAATCGTTGCGGTTGCACATAAGACAGATTTCTGGGGTACTGAGCAATGTGTTGTGGCTGCTGAAAAGTCTTAATTTATTTTTCAATTTGTGTCGCCAATCGTGTTGAGCTTTTTTTTTATTGTTATTAGGCTGAATATTAGACTTATAAATGAAATTTATGAAAAGCTCAGAAATCATCAGATGTTAATTGCATTAACGCTTTTGCCCTGATCGAGTTTAAACCAAATCGAAGTTGATTTATGAGGTATGAAATGGCAGATCAATCAATATCGCCCACATACGTCATCGTATCCGTAGTAATTTCCGCCAAGTGCAGCTGGTTTTATCGGATTGTTGGCGTTCTGTTCTGGCCAAGACCAAGACATCTGGTTCTCCGCTTTAGCCATATTATACTTCCGCCTGCAACTATGTGGTTTTATATATCTATGTATGCAATCCCTGAACGAATGGTGAAAGTTGGCGCAGTTTGGATGAGGGGCAGGTCATTGTACACCACCAGCTCTAAAAGTTGAGTGCCGGTCGTCTGATCGCCAGACATACAATTGTCTGTCTTTTGGCAATTGTCGTCATATGTATTGAATTTTCATATCTTATCTGTGCTTACACCGAAAAGACATTCAAAAACTCAGATTGTTGCTCCCAATTGAATAGTTACAATCCCTTCGTGTAATTTCAATTGGTAATTGTCTTGTGACCGCCAGCAGATTATTCAACTCTTTTCCTACACGGGAAAAATGATGTTCATCATAGTTTCAAGTCACTTTTACGACTGAGTTTTAAACATTTCAAAATTTCTGAATGTTATTATTATATTAGTTATATATTCCTCAAGATGCTTATAAACAAGACTTAAATAAAAACATAATGTGTTCAAATATTACTTTTTAATAAATTCATATCAGATCAAAAATAAACAATATTGATTTTGCATAGGGTATATTTATTGGAGCATGTTTTGGGCTCTCAGAAGAGTTTGCTCTCTATAAGATTCGAATGCGTGCCAAAAGAGCGAAAATGACTCATGAATGCTGACCATTGGGCTCTGTGCTATTTTCAGCGTCCATTTTTTGAATCAACTCAATTTTGGTTGTTTATCTTTCTCAATCTGTACTGGGGGTTTTCGAGTTGTACGGACTTGTATGTACACATTTTTATCTCCAATCGACCGACCACGTGAACTTCTTCTGGAAATTTAATTTATTTTTTGAGTCCCAACAAATACAATATAGCTTTTTTAAATACATATGATTTAAAAATAAACCATCCAAGTTATCAAAAGTTAATTTTGATTTGTTGTCTCTTTGCAGCTGCTCATCATTAAAGTGCATTTACTAGCCTAACACAATGAGTAAACCGAGCAGTGCTCCACCGCAGTTCACCTATGTTCCGCCCCCATCAGCTCCGCCCTCTTACCAGGAGGCTGTGGGCGGGGTGAAGCCCGTGGGTCCTTATACACCCGTTGTGGCCCCAGCAACCACCGCGAATACAACAATTGTGACCACTGTGGTGCCCATCAGCCGCACATCGACGCACATGATCTGTCCATCGTGCCACGCCGAGATCGAGACGACCACGCGCACCGAGCCTGGAATGATTGCCTACTTGTCCGGATTTTTGATTGCCCTATTTGGGTAAGTTTCTAGATAAAAAAGAATTGGTGTGGATCAAATGATAATATAAATATGAAAAACACGTTATCATGAATTACAATTTTAGGAAATGCATATAATCCACATCTTTTTTGTATCTGTCTTGTGACCTTACAAACTCCTATTTTATAAATGCTCTTCATTTGTAGATGTTGGCTGGGATGTTGCCTAATACCTTGCTGCATCGACGACTGCATGGATGTCCACCACTCGTGCCCCAATTGCCGGGCGTATTTGGGTCGCTTCCGCCGATAGGATCGCATCATTTAGAATCCCCTGCGGTTCCGTGGTGTAGTTATACTTTAAGCAAGCGTTTTTGCCTTTATTTATTTAATTGTAGTAATGTCATTTGGATTCCACAGCGAAGGCAGATAGAACGAGCCATGGCTTCCCTTAATCTAAAATCTAACTTGCTAAATTGTTCCGCCGTTTCCATATTTTGGTTTGACCACATTTCTTAACTGTTACGTGTATGTTTCTGCCACGCTAAAGATAGTAATACGTGTACATTAAACGATCCAGCGCTTTGCGGACAGGACAACTACTACGAGAATTAAATAATAAATTCGCTTTTCTATGTATTCATATATGCGAGCCGCCTGATCACGAGCACTTTGAAGTCGCTTGTTTGTCCATATTATGATAAGCAGGCCTTTAAATATTTGCACAAATTGTAAATCGATTCAAGATCGCACATTGTTTCGTAAATAAATGGCTTATTTAGAATGCAGTCAAAAAGACAAAATACAAGATATTTTTGTAACCATTTGTAAAAGTCTTCTGCGAAAATGCATATTGTAAGCTATGAAAATGAAAGCTAATCTCTGTAATTATTAATAACCAAATCTATATAATTGACTTTTATTTTTAAATAAAACGAAAATTGTCACTTAACTCACTTAAATCTCTTATTGCCTAGTAATGGTTAAAGGTGAAATCAAATATTCAATTTGAAGTTAAATTCTGAAGTTTGATATTCTTTATTTTGATCTGTGTATAGTAATAGTTCAAAAGTTAATATTTGTAATATTTGAAAACTTTTCGATTTGACTTTAATTCTAATACATAATTGGGTATAGAGAAACGTACTTTGAAACCAACTGGGTTTAAATCAAATATAATTCAAATGAGCAGTTAAATATTTTAGATATATTTCAGTATATTTCACTTCAACAGATAGTATATTGTAACGGTCGCCCGTCTGGTCACACTGTTTTCACGTTCTTGCGTTTGTTTGGCTTTTTTCTGCGATCTTGTGGTCATATCCAGATTTTACAGATACTAGAGGTATATTTAAGGGTTATTTGATATTTAAGAGTTCTATGAGTGCTTCATAAACAGCTGGACCGGTCTACTTTATTGGCACATTCCTTCCTGCTCCCGGAAACACTAAAAAACCAAGGATCTAGCTCGCACGTGTTTGGATGTTATTGGTGGCCAAATTGAAGGTCCCGGGATTAACGATTACAGCCACCCGTTTACGTCACTACTTTAGAAACATGGACGCCAAGGAGCTGCAGCCACCCAGCTCCGTGCGCGGGATGCAGGAGCTCCAGAGGAAGGAGTTCCGAAAGAGTATTCAAGTGCCCCGATTGCGGGTTCCGGAGTCCCAAGTGCAACGTGTAATGCCGCTGGTCAAGAAGTTCCTTCTCAAAATGGAGCACATGCATCCTGTTCGAGTTGTGGACACATCCCGGGAGATCCTACTGCATCCCACACCCGTCAAGGATTGGGAATCCCTGCCCACGGAGGATCTGGAGAAGCAGGAGGTCACTGCAGAGAACTTCTGCTTCGCTGAACTCGAATTGGGCTACGAAAACTGGAGCGCCAATGAGATCCTGAAAAGCGTCCTGCCCACTGAGGAGGAGGGTCTTACTTCCTACTCCCGCATCGGCCACATTGCCCACTTGAACCTGCGGGATCACCTGCTGCCCTACAAACAGCTCATCGGCCAGGTACTCCGCGACAAGCTGCCCAATTGCCGGACGGTGGTCAACAAGGCGTCCTCCATTGACAACACATACCGCAACTTTCAACTGGAGCTGATCTGCGGTGAGCCGGAGTACCAAGTAGAGACCAAGGAGAACGGAGTGCCCTTTGAGTTTGACTTCTCCAAGGTGTACTGGAATCCCCGCCTCTCCACGGAGCACGAAAGGATTGTGAAGCTGTTGCAAACGGGAGATGTTCTCTACGACGTATTTGCAGGCGTGGGTCCATTCAGTGTTCCTGCTGCCAAGAAGCGTTGTAATGTGCTGGCCAATGACCTAAATCCCGTCAGCTTCCACTGGCTGCAGCATAATGCCAAGAGAAATAAGTGCCTATCCCAGATCAAAATGTTTAACAAGGATGGCAGGCAGTTCATACTCGAAGAGCTGCGTGAGGACTTGCTAAAGCGTCTGCTGACCACAGATACCTCCTCCTATGCCACGCACATAACAATGAATCTACCAGCTATGGCTGTGGAGTTCCTAGACGCATTTCGTGGTCTGTACAAAGCAGAGGAACTTTCTAAGTTGCCTGAAAACGTGTCCTATCCCAACGTTCATGTTTACTCATTTGCCAAAGGCGAGAATACCAAGGAGCTAGTGCGGAAGCTGGTGGAGTGCAATCTGGGAGCCAGTCTAGATGACAACCTGCTGCAGGGAATTAGCTTTGTGCGGAATGTGGCCCCCAACAAGGACATGTATAGGGTTTCCTTTAGGCTTTCCCAACACCTACTGACCACCCCGAAAGAGATTGAACTCTCGAGAAAGCGTTGTTCAGAGGATGAGCAGGGGGCCGCAGCTAAAGTGAAATGTGTTTGATACAATAGATACAATAAAGTTTCAACTCCCAAACAATTAAAATGAGTGTCTTTCTGTGCCTACTTTCAGATGGGTCGCAACAAGGCGAACAACAAAAAGGTGGCTCCCGGAGCCAGCAAGCCAAAGACGCCGCTTAACAAGTCCAAGAAGGCAAAGAACGTGTTCAAAGTGGCCGACGGTAATAAGGGCAAGGGCAAGAAGCCCAAGGAGGTGCAGGGCAAGCTCAAGCAGGTGAGTGGATAGACTCCTTCTGCGAGAAGTTCCGCCACTTAAAAGAGATCATCCGATTTACAGATTAAGGAATCTGTCAAGGCCAAACAGGAGAAGGTGGACGCCAGCCTGAAGACACTGCACAAGGATCTGGTGGTCAAGAAGCCAAAGGCTCCGGTGGCACCCATCAAGAACAATAAGAAGAAGGGGGCCAATGCTCAGAAAGTGTCAGACACGCTGGGCAAACTCAAGTTCTAAAAAAATCCTCTGGATGCTACGTTGTCCGGCTTGCGTTTTACGTATAGTAGATGTAGTTAGTTCCCATTGATTGTTAAAGACTTTGGTCTGATCCAAAATATACGATAACTATATGGACAGTGATGGAAAATATTCATCTAGGTAGTGATTCGGTAAATATTGATGTGAATTCTGAGAAGAAACCCTTTTATATTTGTAATTTCATTCTGTGTACTATCCAATTTCATTCCCAAAGAATAATAGGCTTTATAACCTATTGTTGATCCCCAATATTGTTTAAAATATGTTGATCATCTTTTAGCATTCTTCGGGTATTCACACCCTTTATATTACCTAGTAGGTACATTTTTTCAATCCTACCTAAGAATGGATAACTTTTCCATCCCTGCATATTGGCAACCTAGACAACCACAGGTACAGAGTTAACTGGAGGCAAAACTGCTCCCGGGATTACGGTGGGGGCAACTGGGGTTACAGGAGCAGCTGTGGAGGTTTCATTTACGGCATTCCAACCGAACAGCTCCCGGATAATGCCATCCAACTGGACCGTATCGATTCCCGCTTTCTGAAGATCGGCCAAAACCTGGGCAGTTTCCATCGAAGTCAACCATCGATCATAGACGACTCTCAATCCCTGTAGTCTTAACCAGAACTGTGCAAAAATTCCCTGCTGCAGAACCTTGGCATCGATGTGCGCACGTATGGCATACAGTGGAAGGTAGAGCTGCACCTCGTTGAGGAACCCTGGCCAACCGAAGACCGTTCCGGACCAGTAGGGGAATTGATTCAGCAGACTCACTTTCAGCCTCTGCTCCTCCAGCTCAAAGGAGCCGCCCGAGGCCAGAAGCTGCTGGTCCACCCACTGCAGGAAGAGGATGAGTTCCGGCTGGGAAAGAAAACGCCAGCGGGCCGTGAATCCGGCATTGCTGTTGATAATTCGCACAAAGGATTGGAACTGGGCATCGTTGATTAGGTAGCGCAATAGTAGCTGGTTTAATGGTTTGAATTGGATCAACCTCTGGATTTCATCCAGGTCCTGGGATAAAGTAGGCGGTGGAGCCAAGGTGGCAGCCGGAAGTGGAGGCTGGGGTAGCAGGCCAACAGTTGGAGCCACCAGCTGAGGAGGCCACTGTGCCAGGGATCCACCGGCCAGGGAGATCAGGAAGAGCCAGCCCAGAGCGATGGCCATGACTGGGTAGTGAGTGAAAGATGACTACCAAATTAAGTTCGCAGAGGCTTTTATATCCACCGGATTTGTTATTATTATTATTATCTACTGATAGCAACTCCCGGAATTTGGCGCAGCATCTCTGTTGACAAATTGTCTTCATCTGATAACCGCGATTCGATCTGTTTATGAGTTTACCCAGTTTTAAATACCCCACGGAAGTCTGTGTTTTGGCATAAACAGGCCGTTGGCAAACATGGCCGAAAAAAGTGCACATATTATAAGAATTTATAACACGCTAAGCTTTATTTTCAAAGTGAATCACCAACATTCCGGATAGACCACAAAGAACCGCAAACGAACACTTCATAACATAAGGATTTACATAGCTTCACATACATACACAAAGCAAAACGAAACTGGGGATACAAGGGATTTCTTTTTTAGGAGACGATGGCCAATTATCCTTGCAAAATACCTTTCGCAGTACTGAGGTTCGCAGAAGAATAATTTTGAAAATTATGTTAATTTGAAACAAGCAAAGGTAAGTTTAGAAATAAATAAGTAGACTGGATTAATGGACTTGGCTATTTTACTTTGTTCCCTGTTCTGGTTTTCAAAATCAATAGAGCTAAATGACATTTTTAAAATAAAATAGAAAATGATTTAAATCAACCAAGTCAACTTCTTTTAAACTTTGATTTTCAGAATAAATAATATAGTTTACTACCTATAATAATCTCTTTTGAAAATATATATGGGTTTACACACATTTCTAAAAGGGCAAATAATCAAATTAAATAAATTTATAAATTTCATAAATGATGTTTGATAAATTGAACAGCAATTTAAGTATGCCTTTAGCGGAGCATTATTAAAACATGAATATAGCCAAATACACGTTTAATTATATAAAATATTAAAAGTTAAAAGTTGAAACTGCAGACCTAGCCTTGAAAACCGGAACAGGACTTGCAAGAATTTTACGTATACAGATTTTAGTACCATGTACTCGGGGGGATACCTTCAACTTTACCTTAAGACGTATAAATAAGTCGTATGTAATAAAAACTAACTTAACCGATAAACGCATGTGAGTATGAGCGGGGGATTGGATGCGGATCTGGTTTGTGGTCTAGCTACCCTCCCCATTGATCCGACGACGCAGCCATCCGGGCACATAGCCCCTCACGGCTTCGCCCAGCTGCCGGTAGATGATGAGGCCCAGAATGGGCAGGACCAGGCGGGCGTCCTTGAACAAGTACACATAGCAGGCGACCAGGAAGAGCACCAGATCCGTACAGTAGCTAAGAGCCGAACGGACCTTCTCGTGGGCCTGCTCCTCCGACTGGAGGATGGCCAGAGCAGCTGCCTTTTGCAGCAGATCTCTGTCGGCGGCGGAGAGGATTACGGAGGTCTGCGGAGTGCCCTCCACTTCGGAGATTGGAGGTCTGGTGAGTGAGGTATCCCGGGAGCGAGTGCTTGAAGGAACCCGTCGCCTGATCACCCGTTTCACCTTTACCAAACGAGTCCTGCCCCTGGCATCAGGACGAGCCTCCACCATCTCGCTCATCACGCTCTCAGTCTCAGATTCGTTCTTCTTCGATTTGGGTGGGGGCACCACCAGCACTGTGGGGTACTCCGGCTCTTCATCCTGCGGTTGTGGGGATTCGTGTTCCTGTTCCGCTTCTTTAGTGTCCGGCGATCGGTGGAATGCCAGATTACTGGCAGCATCCCGCACATGAACCAGTTGCTCCCGTTCCGAGATGGAGAGACGTCGCTCCCTAACGACGGGAGGAGCCAGGAACATGTCATCGCTGCCACCGGTGGCGAGTCTTTTCTGAAGTTCCTCCGCATGGGTGAGCATGTCCTCCTCGTCGGTTTCCGCGGCTGCCTTGGCCGCCGCTCGCTTTAGTTCATCGCGATCCATGTACAGAGGCGTGTGGTATCTGTGGGAGGTGCCCACCTCCCTCACCAGATCACTGTAGTGGTCTACCGCGGCATGGGCCTCCTCCTGCATGAGACGTTCCTCCTCCCTGCGACGCAGTTCCTCCTCCTCTTTTGCTTTACGCTTGGACTCCAAATCCGCCGCAATGGCAGCTGCATTGGTCTTCTCAAGCGGATTGGATATCTCCTCGTTGGCCTCTGTATTCTTCTCCGTGGCTGATCTCTTGTCTCGACTGAAAAAAGACTTTATTCCTTTAGCCAGGTCCATTTTTAGGGTACTCGGATTACTGGCTGTTACAGGTGGGGGAGGTATAACGGTGGGTATTGTTTCGTTGACATTTCCAGCCGGCAAGGGACTAACCGATTGTTCCACATGCTCATTGGAGGACCTCTTAAGGATCGGCTTGGGCACAAAATCTGGACTAGGCAGTGGCACTGGACGGTTGAGTACCACGGCAGCTTGCTCCGGAGTGGGAGCCCTATATGGAGTGAAGGTACCAGCACCCATGGTACGCGGATGATAGGTCTCCAGATCGCGTGGACTGGGCGAGCGGGTGCGCGCCAACAGCTCCATCTTAAACTTCTCGATTGAGTCTTGCTCCGAGGAAGCAGTGCTCTCCGTGTAGTCCGATCCGAGGTCGTTGCTGGACTGCTGCTGCAGCTGCTTCTGCGGCGGATACTCCACATCCACATCCTCATCAAAATCTAGGTCCATATCCTCGCTGTCATCTGCGGTGCTCTCAGTAAGATGTTCCTCCTCCAACTCTTCATGTTCTTCCTGCTCCAGAACATCCTGTTGTGTCCGCGAGGGCAACTGGCCAGTGGTGTGGGTGCGTGTCAAGTTGCCCATCTCATTGACGTTCTCCCTTGAATCCCATTTCCTCGAAATAGACACCATATCCGCCGACTGGCGACGCAATTCACTTCTCTTTTCGAAGGACAGTCGTTCAGCCTCCGAAATGGAACCCAAACGCATCCGCAGATTAGCCGGCGTTTGATGGGGGACAGGAGTGGCCAGTTTGTCCTGCGACGTCTTTCGGGACTTGGAAGCCTGCTCCAGCTCCACTGCTTCATAGAATCTGGCCATGGCCCTCTCATACAAAAGCTCCGTGGAGCTGACAGACCGACGCAGTGGGAAGGTGGTGTGCAGGTTGGTGAACTCTAGGAAGGCCAGATCCGGCGCAGAAATCGAAATGGGTGGCGGTTGTATAGCATCCTCCAGGTCCAGCTCAAAGGAATCTTGTTCTGGGGACGAGAAATGTGGGAAGGGTTTAGTTTGGCTATGGATTAAGTTAGTGACTGATGGTTAGTGGGTGATCCTTAATTCTGAAATCCATACAACTGGATACGTACTGTCCTTATCCCGGACCTTGCTGTTCTTGTCGAAGACAACAAGCATAAACTCATTGCTGGTGTGGACTTCGTCGTGTTTGTCCGCTGACCTGGAGAAGCGCCTTGAGTTGGATTGGCCCTTTGGAGCTTGTTCTGGAGATCGAGTTGCCTCTGGCATGGGAGGCTCCTCCTGCTCCTCCTGCGGCGTTGGTGGTGCACTAATCTCGATGGTGGGCAGTCTCTCGCCAATAACCGCCGAGACCCCGGTAGCTACTGCCAACGCCAGAGTGGGAACATTTCTGGCCGGGCTCAAGGTCTGACCAGAAAAACGTCTAACATTCTGATTGACTCCCAGTTGAACGGGTTCTGCACTTCTTAGCAAAGCCGGTGTTATCTTAATAGGTTCCGGTGGCGTTGGACTCTTGCGAAGAGGAGCAGGTTGCCTTTTATTGGGAGGACTCAAACTTCTCTTTTGATTGGGTGATGTCTTCTCCGGCTTTTCTTTCGGCGGAGTGGGCAGAGGTTGTGGCCTCGGCTGTGCTGGTGACCTATCCTTAGCAGCTACCGATGGCTTGGGGTTGAAAAGTTTTAAAGGAGAGGTAGTAGGTGACTTTGGCGACTTGGGCGTTGGTTCTGACTTATCTACTGGTGTCAATGTGGTGGTCACCAGCGTCAAATTTAGCTTAGGATTGGAGCCAGCGGTCGTTGACTTGTTGGCCACATCCGCACTGCTCAGCGAAGGACTCTTGCGGACGTCCATCTTTAAAGCCTGATCCGATGTTCCATAAGACATCTCATGGGTCAGTTGCTCATTGTCTATGAGCTGAGGCTTGGGTTTTCTTTTCATACTGGGCGACTGTTTAGGTGACATGCCCGTCGAGGCATCTGAATGTGGTCGTGGTGGCGACAAAGTCTTCCGACGAGGTGGCACCTGCACTGATCCAGCTCCAGCTTCCTTGGGCTTGTCCCTCTCCTCACCAGCAATCCGTGTAGCTGACTTTGGTTTCGTTATTCCCCGCTTGGGATCGGGGATGAAAAGCAGTTCCGATTCCCCGGAAGGTTCACTCAGGCCATAAGGATTCTCCGCCTTCACACGGAACTTGTACTCGGAACCCTCGATCAAATCGTGGAGCGTGGTGGTCAGTGCCCTTGTGGTGGCGGCCTTGAGCCAAACGTTCCATCCCACTCTAAAGTACTCGACAATGTAGTTCCCAATCTTGCAGCCTCCATCGTCCAGTGGAGCCGTCCAAGAAAGAGTTGCGGACTTGCCAAAGGACATATTTAACTTGGGAGTTCCGGGGGGATTGGGCCTGGCCGTCACCGTGACCAGGAAGGAGGTGTTATCCTCGCCCAAACGGTTCCAGGCCTTCACCATGTATTCGCCGCGATCTTCGCGTAGGACATTGTCGATCTTGAGCAGCGAGTTCTTCTCAGTGTTGGTGATCTGGAAATGGGTGGCAGGTGATTAAATAGAGCAGATTCTTAGGCTCAGCATAATTCACTTACATAGCTTCTTTCGTTCTTAAATGTCTGATTTTATACACAATTCTTCACTTTTAAAATATTTAAGTAAATGGTTAGAAATCTTGCGCAAAAAATTAACTGTGAGATATTAAGGCTATTAGTACATAGAATAAATGTGATGATACTCGTTTTAAATAGAAATGCATTAGATTTCTTGTGCTTATGTATATTTCAAAAATATAATTCCCTAACCCGAGTTTTGCAAGACAGATGTTTTTATCTAGATCCTAAACCAAATAAGTGAATCCTACGACATCAGGATAAGAAAACCCACCTCAAAGCGTCCACCTGGTGCAATCACCTCGCCCTCATGGAGCCACGTAATAGCCGGCGGTGGCTGTCCAGCCACGCCCACTTTAAGGCGCAGCACCTCATCGGCCTCCACAATCAGCCCATCCTCATAGGTACGTGGCAATCGAATTTTCGGAGGAGCCTGCACCATTAACCTGGCCTTGGTGATCACATGTCCCGCTCGATTTGTGGCCGTGCACTTGATCTCTCCCTCATCAGTGAGGGCCACCTGGTGAATCACCAGGACACTGGCGTCATTGTCGTTAACGATCTTGGTGCGCCGACTGCTGAAGATCTCGTAGCCATCCTTAAACCAATTGATCTCCGGCGGCGGTTCGCCCAGGATTCGTACTCGGAACTCTATGCGTTCATCCTCCACAGCATCCGTGTCCACCAGTTCGTCAATGAAGCGGGGCACGGTAATGGCATTCCGTTGAAGAGTCACAGTCAGGGGATCGGATAACTCACTGGCATCGGAACGACCCACAATGTTCTCGGCAAAGCAACGGAACTGATAGCGCCATCCTGGTTCCAATCCACTAATGCAGACATCGCAACGATCCACTGGAGTCGGCGTGGCCCTTACCCAGTGGGGGGATCCCATGCGCCGATGCTCCACCGTAAAGCCAGTAATGGGAGAACCTCCATCATGGAGCGGCCTATCCCAGCGCAGGTTCACCACGTCCGGTTGCTGTTCCGGCAGAGCTACTGGGGTCAGGATGGGCCGACCGGGCGGTGAAGGTCGCTCTGATTGGAAACAAAACCGTAATAATAATAAAAGCACAATCCTAAACAAAAGTTTTAATGAACGCGGGTATATTTCTTCTATAAAATGGATTATTAAAATTGGTTTGACTTATTATAATAAAAGAAGAAAAAACTAAAACATGAAAGTGACACTACTTGGAAGAAAAGTGAAATTTCAACATTTTAATTGCGATTAACGAAAGAATTGAATAAACTTTTCAAACGACTTCCAAATCAAGTTTAAATTGAGCCATTTGCAAAGACATTTTTTTTAATTTTAGGGGATATAAACCCTTTAATCCAGATTAACAGGAAATAAAAGTGCAAACTTTTTGAGTTAAACGCTAAAAGGGAATCATCTAACTTTGTATCTCAGCATAATGGTTTGTTCTTCCGCTTTTCGAACGACAACATTACTTTGACGTTGTGAGATTTTTGGGGCCAAACAGATGAACACGGCAACCACTGAGTGTGCGAGTGGCTATTAATAGACGAATTTCTAGCGCTCCCACCAGCCAGCCAGCTATGTGGGCCTGTCTACTCTTTGGGCCTCCTCTTATAGATCGAAATTTAGGGAGGAATACGTACTGGGAGTCCTCTATATTCCTGTGTTTCTACTTGCCTGCAGACTTCCAGTGGACATTCTTTTTGGGACGACTGCCTTGCGGGTGCGTGTGCAGCTTTCCCGGCTGATTTCCCATTTCGAGACGTTAGATATTTAACCTATTTGCTTGCCTATACAGAGGATCTATATATATCCTCAGTCGACAGTCGAACTTAACTTAGAACACTCTCGGACCCGTCGTTTCAGTATCGCCAATAAGGACACTTTGAATTTTAGCTATGTTAACTTTAGTAATTCCTAATATTGTAACTTTTGTGGCGTTTGGATTTTGTTTGCAAGCGTTGCCATTTTGCGGCGTTAAATAATCCGTTCGTCAGCCAAGCATCCTCCTCCGATCCACGAGCGAGCTAAACGCTTCTCTTTTCGATTCGAAAGCTTTCTGCTCTTTTTTCAAAAATGAAATTCGAAAACGAATTCGGTTGGGTTCGATAGTGGCAATCAACATTGAAAGGATGGCAATCGATAGGGCTAATTGATAAGAACAATCGCAGTTTGGCTGTCTAAAACTAATTTTAACAGACAACTTTTTATTTATAAAAACTGACGGACATTTATGGTTTAAAATTACTAATTTAATGCTTTTAAGTCATCCTTTTAATAATAATGCAATTATTTCCTCAGTTTAACCTTTCAGCATTAAATCCATTATTATTTAATACTTAATGTATGGTTTTTTCACAGCATTGGAGCACTGCTTGACTTAAATTTGACTACTTCCTAGCTAGTTACATGATGTAAACATAGCTAATTCCATCTCTAGTTTCGCCCAATCGATAGTTGGCAACAGTGGCGGAGTGTCATCACCGGCACAAATTATGCTTTTTTCCAGCAGAGTCTTCCCAAAAAGTGATGTTCGCTATTTTTTGTAGTGGCGCCTTGTAGTGTTTCATCGTTAACTAATTAATTAAACCCAATCCGAAAAGTGCTGTCCATCGTGTCCTATATATTAGTGTAGTAACAATTGTGATCCGCCTGCATGTGTGTTTCCAGTGGCTCGGAAAATGCCCCGTCCTTGGAATGATTTTTGGGAGGCTGTTGTGGGACACTTACTGGGAAAATAATAAATAGCATCGCATTGGAATTTGGAAAAGCCGCAGCTGTTCCATTGCGACAGGTGCAGCGGCACACTCACACACTCATACCCGCATTTACCTATTCCGCCCGTCCAATAACAACAACAATGGCTGGAACAGCGACCGCGACGCCAATGGAAATTGACGAATTCATAAATGGAGCACTCGTTTCTTGGGTAAGTACTACTTAAACTATGGATAAACATGTTCGATATTTGCATCGCAAGTGTGCCTATGTGCTTGGCATAAATAATTCAAGTGTTCGATTCCCAGCGAAAACAAAAACAACAACAGAGTCGTGAGAACAACCTGCTCACATACTCACACACATAGATAGCTGAGGTCAATAAAATAGTTACACTTCGTAAAAATGTAAAGTGAATCCCCGAAACAAGGTTACTGTTAACTACATGAAATTAATTTACTATCACGAGTATAAAAAAAAATATTTTTTGTAAACTTTAAACGTTTTATAAAAATAAATATTTTTTAAAAAACTTAAATCTACAAAAGTTTTCATGTAATCGAATCTAACATATTATAGTTTTGTTTTAATAATTTAATATTCATATAATATTGATATTGGATAATCAAATAAGCACAAAAATTCATTATAATATACTTTAATTACGGTAGAAGTAGGTTTTCCATAGAATGTTTTTAATTAGCGGACTTGCGGTTTGATTATGTTAATTTTTTAAATTGATAAAGGTTGATAAATTCAACCAGTTAAACTCCTGGACCTACTTAACGTATGTCACCTATAAACTTCACCTCGGACTCCTATTATTCTGCTCAAAACTGTATGAAGTTATGTGGCTTTCCGCACAAGTCGCAAAAGAACCAAGGTCATTGTAACTTGCTCACGACGTCTTACGGTACAAAACGAACGGAGGAGGAGTGTAATGAGCTCCATTTGTGTGCTCTTGTCCAGCGAATATTCATATTCACGACCGTTCTTGTTCTTTGCTGAATTCCATATCTAAAAACTGGAAATATCTTTAATTGCAGCTAGAGTCATGTCTGCCACGTGCCGAGCTCCTTGCGGGATATACTTCCCTGCTGGACGGGCACATAATCCACAGTGTCTGGCTGCAGATCGATCCGGAGCCGCAGAATAATCCCAGCGAGCTGAATGACTTGAATGGGAAATCCCTGAGCATCGCTAGGGCCAAGAACTTTGAATGCATCGTGAGGAATCTCAAATCCCTGTTCGAGGAGGAACTCGGACAGACTATTCTTGTCCTACCAGATGCCTTCACCCTGGGCCATCATCCGGAGAGCAGAAACGGCTTGGATCAGATGAAAACCCTCCTGACCCTGCTTCTCGGTGCAGCTGTACAGTGCCCCAACAAGGAGCTGTTTATTGCCCGCATCAAGGAATTGGATCTGGAGACGCAGCATGCCATTGTGGCACTGATCAAACAGGTGACGGATAGCCACAGTCTGGTGCTCACCGAGGATTCCTTGGAGCGGCTGACCCCGCAGAGCATGTACACGCACATCCTGCGCCTGACCAAGGAGCGAGATCTTATGTATCTCAAGTGGATCGACCTGGCGTGCGTGGAGACCGAAATGGCAGCCAATGATAGCCTGGTGGAGTGCGGCCAGGGGGTCAGCGTTCCACGTTCTCCTTCGAATGGAACTGCCACCTCAACGCTTTCATCTTCTTCCAACTCGGAGAGCAATCACCTGGCCGTGGAGTGTGCCGATTTGCGGTCTAAGAACCGCAAACTGCGGCAGGAACTGTAAGATAATTTCTAATTTACTCCCTTATTTTGTTATTTCAATACAAAATTCCTTTTTCAGAGAGGAAAAGTCGGAGAATCTTTTGGAGCTTCGCGAGGAGCTGGATGACAAGAAGGCGCGGTTTGACAAACTCCGCCAGGAGAGCCAGGAATGGTTCACAGAGGCCAAGCGAGCAGCTGCCTATCGCGATGAGGTGGACATCCTACGGGAGCGGGCAGAACGAGCCGATCGACTGGAAGTTGATGTTCAAAAGTATCGCGAGAAACTCGGCGACTCTGACTTTTACAAATCCCGCGTTGAGGAGCTGCGCGAGGATAACCGGGTGCTTCTAGAATCAAAGTATTTTTCCCCAATATCACCTTTGAATTCTTTCTAAACTCTATCTATTTATTTCCCCAGAGAAATGTTGGAGGAGCAATTGCAGCGATACCGTAAAAGGTCTGAACACGCCATTACCCTCGAATCTGAGATCATCAAGTACAAGCAAAAACTCAACGACATGGCGCTGGAACGGGACGTAGATCGCTCCAAGTTGGAAGAGCTACTTGAAGAGAACGCGCAACTGCAACTGGTAGCCAGGAACCTCAACTCCACGATGGATCTGGATAAATCCTTCTCCGAAAACGAAGACGACTGCAACTCGGGCGACAACAGCCTGTCCGAACAGCTAACGAACAATGCCCAAACCCGTGCCCTCAAGTTGGAGCTGGAGAACCGTCGCTTGACTGCCGCACTTGAGCAGTTGAAGGAGAGCAGCTTCCACGAGTCTACCAGCAAGATGCTAGAACTGGAAAAGGAAAAGAAAAAGCTATCGCTAAAAACGGAGCAGATGCAAGAGAACATTCAGCGACTGACTCAGCAGAATGTGGAACTCGAGAGCGTCTTTAAAAATGCTCTGGAAGAGAACAAGAAATTGCAGGACGCTGTGGACAATCGCCAGAAGAGCTACGATCGTCAGAGTATGGAGCGCGAGGCCGACCGTCAGAAACTATCGGACGCCGAGCAACATGTCGAAACTTTAAACAAGGAAAAGCAACGCATCCAAACTCTCAATGAAAGCATTCAGCGACGAGCCGACGATCTTGAACGTCTGGCGGAAAGCAAGGCAAAGGAACTAGAGCAATACTCGGAAAAATCCAAGCAATACGAGCAAACTAAACAGAAGCTCTACGAAATCGAGACCAAGGTCTCCACATTTGAGCGCGAGAACGCCAGCCTGCTAAAGGAAGTGTCCAAACTGAAGGAGGGCAGCGAGCTCAAGTCTGTGCAGCTGGACGAGAGTGTCAATCGTCTGGATGTACAGAGCAAGGAGCTTCAGAAGCTGGGCAAGGCACTTGAAGAATCGGAGCAGGTTCATCACAAACTCGTTGAGCTAGAAAAGCAAAATCAAGAGCTAGTTTCACAGCGCAACATTGATCAGGAGATGATAAGCACCCTTCGCAACGACCTGGTAACTGGTACTCTAGTAACAAAGAAAGTTCGCCACAACTTGGAAAAACTGGGACTAGCCGACGAGGAGCCCGGTGAGCTGAACGTAGAGCATGTGGTAGAGAAACTGGTGCGCAATCCGGAGACTTTCAAAACCGTGCGTGAAATTATGCTAAACGTGACCAGGGAGCAGCAAGAGGAGGAGGAGCGCGAAGGCGGCGTCAAGTCAGACATGTGTGTGCTCTGCCACCGCCAGGAGATCTTTACGGTGGAAAAGAACATTGAACTCGCGGCTGCGCCAGTTCCTGCTGCAGCGCAACCCTCTTCCCAGGAACTTCGTTTCGAGCACAAGCTGCGAGTGAGTCCGGCACGTGAGTCTGCAGAGCTGAACCGCATCAAGGATTCAAATACTCAACTACAGACGGAGAACGCTCGGCTCAGTGTGGATGTGGCTGCCTTGGGTTCGCAAATCACTTCCCTAAACACCCAGCACGTAGCCCTTCAACTTGCTAACTCCCAGCTCGCTGCCGAAAAGGACACTCTTCTAAAAGACATCGATTCTCTGCAGCAGGAGCACAAGCATGCGTTGCAGGATCAGGTTACGTTGCAGTGTCTTCACGATCAGCTTTCCGCGGAGTACGAATCGCTGAACAAGGACAAGGAGCAGCTAAAGGCGGCAGTGCGGGATTTGCGACAGGAGCTGCGCGACACCCGCGAACAACAGTCGGCATTGGAGCAGCGCATCGAGGACTTGACCACCCAAAACAACAACATGAAGACCTGCTCCGAGGACCTGTCAATCTTGCGCACCGAGCACTCCAAGCTAACCGACGACTTCCGCAATCTCTTCGCCACCAGCGATCGCTTCAAGAACGAGTACAAGAACATCCAGGAGCAGTACAAGATGGTGCGCATGGAGCACTCGAGCCTCAAGCTACAAAACACTGAGCTCTCAGGCGAGCTGAACACGAAGAGCGATCAAGTGCGTCACCTGCAAGTGGAGTACAGCAAGGTTCAGCAGCGTTGCGAGGTGGGATTATTACTTTGAATGTTTTTTTCTGGTCTAATTTTATTTTATTTCCCCTGCAGATGTTGATTCAAAACAATGCTGAGCTCGATTCGGAGCGCAAGGCTCTGATGGACAATGTGTCGCAGTTGCTCTCCCAGTACCAGGAACTTTTGGCCATATCCTTGGAGGACAAAAAGCACTTCCACGAGGAGGAGAAGAACTACACCGAACGGGTGCACAGTTTGAAGCGGCAGAAGGAGAAGCTTGAGGAGAAAATCATGGAGCATTACAAAAAGTCAGAGACTACAGTGCACAAGAAGTACGTATTAATTGATCTAAAGGGAAAAAGATAATAACCACTTTTTACTCTAGAAAACCCTTTGCCAGCATGCTGGTTAGAAGAGTGAAGAAGGCCAGCTCGGATCTGATGAACAAAGTGCCCAGTCGAGTGAGTTTAACAGAGCTCAAGTTAATCAACTTTTATTTGATGTTATTCCTCCTTTCTTATTTTAAGAACCGTCGCTCCTGGGTGGATGACGCCCGTACCAATTCGCAGTTTGTTATCGGCTCCGAGTCCGGTGGCAATGAGTCAGACAATAGCAACGAGGAGCCACTGTCCATTGCCTCCGATACGCATCTGCTCCAGCGGAATGTCCCGCTTCGTCAGAGTCTGCAGCGGTAAGACAACCGTATGGATCACTGGTTGTTTGGGTTCATGGTTTTTGTTCTATTTACATGTATTATACACAACTCAACACCTGCACCAAACAAACACTGTACATTATGTCCGAGTAGGGATTTGCTGGATAACTCGATCCAACGCGGCGGCGCCGTGCGCAGTAGCCTGCAGGCTCAGAAACGTACGGATTTGAATAACTCACGTAGAAATAGCGTGCACGGGTATGCGCTTTAGATGTGTAACAATCATTTAATCCTATTAAACCTTGCCACTGGAAACAGATTAATTCCAGTTCTTCAGTGGCAGTCGTCAATCCCTATTCCCCCTTTTCCATTGCACACTGTATCCCTGCATCCTCTTGTAGTCGCTCCTCACCTTTGTTGATTGATAAAAATTAACTATTTACTGATAAACCAATTACTTTGCAGCAGTCTTGAAGCGCCAGACGTGACGGGCAGCAGTCTGACGCTTGGCACAGCCGGCTCCCGTCGTACCGTTTATCTAATTGACGAGCACCAGAAGCTTCCCGATGGCTCCAGTCCCGGCTCTAATGCCCAGCCGCATTCGGGGGGCAGCAGTGGCAGCGGCAATACCGCAACGCCCACGCCCGCAGAACCTCAGACGCCTCAGAAGAGTGCCTTGGACAACAGTGCACCAGTGGGCCCATCCACGTTTCTCATGTACAACCGGATAAACACAACGATCGGAGGAGCCTCGACCAGCGGAGACCAGAGTCCACTGCTGCAGGCCAGCGGCAGCGTCTCCGGAACGCCCTTGCAGGATGACAAGTCGGCGAGGAAGCGGACCGAGGACAAGAGCAATAGCATCTGGTATGAGTACGGCTGCGTCTAGAGAAACAATTGAACAGTATACGTCCACAACTTGAACTCGAATATAATGCATTTGCTGACGAAGTATTATTTCGTTTTAGAAATTAACGAATTTATTTTTAAACGCATTAGAGAACATCGATGTTGCCTTAAGCTAGTTACAGATATAAGTGTAAAGTGCTGCTTGAAACGCTATGATTTGCCTTAAGACATGTTTTACAATTAGTCTTTGTACTATACTATAGTTTGTACCTATTTATGCAATTTAAAAACTTCAGAAGACTACGCGACAACAAAGCGAACTCATAACTATCCAGTATACACCCCTATATACACGAAACTTTACAGAAATATGTTAATAAATTAGCTATATACCGATGCCTCAATGTTAAGTCCGAAGCGAATGGATTTCTTTTACGTTGATAACACAAAATATACTCATTAAATATGTTTATTTGGTATTTTGTAAACTCGACTCGAATCTATGTATTCCTATATTATGTTGTATTCCACACTCGTACTCTGCTAGAAGCTAACAAACGCGCCTTCAATTTGTGAATATATTTTTATAAATTACTTGTAGCCTTGTACTATTTATTGACGCAAAGCCTAACACCGTAATAAAACTAAGCAAACATACGTAAAAAATATCTCACTTTTTTGGGCAAGTCTCTAAAGATAACCAAAGATACATATAAGGTGATTCGTTCGTCCCCAGTATTTTAGAATGAGAACCGACTGAAGACAAAAAAGATGTGGTTAAAGGCACTTATTTCACTGGTAACTACTCTGAACTGTCCCAATACCTGATTAATATTCGTTTGTTGGTTAATTCAAGCTTATGATCCAATATTTGGCCGCCACATGCAATGTGTGCCAAAGTGCAAGCAAAGTGGCATGTCACAATGAAACCACGTTTTCCATTTGCTACGACGGTAAACTTGCTTTTTAATATTTAATAAATATGAAGTTTTAAATAGCATTATTTGAATTTCAGGAGAGCCTTCGTATGATCTCCTGTCATGTCCAAAGAATTTTTATTGCACCGATGGATTCTACACTTGCTATCAGAATGCCGATCCAGTTTGCAAGTCAGAAGAGGACACCACCACCACTGAGATACTAACTACGACCACCACTGATATTCCAACAACGACCACCACTGAGATTCCAACTACGACCACCACTGAGATTCCAACTACGACCACCACTGAGATTCCAACTACGACCACAACGAAGGGTCCGTGGAATGCCGATGACATCTGCCAGCAAGCAACAAAAAGTACCTCTTATGAAAACGAAGATGATCCCTCCTGCACTACGTAAATATATTTAGTTGAAAGTGGCTTCTGTGGATTAACTTTGAGAATATGTTTTAGTTTTATAAAATGTACTGTTAGTACCGACGGAACCCATTCTACAAAAATCACTTCATGCCCGACAAATCAGTACTTTAGTACAAGCTTGAAGGTATGCACAGCCACAAAACCGGATGGATGTGTGGAGGTGACAACAAAGGCAGCCACAACCACTGTGGCCACCACAACCACTGCAAAAACCACCGTGACCACAACAACCGCTGCCACAACCACAGCAGAACCCTGGAGTGCCGAGGCCACCTGCTTGACTATTACCAAATCCACTTTGTTTCAAAACAAAGATGATCCGACCTGCACTAGGTGAGTGAAAATCACCCGAATCGGGATTTAAAAATATAGCTAACACCAACCACTATTTCAGCTACTTATATTGTTATGTCAGCAATGGATCAGCTACGGCTTTAATAAAAAAATGCCCGACGAACGAATATTTTGATATCAGCTCAAAAGTCTGTGGCGCCACAAAACCTGATTATTGCACCTAATTTCAAAACTTGAACATTATCACAATTATTAATGCCAATAAAATAACAGTAAAAACAACGAAAACTGATTTCATTTTTGCTCTAAGATAAGCGAAGTCAACTGCTATAAGTATTTAAAGAACCTTACGTGTTCCCTATGTTTTCAGTAACCAAAAGGCAGAACAATTGAACTTATAATGTGGCTGAAACTTTTTTTTTCACTGGTATAGGAAAGAGGATGCTATCCTGATATATTATTATAATTCGCTTTGTTATAGTGGCTGGTTCAATGCATTCTGGCCGTTCCAGCACCGGAAACGGACAAAACATGGATTGTGGAAAAGGCATGCAGTGATGTTACAACGAACACTTTATTAAAAAACCATGATGATCCAACCTGCAGAAGGTATGTATGTTTAACAGGTCCCTTTGTTTCAGAACTAACTAACGATTACTTCAGCTATATTTATTGTTATGTAGCCAATGAATCGGCTACTCCCTTGATAAAGAATTGCAAAGCAGACGAATATTTTGATTCGACTTTAAAACTGTGCAGTTCCAAAGTTCCAAATGAATGTTCTGGAGAGCCAACGGAGCCAACAGAGTCACCAGTGAATAAGACAACCATTAAAACCAGCGACAGCTGCCAAGATGTTACGAAGTCAACCTTAATGCAAAACAAAAATGATTCCACCTGTAGAAGGTAATAAAATTAAACAGGATTCAGTCCCACAAACGAACTAACACTAAATGTCCTTTCAGCTATATTTATTGTTATGTATCCAATGGATCAGTTACTGCTTTGATTAGGAATTGCCTGACTAACCAATATTTTGATTCGGCTTTAAAGGTCTGCAGTCTCACCAAACCTGATGATTGCAGCTAAGATTATAATAAAAATCAAATAAAAATACTTATTCCCATTAATTGATGCCAATTAAAGAGCAGTAATCATTGATAACTAATATGTATTAGTTTCAGTTTAAATAACGAACTAGTTCATCAAAATATTTTAAAATTTAAAAAAATACCTCACCCCTATTAAAGCCTATTATTGTATTTAATCTAAAAACTAAAATCAACAAAAACAAATAAATGAAATACCAAAAAAAAATGATCAGTCAAGAGATTTATTTTTCACAATAACACTCAGTATTTCCATGGAAATTTGCACATATCTGAAAAGACTGTCAACAAAATACATACATACATTTATTACTAACAAAACAAATTAATAAACCTACGCAATAAACATTAAATGCAGAGATAAACGATGCTATAGATTAAATGCTCCCGGTATTTAAAGGCCCCTCAGGTTCTTCAAGGTTTCAGTGTGACAAGTGAAGCAAGGTTAAACCGACAATGTGGACGACTCTTATTTTATCAGTGGTAACTATGCAACGATTCCTCGTTTTTCTAGTTATTAATAGTCAATTCAAACAGCTCCTGGTTCATTGCTTAGTTGCATTGCCAGCTCCCAATTTAAATGATCGGAGTACGGAATCTTGGAGTGCGAATAAGGCCTGTCAGGAAGTGGATAGTTCTGTCATGATTGAAAACAAAAACGATTCAACATGCGCCACGTAAGTACAATTTTTAGAAAATACAGTCAACACAAGTACTAAAGTGGAAATTTACTTGCAGTTACATATATTGTTATATAGCTGATGGCTCTACAAGAGCTCTTATTAAAAGCTGTAAGACCAACCAATACTTTAATGCCGAATTGAAATTCTGCAGTGTCAACAAATCTGAAGGTTGTGAATGATTTCTAGTTACTTTTAAATACAAAAGGATAGTTGACTGCTGCACGAAAAATAATAATACTCATCGTGTAATAGATTTAACAAATTACGAACTCTAAATTATTATAAATATTTTATACTATTAATATAAAAATGCAAATTTCCCATTTTTGAACATCAAAAACGCATGTTTAATTGTTTTTTAACATAAAGGATATGTTGGAGTCTTTTATATAGCTTTCAAATAAATACACATTTTCAGTGTAATAAATAAGTAAAACACAATCTTTAATGTGCAAAATACGTAGCCGGAAGTGATGGGAATAGTAGACACCAATCTCTTGTAAATTCCTTTCAATTAGCAATTGCTTGGTCGTGTGGGCTGACATGCTTCTGTATCTGAATTATAGTATTGATTCGTGTTGCAATAATATAACCAACCGAGGTAATCTTGGCTCAATTTATAGCAGTAGACATACCTACAAATTCAAACTCATATGAATAATTATTATAAAAGATAATATGTATACTTGCATTCGGCATGTTGTATCTGTCTCAACTCGAATGTATCCTTTGGTCCTTAACTCTGCACAATAGTCGTTCGGATCTATTTCCGAAGACACTGTGGTTGTACTCGGAGTACTAGTGCTGGCTGATTGAGTTGATGGTTCAAATGTTGTGGGTAGTGTACTGAAATCTGTTGTATTAGCAGAAGTACTAGGATCTGATGTAATATCAGATGTGGTAGAATCTGTACTTGATTCTGTAGTAATTACTGGTGTAGTAATTACTGGTGTAGTAATCAGTGGTGTAGAGGTCTCCGTCACTGTAGGCTCCGTGGTTTCCTTAGTACTTGAATCCGTTGTAAATTCAGATGTAGTAAAATCAGTGGTAGTCGGGGTTGTGGAAGTTTCTGTTACTGTTGACTCAGAACATTCCATTGTACTCGAGTCCGTAGTAATTTCAGAAGTAGTTGAATCTGTCGAGGTTTCTGTGGTGCTCGAATCGGTTGTAGATGCAGCAGTAGTACTGGAATCTGTGGTAAAAACAGAAGTACTTGAATCGGTCGAAAAAACACTAGTTGTAGATTCTGAGGCTATGGAAGTTTCGGTTACTGTAGATTCCGAGGTTTCGAGAGTACTAGAATCAGTCGAGGTTTCTGTGGTTTCCGTTTTCTGAGAACTCGAGTCGGTCGTGAATGTGGTAACAACTGTAGATTCCGTATTTTCTTGAGTACTAGTATCTGTTGTTAATCCAGAAGTACCTGAATCCGTGGTAACTGTAGACTCCGAAGTATCTATTGTCGGAGTTTCTGTGGTCACTGTAGATTCCGTCGTATCGATTGTAGTGGACTCAGTGGTTTCCAGGGTACTCAATTCGGTTGTCGAATCTTCGAGTTAAAAGTGCAAGATAAATAAAACCGTGGGCAATAAACCCATAAAGTTAACCCAAAAGTGTTATATTTACCAATATATGTTATATTTACCAACCTATATCCGTTGTGGTCGTAAAAACATCTGGGACACAAGCCGGCTGTGAAAAAAAATGTGATAATTGGCGAATCTTCCCAGAGCTAACTAGGTCTCACTTCTGACGAATCCATGACTGCACAGAATCCCTGCAGGACGCAGTAATATCCATCCCGACAATTCTGCACCGCACTTTCATCCACAGCACCTTGGTCAAAGCAAAAACCATAGGAGGTTTCATTGATACACGCATATTGTCCATTTGTCGAGGAACAATCGGAACAAACGGATTGTCCACGAACCCTTCCCGAAATCCACACTATCAGGAAGAGCTGAAATCACCAGGGAAATGGGTCACTTTCTTCGGGCTTACCATACATTTGACTCACCTTTAGCGGTACATTTGCGATCATGTTTTGTCTGTTTGCGGGAAAGAGCAATTCACTTGTGATGGCTGGCCATCATGGTGCCAATTCTCTTTATAGGAGACTAAGCTGTTCCACACCCTCAGTTAGCGTTTGCTTAGCGCCCATAAAAAGATAACTTGCTATTCTTATTACCCAAGGCTCCGAAATTTTACGATGCCATAGAACAAATTCGGCACTGCTGCCAAAATGTACAAATAAGACTAAGCTCCAGGTGCCCGATCATTCGCAGAAGATCCATTAAGCTGTCAAGATGTACAAATTGTTGTCATTGGTACGTTTTAAAAATCCTTATTATTTCGTTTTTAATATATAAAAAAAAAATTTTTTTAATTATATATAATTTCAGTTTCTCCTGGTGGCTTTGCCAATCGTTTGGATCCAGGCAGACTGTAATGTGTGCCAATCGAATGGAGCGTCCTGCATCAACCAGACCGCATATAATTTGTGCTTCGGTGGCACTCAGCCCAACACCAATCAGACCTTCATCTGCACCGATGGCCTGGTGTGCACGGATCAGCCCGTGATCTGCTTTCAGCGGAGTGAGACTCCAGCCAGCTGTGGCGATACGGACAGCTGTGGCCAGTGCGCTCCAAATTATACCTTCGCCTGCACCTCCCGCTCCACATTCGCGTTCTGCTTTGGAGCCATCACGCCCACAAATGTCACGGGAAGCTGCCCAGATGGTTACTTCTGCGACGCCTCCTCCCAGGAAATTTGCGTGACCAAGGCCACCGATGATTCCATCATTTGCCACTTAAATTAACAGCGGATTTTTAATATTAACATTTCTAAAGTAACCCCATTAAAAATACAAAGCTGTTGGTTACACAAGTAAAATATTATATTTCATTTGAAATTAAACTAAAAATTTAAAACTGAACTTATACAAAAGTTCTTAATTTTTAAATGAGTTTAAAATGGGTTTGCTTTGTTTACGTCTTAACCGATACGAACAAATAAAGGATTATTCTATAATAAATGTAAATAAAGTATAAATGTAAGTTTAATTAAGTTACCTAGAATATTATTCCCTGATTGATTAAATTAAATCACTAGCTGCAGATAACAGTTATAAATCGAGAAAGTCGTCAACATCTTCTGTTTGTCTTTTCTCCAGCCAGGAGCGGGCAGTTCGCAGCGAGGGCAATCTGAAGCGCCACTCGTCGCAGCAGTACTTGTAGACCTCATCGCCCAGTTGCACTAGCTCCATGGCAAATTCCCGCTCGTCATCCTTCCAGGTGCGGTCCTCGGATCCCCCGAACATTTCCATGCGAAGTAGGGCGGCCATCGTGGGTCCCAGGTACTTCTTTATGGCAATATAAAGCTGGGGTTTGGTCAAGGAGTTTGTTGCGGGCTTAATGGGAGGAGGTGCTTTTGGCGGTTCGGCCTGCAGTCGTTTTAGTTTAGCATTCTCCTCCGACATTTTGTCAAACTCGGTTTTCAGTTGGTTGTAATCCTGAATCAGCTTTTCAACTTCGGAGGGGGATTTTTTTACTGGTGCAGCTTCATTCTCACTTTCACTACTAACTTCCACACTCTCGTCCAGGTTTGAGAAACATGGAGATACAGTTTTCAAAACCTGCTCGTGAGGCTGCCTTTCTTGGTTAGGATTTGGGTTGTGGGGGTTAGCATCTGCGGGTTTCTGTGGTACCTTCCTTTTACTTCTGATTATTTCCTGCCGATGCTGGTTCGGATTAACTTCCAAATCATTCCCAGTTCTTGTGACATTTTTTGTCATGTGTGTCTCTTCAGATAGCTTTCGTTTCTTGGCCTGCTCCTTGGGAGTTTGCTTTTCAGTCCGAACTAATTCCTTCTTTTGCATCTCACGTTTCCCAACCTCGTTCTTTGGCATATCCACATACTTAATTTGGACAATTTTTTTTTGGGATTGCTCGGGAACCTTTGGATTATTGATTACCTCCCGAATTTTACTTCTTAGTTTAATATTCTTGTCTTCCTCCTTTGGCGTCATCTGTCTCTTGGTCAAATCTTCAGTCTGCTCTTTTGTTGGCTGATTTTCACCCAGAGCTAGGTTAATCTCAGTTATGGTTTCAATCTCCACAGGCCTTTTTATCAATTTTATACCTAATGATGGCTGCAATTGATTAATTATATTTAAAATGTTTTGAGGCATAACCGAAGTACTGCTAGTTGTGGGATTCTGGGTGGAATTCTCCTCCTCGGACAGAGAACACTGCTCCTGTTCCTCCTCCGCATCATCCTCCACCGGTGGCTGTTCCTCCTCCTCATTTATATTCAACGGGATTGCAGTTTGCTTTTCGTGTGGTTCCTTGTCTTCGTCTTCGTCTTCTATCATCTCATTCATGTCCTGCTCAATCCTCTGATCCAAGTCGATTCCAGTTTGTTTCCTGGTAACCTCCACGTTCTGGGCATGATTCTCATCATCGTCCACGAATCCCAAGGGACACTCGAAGTCCTTGGGCGGTATGAGATGTGTTTGCGTTGGAGGCTTCAGCTTGACGAGGAGTGCCTCTCCGTTCTGGTCGAGATTCTCCAAGTCCAGGGCCAGATCCCGGTTAATCCTCAGCAAAGTAGGAGTCTGCATGGGAATAAGTCTGTCCATTTTGTAGTTCATGAAGGACTCGGCGCGAAAATGCCGGGCACACACAGTTTTTCCTGCCAGTTTGGCCACTGGCGCATTTGAAACATCAGAGTTTCCACAATATCTCACCCAGTCCTTCAACCTCTTTGGATCTTTAACCGGGAACTTGAAGAAGTGCATGCTAGGATAACGGTTTGAACCCACCGGACAATCTCGAAAAACACATTTAGTGCCGCCCATAGTTTAAACATAAACAAATCCTGAAATATTTTATATTATTGCCAGTGGTGGCAAAGTTGAAGTCAGCTGCAGTTATCGATAGGACCCACCAATATAGCGGGAGAATTGAGAAAATTTAAATTGAATATTAAAATTAGATTATAACGTTTTAACTTTAAAGTTATATAAAAGACCAAACTTTAACAAAATGCTTTTCACATTTAACATAAGTAATACCGTCTGCAAGTCTTATTATAAAACATTTCTTATAAACATTATTTAATCTTAACACGAATTAATTCTTCATAATGTTGAAAAATAACTTTATATATTTGATTACAGATTTAAAAAATAAATATATTGGCATAAAATTTTATCTTTGCTTACAGATTTTAAAAATCAATGTTAATAGTCCAAGAAATAATAATAATATAAAAAAAAATTTTTTTTGCGAATATTAAATAGAGTACATTGTAGACAACACCTAGTAGGCCATTATGATTGCCAATAATAATAAAATAAACAAACCTAGAAGGCTGTGTTTAAAAACTCCGACTATTCAGATGAACTTCAACTAAAAACCTAGTCAGTTTAATATTTGAATCCGCCCGCACAGGTTGCGCACTTTTCGTTCTGCTTACAACACTGAACGTAAAAACGCGGAGTACTGTCAACCGGATATTGTATCCCTGGCGTCTGGAAATCTCTAGAAGCGTCTAGAATTTTCGGTGCTGGGGCGGTTTTCTCTATAAAAGCAGTGGCGCGTCAAATGCCGGTTTGAGTCTTAAAAAAATTTCGTGCGGTGCGCGTCGTCAGCGTCTGAAAGTTTTGTGAATTTCCCATTCTGCACAACGCAAAGTAAAAATTTTTATATTTTTACCTTTATTCTGTGAATAGAACGAAAAACATACATACAAGGTGAGTAATCCCAAAAAATAAGTTAATTATAAATTTATCAATGAAAATGGCAAGCAAGTGAATTTGTGCATCTCGAATGTTCTTGACCCAAATGCGAAATATTGATTTAAAAGTTCTAGAAACCAAGTATGCAAGATGTTCGCGTTTTTAATTGAATACATAAGGGTTTTATTGTCATAAATATTAAATATCACTTTTTTTAAGGGTGACTCAACGTGCAGACAATCAAAAAAAAATGCCGGTACTTTTTTTTTCCCCTAGAGAATTTTCTAGAATCGAATGGTCTTTTCCAAGAACATGAATTAAACAGTATTCCAAATAGGCTGACTAATTATAAATTACTCTCCTTAATTAACACTTCGAATTTTTTTTGCATTTGCATTTTTACTCAATAAATGAACACGCTATACATATAAAAGTGAATGAGCAATAGTTGAATTAAAATTGCGGCGTCAGTCTGTGAAAAATATTGATAAGATCCTGGTTATTAATTCAATTTGTTTAATTTTAATAACTGTTGCCAGGGAGATTATTTTTCCCGGTTTCTATAAGTTTTCAACTACTAACTTTTGGTTATGCTCGATTTTATAATATGCAATACCAGACACGTGTAGATACAGCCGGGGTGGGAAATATAGAAACGAACATTCTAGAAAAGGGTAAACTTGCAACGAGTGGCTAAGTAATCTCAGTTTATGGTACGCAAAAAACGCCTTCTATGAACATCCATACAGACATTTTTGTTTCTTTGTTCAAATTCTTTTGTTAAATGCTTAAATCGACAGAAAATAAATTACTAACTAAATTAATGCGTAGTTACCAAAGTGCTATTATTTTGACCCCCGCTGTTTTTGTGTATGCGCATGTTAAATGAACCATGTGGATGTGGTGGTGAAAAAGAGCGAGGAATAAGGGGGAAGAAGGGCAAACCAAAGAGCAGCTGCTAAAAATGCAGCTGCATTTTCTTTCCACCAACCGACAGTAACTAATTCAACCCTCCTTTTTCCAAATCCTTTCCAGATGCCGGAAGAGAAAACAGAGACCTTCGCCTTCCAGGCTGAGATCGCTCAGCTGATGTCCTTGATCATCAATACATTCTACTCGAACAAGGAGATCTTCCTGCGTGAGTTGATCTCAAACGCCTCCGATGCTCTGGACAAGATCCGCTATGAGTCCCTGACCGATCCCAGCAAACTGGACTCCGGAAAGGAGCTGTACATCAAGCTGATCCCGAACAAGACGGCCGGCACACTGACCATCATCGATACCGGTATCGGCATGACCAAGTCCGATCTGGTCAACAACCTGGGCACCATTGCCAAGTCTGGAACCAAAGCCTTCATGGAGGCTCTGCAGGCCGGTGCCGATATTTCCATGATTGGTCAGTTTGGTGTGGGTTTCTACTCCGCCTACCTGGTCGCCGATAAGGTGACGGTCACCTCGAAGAACAACGATGACGAGCAGTACGTGTGGGAGTCCTCCGCCGGAGGCTCCTTCACCGTTCGTGAGGACAACTCTGAGCCCCTGGGCCGCGGCACCAAGATCGTGTTGTACATCAAGGAGGATCAGACCGACTATCTGGAGGAGAGCAAGATCAAGGAGATTGTCAACAAGCACTCCCAGTTCATCGGCTACCCCATCAAATTGCTGGTGGAGAAGGAGCGCGAGAAGGAAGTCAGCGATGATGAGGCTGATGATGAGAAGAAGGAGGGCGATGAGGCGAAGAAGGAGATGGACACCGATGAGCCCAAGATCGAGGATGTTGGCGAGGATGAGGATGCCGACAAGAAGGACAAGGACGCCAAGAAGAAGAAGACCATCAAGGAGAAGTACACCGAGGATGAGGAGCTGAACAAGACCAAGCCCATCTGGACCCGCAACCCCGATGATATCTCCCAGGAGGAGTACGGCGAGTTCTACAAGTCCCTGACCAACGACTGGGAGGACCATTTGGCCGTCAAGCACTTCTCCGTGGAGGGACAGCTGGAGTTCCGTGCTCTGCTCTTCATTCCCCGTCGTACGCCCTTCGATCTCTTCGAGAACCAGAAGAAGCGCAACAACATCAAGCTGTACGTGCGCCGTGTCTTCATCATGGACAACTGCGAGGACCTCATCCCCGAGTACTTGAACTTCATCAAGGGAGTGGTCGACTCCGAGGATCTGCCCCTCAACATCTCGCGTGAGATGTTGCAGCAGAACAAGGTGCTGAAGGTGATTCGCAAGAATCTCGTGAAGAAGACCATGGAGCTGATCGAGGAGCTCACCGAGGACAAGGAGAACTACAAGAAGTTCTACGACCAGTTCAGCAAGAACCTGAAGTTGGGCGTGCACGAGGACAGCAACAACCGCGCCAAGCTGGCCGATTTCCTGCGCTTCCACACCTCCGCATCCGGAGACGACTTCTGCTCCTTGTCTGACTACGTGTCGCGCATGAAGGAGAGCCAGAAGCACATCTACTTCATCACCGGCGAGTCCAAGGACCAGGTTAGCAACTCTGCCTTCGTGGAGCGCGTCAAGGTGCGCGGATTCGAGGTGGTCTACATGACCGAGCCCATCGACGAGTACGTCATCCAGCACTTGAAGGAGTACAAGGGCAAGCAGCTGGTCTCCGTCACCAAGGAGGGTCTGGAGCTGCCCGAGGATGAGACCGAGAAGCAGAAGCGCGAGGAGGACAAGGCCAAGTTTGAGGGTCTGTGCAAGCTGATGAAGTCCATTCTGGACAACAAGGTCGAGAAGGTAGTGGTGTCCAACCGTCTGGTTGACTCGCCCTGCTGCATCGTCACCTCGCAGTTCGGCTGGTCTGCCAACATGGAGCGCATCATGAAGGCCCAGGCGTTGCGTGACACCGCCACCATGGGTTACATGGCCGGCAAGAAGCAGCTGGAGATCAACCCCGATCACCCGATCGTGGAGACTCTGCGCCAGAAGGCCGATGCCGACAAGAACGACAAAGCCGTCAAGGATCTGGTCATCCTACTGTTCGAGACCTCGCTGCTTTCCTCTGGATTCTCGCTGGACAGTCCCCAGGTGCACGCCAGCCGCATCTACCGCATGATCAAGCTGGGCTTGGGCATCGACGAGGATGAGCCAATGACCACCGAGGATGCTCAGAGCGCCGGAGATGCTCCCTCGCTGGTTGAGGACACCGAGGACGCTTCCCACATGGAGGAGGTCGATTAAACTATCACCATCTAAACAAGCCCCCAACCAAAATTCATCCAATCACTCGCATTCACATACACAATTTACTTGCGTTTCGAACTTTTGTACTTAGTTTACTACCGCCGAGTTAAATTTTGTATTCCCATTAACATTAGCCGCGTTGTATGCGACAAAACATACGCTTAACTCATAAACAAACAAGAATAACTCGTAAAATGGTTAGGTTCCCGCAAAAACATTCAAAAGCAGTAGTCGTCGTAAGAACTTCTAATTTAGAATCCAAGTAATTTATGTATAAAACTAAAGACTACATACGCGCTCTAGTTGATATAGCTATATAAAGAATGGAGTAAATGTATAATTAAGGTTTAATGACCCGATCGATGATAAACATAAAAAAACAACCAACCAAATAAACAAACAAATGCGTTTTAAAAATCAATTTGTAAATGCGAATTTATTCGGGGGAAAGTCCTTATGATTCAGATTCTTTCTGAAGCAATTGCTGAATGGCCTCCACTGTGGATACTCCCTTGCTGATCAGTATTATTTTGTTGCGAGATCGAGATCCCTTGTCTAGAGATACATCGCTCTTTCGGAGACCAAGAACTTTCGAGAGATACTTGACGAGTTCCGCGTTGGCTTCTCCCTCGCTTGGAGGCGCTGCTATTTGGACGCCCACGCCCTCCAGGCCAATCCCAGTGATTCCATTCTGCTTGGCTCCCGGCTTGGCAAGTATTTGTATGCATATATTCCCGCTTTTGTCCATTGAAATCGGACTGACTTCCTTAGCCGGCGTGGATTTCGCATCGGTTTTCGCACTTTCAGCAGTTGCCTTTGATTTTCCCTTGTTTTTCGACATTTTTTGGGCGATGACCGATGTGAACAGGCGGCGCATGAACTTTTTGTTAAATAGTCTATTTAATTTTTAAATTTAAATTCATTTTAATCAGAATTTTAGCTTATTCGCGTTGTCTTCGGCATCAATCAGCTGTTTCATTGGTATATCCAGGGTGTAGTAAAAGTAGGGATGACAGCACTTCGTGCGTGAGAAACCCAGTATTTTATAAAATAACGGGAATTTTATATCCCAAACAAAATTTATTTTAACCCAAGTATACTATTTCTGTGCTAGGTTCTTGAAAAATAAATTTATTCCTTCGAGCATAAGATATACAATTTTAGAATAAAAAAATATATAACATTCTTTAATCTACCACTATTTAGATCAATTATGTCAAATTTCACATATCGCTGTTTATTAACTTGTTCTGAAAGAGGGTACTTTGTTTTTATAAACTTGTGCATATATTTGGATTTCTTCAATATGTCTCTGTTGAACCAAAATCCCCCCATTTAACAATTAAAACCAAATTTGATTAGGTAAAAAAATTATCATATATTCCTCATTGTTATGTACTCATAGTTTCTTCTCTACTCGTCTTTGCATTAGAAAACAACGCTTTAACATTTTGCACTATTTAAAACTGCATCGAGAAGCATCTTAAAAATGCATTTATCGCCTATAAAATGATCTCATGATCATTCAGTTATTTTGTTGTGTGAGTGTTTTTAGGAGAGAATTGCAGGAATGCACATTGCAGAGCTTACAGTTAAACTAATTAATGCAAAATGCGTTAAATGGACTTAAATTTTGTATGTGTTTTATAGAAGTAAAGATATTGCAGACACAAATCGAACTGGAAAGCCGAGTTATTTGGGGTCATCCTCAGGTTGCACATTTTGCCAGGATCTATTCAGCTAGGAAAGGTTATAGAAGTAGCAAGTGGAGGTTCCGGAAGGGTCTATTATCTTCCTCCAGATGCGGCTGCTCTTTTGTGGGTGTTATGGAGTAGGGTTTCCTTACGCGGCGCGTATCGACTGAATGATCTGGAAAATGGCAGAGCCGCAGACCACAAAGATGAAAAGCGCCAGGAGCCAAGGTCCCACGGGATATTGACCCTCTTTCGTTTTCTATAAAGAGAAAATTGGAGAGATTAGCTTTAACTTGTGACTCGAGTTTGTGGGTATATTGCATTTAGAGATAGGAATTAGTGGAAACGTGTAATCAATTTTTAGAACTGCCGATAACACACACACAGGCCAGCTTCCTCACACACATACAAACGCACGAGCAATAATAAAATCAATGACGGCGTGGCACTTTTCGCAATTGATTATCGGCTTATTCTGATATTACTTTTACCGTTGTCTCCACTTTCCCTTCTCAGTAGCACTTTTAACTACCATTTCAAATCGAAAACTTACCGAGGATTTGGGTACATTGCCACGCATTGTCACATATTTGCTGGCCTTCTCGTTGGCGACGCGCATTCTCTGTGGAGGAGCCATATTTTTTGTGTTTTATGTGAAGCACAAGTCGCACTGGAAATTGAAACGGAATTTATGGTTAATTGGAAATGCCAATTGTTTCGGCCGCAGCTTGCGTGCAATTGATCACTTTAATTGGCACGAGCTGTGGTTATATATTTGCCCTGCAGAACACTCGTACCTTTCAGCCCAAAAATAACAAAACGAATGAGAAAGCGACGACACGACACGTATACTGCCAGGGCTGCAAGCGAAGGGTTGCCGCGGATACTTTAGATGGCTGTCAGGGGTGGCAAGTCACTCCGAATTGGACTTGCATTTTATTTTTAAACATTTTTATATTTTCAGAATTACATTTTATTTAGCTTGTAGTAAAACGCGCACAATATTTTCACAAGAAAATTATCCGAATAATAACTCGAACTTTTTTGAACAAATATTTTTTAATTTGACAATACACAACAAATAAAAAACAAACAAAACCAATATAAGTATTTAGTTAATGACAGTTAACTAAATTCATAATTACCTGTGCTTATATGGAAAATTTTTACAAACTTTCTTAAATAATTATTTTTTTATAATGAAATACCTTTACAAAATATATTTATTTGGAATTTGAGAATACAGATTTTTTTAAATTACCTTATATTTATTTTAAATATATTTAATTCATCCTATTTGTTTAAACTTTTAGCTATCTTAGAAGTGCGCGGTCACACCCATGGTATGATCTAATGACCCACCCACGGTCACACTGAGACCGACCCGAGGACAACGTCGCTGGAGAAGATCATCAATTGCAGCGCAGGAGAGGAGTGGCCGTTGGTGACGAAGTGATCTCATCCAATTCTGAGCAGGAGCGGCCAGAACCGGAACCATGACTATGGACACCACCGCCCTGCCATCGGAGCTGCTCGTGACCCCACAGCCGCTGGTTGGCTTTTGCGGGCTGGACACGGCGCGGGTGGCGGTGCACAAGGCCGTTTGGGAGGCGTTTAGTGGCAGTCTGCAGCGCAAGGCCGCCGACCGAGCAGCCGTCCAGTACAAACTGTTGCCCCCCAACTACGAGTTCCCGGTGGCCAAACCCAAGCGGGCCTCCTACGAGTGGTACCACCCAAAGGGCATACTGAAGCGCAACTGGATGCTCAAGCACCTGCACGTCGTGCCCTCGGTGGTGGTGCTGTTCCAGGACATGGAGTGGAACGACCTCCAGTGGACAGAGAAGCAGGTGCAGTGTGCGGCCATTGTGCAGGCTCTAAAAAACGCACTGCAGGAGCGGAATACCCGGCTTTGCCTGGTTCTCTTACAGAAGGCCGCCCCATTGCCACCCGGCGAAGACCTCCTGGCCGCGGAGCGAGCTGCCAGTTTAACCAACGCTTGCGGAATAACCAGCAAGATGCTGTTCATCCTCCCCCACACGGAACACCTCTCGGGCTACGCTCTTCGACTGGAGTCCGCCTTCCTGGACATGGCCCAGTCCTACTACGCCCTCATGTCCAAGCGGATACGCAACCATCGAGATCAACTAACGGCAGCGCACACCTCGCTAAAAATTCGTCATCAGTTTAAACTGGGATTCGTGGCGGAGATGCGTCAGGACTTTAGCACAGGTCAAAAGTAAGTTCCTTAGTAGTTTATTTACAAAGCAATTACTTATTATATATTCTTCCCCAGGCACTATTTCCAGGCTTATGCCAATCTAGACGAGATTCGAATAAATGACGGCAATTGTTTGGAGATTAAAACTCTGGCCGGGTTTTTGAACTACAAAATTTGTCGTCTTATGTTTAAGCTGAAGACTCCAAGGGATGCCATCAACCAGTTCATCATCCATGTGGAAAAGTACAAGTCTCGAGTGGGTTTCAAGGATCTGGCCTTTGAGCACCATGCCTGGCTAAGCACGCAGTAATGTCCACCAGAGAAACTCTTGTTATTTTCTTTGTTGACAACAAATTTTATTGTAGACATTCTGTATTCGCCGAGCTGTTTTGCGAGGCTATTAAGAACGGACTGCCAGCCCTGCAAACCCAGCATCCCGGGATCTATTACCACAAGGCAGCTGAGTATGTGATGAAGCGACGTGATTCAGCCCAGGAGGCCTACGCTGCACTGCAATCCTCCGCAGAGGCCACATCCCTGACGACTCAGAACCCCTTGTCGTTGTACACGGAATTCTTTGGCATCCGGGCGGTCAAGACGGGCGATCTGGTGGCCGAGCAGCAGGCCAATTTGCAGCTCTGTGATCAGGAACTGGGCTATAACCATTCGGCGGGGATCATAGCACTCCTCAGCCAGGCCATGGCTCAGTTCAAAATCTACAAGTGCCTCAGGTTTCGCAAGAAACTAGCTATCGATATGGCCGAGGAGTACCTGAAGAGTGGAGATCATGCCAAGGCCTTAACGTAAGTTTATAATTTGTATGATCCATTAGATTAAAAATAATTTTTTCTTTTTTGCAATTTAGTTTGTACTCCCTAATGCTGCCTGATTATCGCCAGGAGAAATGGTCAACGATATTCACCGATGTTTTGCTAAAGACTCTGCGTTGTGCTTTGCTCTCGGGATCCGTGGCCGACTACATTGCCTGCAGCGTTGAGGCTCTGTCCCTGCGCCATCATGGCGAGCAGGCGGAGCGGATACTGTTGCTGGAGAACCTGTGGCAGGTGTTTCAGGGTGTGCCACCCATGGGAAAAACTCAGTTAACGCCTGAGGCCGAATCGATGTGGACAAGTGCGCTGGCCAGCGTGAAATCGCCCATTCCAATTGATTTAGATAAGGTCAGTGATGTGGTGGAAATGTGTGCCACATTCGAGCGAGTTCAGCTGAACAATGACGACTTGCTGCAGCTGCAACTGATAGTGCGGTAAGTTTTCTGCACTCCTATTATGAAGCAAATCCTTAACCTACCATTATTTTAGTGTGCTCACGGATGTACCATTGAGAGTGCGCAGCTTTCATGTCATTTTAGCCGATGCCTCAAATCCACAAAACAGCTACAAACTGGAGGCACTTAAGTATTTCTGCTTTCCTAGCCTTACGCAATTGCGTGGCCAAAAGCAGCCGCAGGAGGAGCAGCAGGAGAGGCTGGCCCAAGACCCCAAACACTTCGAGAAGAACATGAGATTGGAACCCGGCTCCTACTACCAGCTGTTCTGCAGCACCGAAGCTCAGCAGTTTCACGAGAACACCCAGCTGCGCATCGTCCGTCTGGAGGCCCACATGGGCACTGACCAGGTGGCGGCTCTACTGACGTGCAGCTCCAACTACTCACGCCAGCTGTTTCGACACCACACGCGCAGCCGCGATCTCGATGACAACGTGACGATTAATCCCATTTGCTATATTGCGCCCACGTAAGTCAAAGCGATTTATACCGGAAGCAGTGGTTTATTTCCGGACAATTGCATGCAAGCAGCGCATTTTACGCTCCACTGAACATGTCTCTCTATTCCAGGTTTCATCTGGACACGCAAACGAACCTTGGCCATGGACATGAGAACGGATCGAACGAGGAACTGGCTGTGGTGTCTACAAGAATGCTGGTTAACGAGTACTATCCAGTTGTGACCACTGTCAGCAATCCGTATAACGTTTATCTGCAGAATGTGGGCGTACACATCAGTGTTCCAGTGGGTCTAAGGAATAGTGGTAAGTATGTGCTTTTTTTAGGATGTGGTTGCTTTATGTGTATATATCTAATGTTCCTTATCTTATAATGATCAAAAATGACAGTAGTTTAGTAAATGTATGGGTGCAACAATGACCACATATTATAATTTTTGTAGGGTTGAAACAAGGAACAGATTCCTTACTTTTATCTCATATTTTAAAGTATTTATTGAGAACATTATTAATTATACATTTCCTAGTTGCCCTGGGTTAATCCGAAACATTTAAAATTTATATAGCCTTTTACTTTTTGGATTCACATGCCCAAAGCCTTATCGATAAAGCTCCTAACAGTCTTGACATTCGTATAGACTCCTGGTGAATTTTTTCTGGCGCAGCCTACGCCCCACGAAACTATTCCGCAGAGTTGTCCCTGGTACACAGCCGGTCCGCCGGAGTCGCCTTCACAGGAATCCTTGACGCCGGGCACCGAAGCACAGAACATGGTGCTGGTAATGGTACCTCGTAGCTTGTACTGGCTCATACAGGTTTTCCGGGGAATGAGGGCCACATCCACGCTGCGAACTTGCATTGAAACAGCCTTGTTGCGTTCCGTAATTTGTCCCCAGCCAGAAACCTTGATGAGATCTCCGGCCTTAAAACTCGTATTGCACAACTCAATGGTGGACACTTTGGGTCCACTGATGGAAGATTTGAGCTTTAAAACAGCCACGTCTGTGTTCAGGGTGCGGGCATTGTAGGCTTTAGGGGTAAAGACTTTGTCCACGCCACTCCTTACACCCGTTTCCGAAAGTTTCGTCACTCCGGCAACCACCTGGAGGCGAGAAGCTCCCACTCCCTTAACGCAGTGGGCAGCCGTGATCACATGTTGCGGCGTGACCAATGAGCCGCCGCACATAAAGTTCCCACCGATGCGCAGGGTCACCAGATAGGGCACACTGCCAATATCTACAGGGACGCCTCCCACAATACGACTGTTGGTCTCAATGTTGGCGGCCCAGCAAAGCGGGATTAGGTGAAGCCACAAAGGCCACAGCATAGCCATCAGCTCACTCCATCCCTTGATATTTGCCCAATCCGGTAGCTGTAACTACCAATCCCCGAGTTTCCGAATCGCTGGCCACCTGAGTAAACACCTTTTCGTTCGCAGTTCCGACTCGGAACGCGCGGCTCTGTGCTCCGATTTATATGCCTTTTGGAAAACAATCATTACACAGCACACATATTATTTTATTGCGCAAATAATAATTATTTTAATAAACCGTTTTGTCCGGCTTATCGTCGGATTTCATCATGATTTAGAATGAGACCCAACAAAAATTGTTGTCTAATGGGCCTTATATCGGTGTTCTGGTCACTTTTGCTGGCCTTGTTCGTGGATGCTCGGCTGTAGTTCTTTAGACCCATCAAATTGGTTGATTGAATAATTAGTTATTGAAATGTATCTATCATAGATAATTCGATCTGAGTATTTTTTGTTTGAACCGTTTGGAAGGTTGTAATGAAGTTTTTGTATTTATTTGGAAATACATTTCAGTGAGCTTAATTTTTATTGTGTTCAATGGCTATAACATGCCACTATTTATAAAAGATCACATAATTATTAAAATGTTAATAGGATTTAAGGGTTGACAAAAATTATTTTTGAGATTATAGGAATTTGTAGAGATTCACAGATGTTCTGTACATTTATTTCTTAATAGAGTTAGTTCCTGATCCTTCTTAGTGTTTGTTCTATAAAAGAATAAACCCTTCCACTAGCCACGTTGGTGTAAACACCTGGAAAAGCAGGACGTGCACACCCGAATCCCCAAGAGACAATACCGCAAACCTGACCACGATAGACCAAAGGACCTCCTGAATCTCCGGAGCAAGAGTCCCGGAGACCACGTACGGCGGCACAGAGCATGGAATCACTTAGCTTGGCAACTCCGGCATACGAAAGCTGGCATTCTGGACCCGGAAGAACCCGCACCATGGCCGTACGGACCTGTTCGGCAGGATCACGGTTGTTCTCGCGAGTAACACCCCAACCGCTGATCCTGGCATATGCATTACCCTGCGGTGGATTGCGACAAGGAGTAATGGTGGCCACTTGCCCAGGAGTCAGGGAAACAGGCTCCTGTAGTTGTAACAAAGCTACATCCATGTCAAAGTTGGTGGAAGAGTAGCTGGGTGAAATGTGGAACATGGCTACGCTGCGAACCACGGGAGCCTCCTCATCCAAACGACTGACACCGGCGTGGATCGTGTAATCGCCTGGCTGGGATCCATAAACACAATGTGCCGCACTGAGCACCACGCTGGTTGATATCAAGGATCCTCCGCAGATAAAGTAACCACCCTGACGGAGGTAAACCAAGTATGGAACCTGAGCTATTGTTGTCTCCCTGCCGCCCACTATGCGAGTTTTGCTGGAGGAGCTGGGAATTACGAGTGATAGCTGGCAGAGCCACCAGAGCAACCATAGACCAACCATGGCGTATCCGAACTGTCAGCTACTGAGTCAGATATGCAGCTATTTTCAAAGTGATAATGATGCTGTTATTGGCTGCCACCTGGCCCGGAAGTTCGATCACACGATCGTACTATTATTCAGCACTCCGGAAGAAATATTATTCGTAATAAAATATAATATACTAAATCTACCTTATTACCACATATTTTGGTTCGAGACAAAAATTGATGGATCACCAGCAATGTCGTTCTGTAAAGGTCTTCAGCCAGTACGTAATCGATGGACTGCCGAGGCGGGTGTAGACCCCTGGGTAGCCACTGCCACAACCACAGCCCCAGGATACGATGCCCACAGTGCGTCCAGCGTGGATTATGGGTCCTCCGGAGTCTCCCTGGCACGCATCTCTATCATTTTTCCCAAGAGCACAAAACATATTATTTGTAACTTTTCGCTGACCCCATTTCAATGATTTGATGCACTGCTTCTGGGAAACCAGCTCAACTTGGGCCGCCTGCAAACACTGATTCGGGTTGTGACCCTGATTGTTGATCGCTCCCCATCCCATGACCGTTAGATTGGCCTGCCGGGGCATATCGTTGAAGTCGATCTTAACCAGACTCGCATTGCCAGCGATGTCAAAGGGGCGACTCAACCGGATCACGGCAACATCGGAGTCCAGATCGCGCTGTGGGCTGTAATGCGGTGATACTCCGACATGCCAGACCTTACGAACATGCTCTGGCGGAGACGGATCGCCCAAACACTGTTGTTGGGCATGTATGGTCAAATCCCAGAGTTTTTGATGCCGTCCCTCCAAACAGTGAGCCGCTGTGAGAACACAGCTGGGCGAGATTAGTGCGCCACCGCAACGGAAGAAGAAACCACGTCGGAGATTAACCAGAAATGATTGCTTATCCACGGGCGTGGTTTTTCCTCCAAAGATTTTACTCAATTGAAGAGTAGAGGACGAGCATCCGTCCAATAGTTGGAGCAGTGCCAGTCCATAGAGAAGTTTAAACATGGTCTACAGAAATGCAACCTTTAAAGCAAGTTTTTATATTAGGTTATAGGCTTCCTGCATACCCCAGTTAATTGCCTCTAGATAAATATGAACTATTTATTGACCCTTAGTGAAATAACTTAAGATTAGACTTAGGAATGCTCTTCTACCACGCGCAGAAACCAATCCCGGATCACAGGCACACTGGTATAAACACCAGGCAGAGAGGAGGCGCATCCATAGCCGAAGGATACAATTCCGGCCAGTTCACCGCGATATACCAAAGGACCTCCCGAGTCACCATCACAGGAATCCTTTTTATACAGCTTGGCGGCGCACATCATGGAGCGGGTGATGCGATGGATGCCCTTGAAAGCCGCGACACAGGAGAAGCGCGACCACATGGGCACCAGGACGCTGTGCACCCGCGTTGCCGTTTCAGTGGCATCGGGAGTTAAAAAGCCCCAGCCCGAGACTTTGACCAAAACTCGAGCTGGAACGGATTCGGAGGCCAAAGCTATGGTCTCTATGTTAGCTCCAGTCATTTCTGAAGTAAGACGCAGTGCAGCCACATCCATATTAAGGGTCTTGCGATTGAAATCCGGACGAATTGCCACAAAGTCCACCTGGCGGATAGTAGCATATGGACCACCCTGATCGGAGGCACCACCATAAACCTTGAACTCATCCTTATTCTTGGCGTAAACGCAATGGGCCGCAGTGATCACCCAACGGGGTTTTATAAGCGATCCTCCACACAGCTCCGTGGATGTGGTGACCTGTACGAGATATTTTTCCTTCTTGATGCTGGACACCTGACCGCCAATAATGCGGGGCTGTATCTCCATGCTGTCGAAATAAGAGGTGGAAACTGATCCCTGAATCGGGATAAGGAGCAGCAGCATGGCAGACAGACACCGGCCAATCATGGTGGTTAACTAACTAGAGTAAAATAAGGCAAACATCTGATTTTATATCAGTAAATCTGCGTGGAACAGAGATCAACATTTACACAATTGTTTAATCAACCATCTTTGCCTGGAAGTCAAACTCGGAATTGAATTTGGAAGAGCGGAAACGATCATATCATATACATATTTATCAAAGTAAAATCCACAAAAAAAAGTTTGCCCTTTAATAAAAAGACATAAGAAAGCCAAATTCTTTTCAAAACAAAATTCTGACTTATAAAGACAAAAATTAATTTAGCGCATAAAAAATTAGATTTATTTTGCAATAGATTTGTTTCACAATCATTTTATATTCTCTTGAACATAAAAGATCATGTTTAAAACTTATCAAGTAGTTATTAGTTTCACCTAGGGAAGTCTAACACGTTTCGACCGTAAAATTCTAAACAGAGTTAAAATCTTAAACAACTGCCTACATGCCTAAGTTATTTATCTTTTCTGAGGAATTCACTACAGTTTTGTTGACAGAACACTATTTTTTTTAGTCTATTAACGAGGCCAACCTGTTCTCCGTCAAGATAAACACTTCACTTGTTTGGTCATGGTGAGTTCTGATGAACTTGTTTACCGTTCTTTGTTGATGATTTATATTTTAAGTTCCCAAATTTCCAAAACTTTTTAAAGATCTTGATTGGTTAACAAATATTTATTAAATCGTATGTTGCTACTAACGACCTTAATATCTAGTTCATTTAGTTTTCTATCGTTCAGACTTCAGACTCCTAATTATCGGCCATAACCTTGTTGGCCCATGTGCGGATAGTGGACACAGCTGTGTAGACACCTGGAAATCCGGCTCTGCCGCATCCATAACCGAAGGATACGATGCCCAGCAGGGAGTTGTCCTTGGTCACAGGACCTCCGGAATCTCCGCTGCAGCTATCCTTGCCGGCTGCGCGGCCACAGAACATGTAATTGGTGATCTTGGTCTTTTTGCGATACTGCGTCCGACACTTTTTCTGTTTGGACACTCGTATTTCAGTGGCCTGTAGCGTTTTGGTGGCGGAAGTCCCTCCCTCCGCAGTTACTCCCCAACCCGCAATGCGTACTTTTGATCCTGGCTTTGGCCGATTTGTAGCCATCGATATGGTTCCAATATTTGTGCCCGTTAGGGTTTCGTTCAACTTGAGCAGCGCCGCATCCATGTTCATTTTTTTGCTGGTGAACTTGGGCGCCACGTGGACGGAGCTGACGGTGCGATTGACGCAATCGCTGCCATCTAATGTGGTGCTCCCTCCGCAGACCGTAAAATCGGAGGCACTGTGTCCTTTCACACAATGGGCGGCGGTTAAGACCCACTGGCTGTTAATCAATGAACCTCCACACAGATTAGATCCCCGGCGCAACTGGACAATGTAGGGAGTCGTGGAAATCGTTGTGCTGCTGCCACCCACAATCCTCGATTGGATTTTGGCTGGAGTTGAAGTTTTCTTATTTTGATTGACCTTTTTGGCGGATAGTTTTCTGGCTGTATTTCTGTTGCGGTTGCTCCTTACTGCCATATTTTTTCCATTGGCGTTTCTCTGTCGCCTGTTTCTTTTAGCAGTCGCCACCGCATCGCCCATTTGGCTGAGCTCGGCCAGGATCAGCACGGCCAAGATCACATACTCCCAGCGCCAAAGCATCTTGCTGTAAACTGTTGTTTTGGCGACCTTGCCCAGGCTTTTATGCCCGAATATTCAGCAAAACATAGGTAAACCACCTGAGCAAATAGAACGGGTCACATTGGAAGGCACTGCCACTTCAATGGCATTATTAGTTCAAATCCAGATGACGTCAACGATCAGGGTTAACCAATCTAATACTGATTTATTCAGCTTTTAAGCGGAGCTAGCAATACCTGTAAATATTATCCGCTATCCAATCGGACAGGTAACTCACATCGGAGTAAACGCCGGGACTGTTTTTGTCGGCACAACGATGAGCCCTTCCCCATGAGACTACGCCCACTAGAAACCCGTGGGAATTTACCACTGGTCCGCCGGAATCAGCGGCACATGCATCCTTTAAACCCGGAACGGAGGCACAGAACATACTGTTTGTAATATTGCGATAACCTCGGTACAGATCCCTGCATTCCTGTTGCGGCATCACTCGCACATGGACGCTGTGCAACTGATTGGGCAGTGATGTGGAGCTGTCATCGGTTAAACCCCAGCCGGAAACCCGAACAAAAGAACCAGGACGAGGAGATCTCACGGCCAACGAGATGGGTTGTGCAATGGAGGCCTGGAGCGGTTGCTGGAGCTGCAACAGAGCCACATCGTGTTCCAAAGTAACGCGACTGTAGGCCGATGGGAGCAGGATATTCCTCACATAGCGGGCATTACGCATGTCATTCAGATAGGTGACCCCGCCTCGAACCACAAAGTCGGACGGCTGACCATCTTTCAGGCAGTGGGCGGCGGTCAAGACGCAATGTGGAGTGACCAGAGACCCACCGCATTCGAAGTTCCCACGCCGCCTAATGTTGACCATATACGGCTGATTCCGCACCTCACTTGGATGGCCCCCAACCACGCGGGGACTCCGCCGTAAGCCGGGCTCTTCTGCTGGGATCTCCGGAATCCAAAGCAACCAAATCATCAGCGGAACCAGCACACCTTGCATCTCGATCTTAACTGGCCTGTAATGTGAACTTCGATGAACTGGAGCCCCAAAACCTAGATAACAATCATTTATAGAGCTGAGCGGCACTGACCTTACCCAATGAGAATCAACTTACAAAAAACACCTGTTTCCCGCTGTTTACACACGGCAATGAACTTGGTATTATGGGGGCTAAGAGGAAGTAAAGAGACACTATTCCCACTCGATAGAGTTTGTTAAGGGTTTATAACAAGATATAAGATAAGAACAGATAGTGGGAATAAAATGATTGTGCTTGTTTTGGGTATCCAAACAAAAAAAAATATGGGGGTCAGTGGGTTTGCTTATATGTTACACATCAATATATGAAAACAAGAAAGGAAGCAAACTTCAGCAAGCCGAAGTTTCTTTTTTTTTCTTGGAGGTATGTCACTTTCAAGTTGGCTTAAATTTGGTAAACTTATGGACTGTAGAAGTCTAACCGTTTTACATGTCATCTGAAACTTAAGAATAAGCAACATTAAAATGGGACTAAAAACGGATCAACGTTAAAATAATAAATTTGAACGCAGATTTTTAGAGAATCGAATCACAATTCTTTAGAGGTATGCCACTTTGAAATCGGATTAAATTTGGTAAAGTTGTGGAATCTAGAAGTCCAATTTTTAGTCACACTTTTACAAGACATCGGAAAATTAGAAATAACTAACATGAAAATGGGTTAAAAATTTGATCAACGTTAAATTGAAAATTTTGAATGCATATTTTTAGAGAATTGAATCACAAGTCTTTAGAGGTATGCCACTTTGGAATCGGATTAAATTTGGGAAAGTTATGGTCTCTAGAAAGAGACATCGGAAAATTAGAAATAACTAACATGAAAATGGGTTAAAAATTTGATTAACGTTAAAATGAAAAATTTGAACGCAGATTTTTAGAGAATCAAATCACAATTCTTTAGAGGTATGCCACTTTGAAATAGGATTAAATTTGGTAAAGTTGTGGAATCTAGAAGTCCAATTTTTAGTCACACTTTTACAAGACATCGGAAAATTAGAAATAACTAACATGAAAATGGGTTAAAAATTTGATCAACGTTAAAATGAAAAATTTGAACGCAGATTTTTAGATAATCAAATCACAATTCTTTAGAGGTATGCCACTTTGAAATCGGATTAAATTTGGTAAAGTTGTGGAATCTAGAACTCCAATTTTTAGTCACACTTTTACAAGACATCGAAAAATTAGAAATAACTGACATGAAAATGGGTTAAAAATTTGATCAACGTTAAAATGAAAAATTTGAACGCAGATTTTTAGATAATCAAATCACAATTCTTTAGAGGTATGCCACTTTGAAATCGGATTAAATTTGGTAAAGTTGTGGAATCTAGAACTCCAATTTTTAGTCACACTTTTACAAGACATCGGAAAATTAGAAATAACTAACATGAAAATGGGTTAAAAATTTGATCAACGTCAAATTTAAAATTTTGAATGCAGATTTTTAGAGAATCGAATCACAAGTCTTTAGAGGTATGCCATTTTGAAATCGGATTAAATTTGGTAAAGTTGTGGAATCTAGAAGTCCAATTTTTAGTCACACTTTTACAAGACATCGGAAAATTAGAAATAACTAACATGAAAATGGGTTAAAAATTTGATCAACGTCAAATTTAAAATTTTGAATGCAGATTTTTAGAGAATCGAATCACAAGTCTTTAGAGGTATGCCATTTTGAAATCGGATAAAATTTGATAAAGTTATGGACTCTAGAAGTCCAATTTTGGGTCACCCTTTTACAAGTCATCGGAAAATTAGAAATAACTAACATAAAAATGGGTCCAAAATTTGATCAACGTTAAAATGAAAATTTTGAATGCAGATTTTTAGAGAATCGAATCACAAGTTTTTAGAGGTATGCCACTTTGGAATCGGATTAAATTTGGGAAAGTTATGGTCTCTAGAAGTCTAATTTTGAGTCACTGTATTACAAGACATCGGAAAATTATAAATAACTAACATGAAAATGGGTTAAAAATTTGATCAACGTTAAATTGAAAATTTTGAATGCATATTTTTAGAGAATTGAATCACAAGTCTTTAGAGGTATGCCACTTTGGAATCGGATTAAAATTGGTAAAGTTATGGAATCTGGAAGTCCAATTTTGAGTCACTCTATTACAAGACATCGGAAAATTACAAATAACTTACATGAAAATGGGTCAAAAATTTGACCAACGTCGTATTTAAAATTTTGAATGCAGATTTTTAGAGAATCGAATCACAAGTCTTTAGAGGTATGCCACTTTGGAATCGGATTAAAATTGGTAAAGTTATGGAATCTGGAAGTCCAATTTTGAGTCACTATATTACAAGACATCGGAAAATTGGAAATAACTAACATGAAAATGGGTCCAAAATTTGATCAGCGTTAGAGAATCGAATCACAAGTCTTTGGAGGTATTCTATTTTGGAATCGAATTAATGAAATCTATAAGTCCAATTGGAATATAAATTATAAGGGAATCAACCACAAGTCTTTGAAATTGGCTTAAATGTGGTAATGTTATTATTTACAAAGGATCTAATAAATAAATTGAGTTTCACTAACCTTGTCAAAAATGTTTTTGAACATCCTCAATTTTAATTACATTTTTTTTCATAAGATTACATATGTAAATTCTTCAAATATCACTTAAAAAACAAAAACAGCACAATTAAGTGCACAGAAAAAAAATATTTAAAAAACACTAATATTTTCATATGTTGAAATATATATTTCACTTAAAACTACAAAACAAAAAATAAAAAAATGTAAAGGTCTAAAATGTAACTTTTTAATTCACAATAACAAAAAACAAAATAAAAGCAAGATCAAGCAAGCTTACATGTTTACACTCGCAAACGTATCTTTACACTGATTTATGAGTGTGTGTAGAGCACCCCCTTTTGCACCTGGCCCAAGGAGCACCCCTTTGGTCGAAATGTACCAAAAGTTGCCGTTTAAACGCAAAAAATTTAAACGATATTCTTGCAGAGCACAACAATCACTTCTTTTCTCAATATTTATAAGCCTTTTAACAATTTTTGAATCCGAAACCGGCAGAAATTTAATCATTTGTAATTTTAAGTGAGCAGGCGTGCGTCGCTGGCATTTGCGGGAGAGAAAACTGAAAGCTCTGCCGAGTTTTAGGCGCTCAGTCGTAAGAAAGAGCTTTTGAGCTTTGACCAACGGTTAAAAGCTCTTCCAGTGATCTGCTTGCGTTTTACCGACTTATTCTTTCAGTACCGTTACTTTGTTTTTTATTGAAAAACGAAAAGCAAATACACAGAAAGAAAAATATATAAACAAAATCGGCTTAAATTTTTGTTATAGACTCTAGAAATCCAATTGTGTGTCACCTTTTTACAAAGAATGTTATAAATAAATTAGGTTTCACTTACCTTGCTAAACATATTTCTGAAGATCCTCAAATTTAATTTCATATTTAGCCATAGGTATAAACATGTGTATTCTTCAAATGTCACTTAAAAAAAAAAACAAAAACAGAACACAGTGCACAGAAAAAAAATATTTAAAAAAAAATAAACATTTTCATACGTTTAAATATATGTTTCACTTAAAAACACAAAAAAAAAAAATAAAAAATGCATAGGTTTAAAATTTAACCTTTCATTTCACAATAAAAAAAAGCGAAAAAAAAGCAAGATCAAGCTAGCTTACATATTCACACTCACAAACGTATCTTTCCACTGATTTACGAGTGTGTGTGGAGCACCCACTTTTGCAACTGGCCCAAGGAGCACCTCTTTTGCATCTGGCCCAAGGAGCACCCCTTTTTCAATTGGCCCAAGGAGCACCCCTTTTGCAAAATGTACTTAAAATGGCCGTTTAAACGCAGAAATCGAACCGACCTTCTTGCAGACCGCTGCACTCACTTCTTATCTCAATATTTTAACACTTTTAACAATTTTTGAGCCCGAAACCGGCAGAAAATTAATTATTTGTAATTTTAAGTGAGCAGGCGTGCGTCGCTTGCACTCGCGGAAAAGAGAACTGAAAGCTCTGCCGAGTTTTAGGCGCTAAGTCGTTAGAAGGAGCTTTTGAGCTCCGACCAACGGCAAAAAGCTCTTCCAGTGATCTGCTTGCATTTTTCCGACTTCTTTAAGTACCGTTATTTTGATTTGATTCAAAAACAAATAGCAAATACACAGAAACAAAAATAAAAACAACTTTTTTGGACCAGTAAATTATTTTATGTGGATTTTAAAATATAACAAAACAATATTTTTAAAATTCCTTGTGTTCCCCTTTTCAGTATTCCTCACAACGGACATCTCCCCGGGCCGCCAGAAGCTGCACGCCCAAATCCAAATCGATGTGGGCGAGCTGTCCGCCCACGGGAGCAACACGGCCACCTTCTACATTTTCAGCCTGGCAGAGGCGGAGATCAAGCTGCAGCAAAGATTGAGCTACACTTTGGATGTCGACCGGGGGTCAGGAGGAGTTGGCACCAATGCCCGGGTCAGCACCGCCCCAAATAGCTCGGAATCCACTCCAGATCACGAGGTAAAGGGTGTGGTCCAGAGCCTGGCTGCGATTTCCCCGGTTCAGATCGAGTACATTGACGAGACGAGGTTGCGAAAGTCTCGGGAGGATACGCTCACAGTGCGTTGCTATGGGGACTTCAAGTTCACCGCCCGTTTCTACACGCTGGACAGAAAGCCCCTCAACCAGGTGTATCGCGGGGAGAACTTCCTCCTGAGGGCAAACACGGAAATAGTGGCTGTGGATGATGTGGATATACTGGACAGCTTCTTTATATGTGTATGTATTCTGGGATAGGTAAACCTTGAAACCCCTCTTAACAACCACTCCCCTTCTCCAGGATCACAATCTAGTGCAATCGAACTACAGCTTTAAGCGGAAGAAATACACCAACAAGTACAGTGCCGGTGAAAAGTTGGAAAGCGTGATAGTTCTCCGGACGAATGACACCCTGCGGGACTGGACAACTGCCCGGGATCTGGATCACCGTGGCAAGCTGGAGGGCAAGGCGGTGGCCAGTAAGTTCATCCGGCCCGCAGTTAAACTCTCCAGCGAGGAGCCACTTGCTCCGACGCCGCCCGCTGGAATTAGTGCCTACATGAGCAAGAGTCTGGTGACCAAAATACCCACGACCATGACCATCATAAACAGCAATTCGGCGGTTTCCAATGCCCTGCAGGTGGCCAATGCAGGTGTGATGAGCAGTTCCCTGCAGTCGGATGATGTCAATGTGGCCGAGGAAGCCTTGAGTACCCAAGAGGGCCTGAAAACCACGCGACTTGTATACAACAAAGCTCTGGAAGCTGTCCAGGGCACGGGTCATTGTCGCGGCTTCATTAAGGGCATCTACACGCTAGAGGGGCTTCAATCCGCCCTGCCCATTTTCGGAGTATTCTGCATTCGCTGGCGGCGCGCAAATGGCAAGGAGGAGAACGAGTCCAAGTTTGTGATCAGTGGATTGGACATTGCAGAGCCACCGCTGAATATCTACTGCACCATCGAGGAGAAGATGTTTGTGAAGATGCCCATGGCCTTTAAGGTGGTGCTAAAAAACCCCACAACGCATGTGCTCCACCTGATAGCCAACTTAAGTATCAGCAAGACGGATAACTTTATATGCTCCGGTCACAAACAGGTGGGTAATCTTAAATGGAAGCCCATTGGATCTCGCCTTTAAATTATCAACTATCTATTTCAGCTGGACATCTCGATAATGGCCTACGAGGAAAAGGAACTGGTCTACAACCTGTATCCCCTACAAGTGGGCTGGCAGGAATTACCAGTGCTGAGCCTGGAGTACAACACCAAGGCGGATCCGCAGAAGAACGACAGCCAGAATGCCTTGCTCGATGAACTGGTGCAGCGTGCACTGCCCAAACGAGTCTTTGTGCTGGTAAGTGATCCGGTGATCGATAGAATACCTCCAATACTAACTCATCTTTAATCCTTAGCCACCTCTGAAGCAACAGAACAAGTAAGAAGGATGATCCAGCGATGATGCCGATATAGTTTAAGTGTTTTAAAGTTTACAATTGTCACTGGTGTGTAAAAATTAACTACGCCAACTCCCTCTTTATTGCTAACAACAAACATACATTACATAAATAGCTATATTTAGAGAGTTACATAGCATAATACTTGAGAGTGTGTGATTGTATTGTATAATGTATTGTTAAACGGGCCAAGACACACTTGACACTCTTGTTAGTTGATTACGGCATTTCAGATAAGCTGTGCTAAGTCCTGGTCAGTACCGCAAGCTGAACATATTTTCGTACATCCTAAGAACGTACAGTAATAAATTTAAAGCATACAAATATCGTTGAAAAAGCTCACAAGTTTTAGTTATTTCCGGATCACTTTCCGCTTGAAGAGAACTTGAAGACTCCCTTTTTCTGACTACGGTTTTCGTTCTGCTAAAAAGGTTAAAGTAACTAGTTAATAGGAGGAACTATTATAATAGTTATCTATGGTGACTCACCAACAACCGATTTCCGAACAGCATAACGGCCTTGTCCTCCGCTTCCTGCGGCGTAGCTCGTTCTGCAGCAGACAGAATTGGTTGACGCTGGTGGATATGCAGCTTCTGCTTGATGGCCTGCGAGAATATCACCCGCCGACTCACGGATTTCATAGCCAGCAGCAGATCCAACCAGGTCCACGTTACGTTGTGATACTCCAGCGTCGGTATAACTAGTGAGTAGTCTGTGATGTCCTCCAGATTCTTCTCCTTGTTGCCCTTGTAGCTTACGCGCACGGGCACCTCGGGAATCTTGATATAGATGAACAGCTTGTTTTTCTCCGCGCGCTCCTTCATCTTCTCCACGTCATCCTTTTCAATCTTCACATAGAATTCAGAGTCCTTAGCTCCCTTTTTACCCTTACCCGAGCGCTTTGTGGATGAAGATGTTGAAGGCTTGGCCTGTAAATTCGTTGTGGACGCCGAGCTAGTTGTGGCGTTGTCATCCAACTCGTCGCTCACCTCCGTTTCGGAGGCATCGCGATCCGGGAAGCAGAACTTCAGCATTGTGCTGTAGAACTTTTTCGTGATGGCAATCGTGATGGGCGCCACATTGATCTCGAAGTGTTCCTTCACTGATATGCCGCCCACTGGAGCCTTCTCCCGGCAGAAAATGCGCAGCACTCGCTTGTGGGTGTCGACGGGCATATCTTTTTGGATTTCGGTGGCCAGCAGTACATCGCGATAGATTTCCCGGGGCAAGAGGTTCTCCATGCGTATGTTGCCCAGCTCCAGCAGGTGTTCCACCGAGTCGTCGCTCTTGGACTTTTTGGTGTAAAGGAAAGCGCTCAGGACAAGATCGGCTATGCCGATCTGGCCATCCGTCTCCGTGAGCCGCCACTGGGCGCGCTTAAAGCAGATCTCGTTGGTCCGCACCATGGTCACCGACTCGTCGGAGCGCACGTTCAAGATCTTGCTGAGCTGCGACAACTGTGTCTCCTTGTAGCACAGCAGCATCATGTCCAGGTCCTCGCTGAACGTGTTTAGCTCTTCCTTGCTCTCGCGGATCATCTGCTGCACGTGATCGTATTCCTGACGCAGGTCTAATGTGTCGCCTTCCTCATTCCGCTCCTTGCTGATCATGTGTGTGTCTTTTTCCAGCGAGCGAATCTTCATTAGCAGACTCCGGATAACCGTCTGCTTTTGTTGAATAGGTCGCTTCTGGTCCTCCGTTGAGTGCAACTGAAGCTGAAAGCGCATCCGCGTAAGTTTCTCGGCCGCCTGCTTTCTTTGCGGTTCGACATAGAGCAGCAGGTTGTTTACAATATCCAGGATCATGGCATACTGCACCGAGTTGGTGCACACATCCAGATCATGATGCATCAGGGTGAATGCATCTACGGGGTCGTCCTGTTTCTCCCACGGCGATTGCAGCTCTTCTGAAGGCGGAGGCGGTACTTCCGTTATGCTATTAGGATCGATGGCATCGCCATAGCTCACATAAAAGAACTCGCACTTACACTTGGACACAATGCGCTGCAGTTGGACGGGCTGTGCCTCGCCAGAATTTTCACTCAGAAAGGCACCCACAGTTTCGGAGACTACGCCGCCCACACTACGCCCACTGCCCACCAAGTGCGAGATGTCCGGCAGATTGTTGATCACTGTCTCGTCCTTGTCCTGAATGTTGTCCACTGTCAGCCACATGATTTCCTTCTCCAGCAGGGAGTTATTATCTCCCGCGCTGACTGTCGCATAGTACTGCATGCACTCCAGCAAACCCTTCCACGTGGTCTTCGAAATGAGCGAACGTTCCCGCCAAACTGGGCGATGCTCCCGCTGCAGAATCTCCGCCTTGGCAGCACTGATGATCACATAGCCAGACGTCTCACAGCCCTTCAACAGCACCTGGGAGTTCACCAGGCTGATGGACCAGTTCTCGTGGATTATATCCTGGGCGGAACACGCTTGCAGACCCTGCAGCTGGAGTTCCCTGGATTGGGTGCTATGATCATCGCTGTACACATTGAACTTGTGGTCCGCCTCCGCGATGAGTTGCTGCAACATCGCTGTGGCAAGGTTCTGGGCTGGGGCCTTTTTCAGAGATGCATTTGCGTTTGAAACTAAAAATTTGTACGTGATATCTAATGATTTAAAGTAAAGTATAAATAAACTTACTTGGCAAGACCTCGCTGCTAGTACTGGATAAGGTAATGGTGCTATCACTTCGCTTATGCTTGAGAACAGCAGAGCTAGGACCCTCCTTGCGATAGCTCTTTACCGCCTCGGTGGACAGATTGTTCTTCAGTTTCTGGGACTTCATAAAGGAGTCAAACAGAGTGAATGCCACATCCCGATTGCTCTTGGTCCAGGCTCCCTTTAAATCATACACCACCAACTTATGGGTGGGCGTCGTGGACTGGGCCTTCACGTCCTCCTCTGTGCTCGTAGCCGTCGTGGGTATCAGTGCTTCGCGCCCGTAGGAAACCTTGGCCACGCTCAGAAAGTAGAATCGCACTATCTTGAAGGCATCTGCTGCACTAGCCAAATTCTCATTCTCGGTGAGAATGCTCTTTAGCCAGATCTCAGCGTCGTTCAGCTCGCAGTTCATGTAGATTGTTGACCAATCCGCCCGTGGGCGATGGATGAGCCCATCGTCAATGGGATTCAGGGTGAGTGAGTGTTCGGAACTGAAGGACACTCGACGGCCGTTCAACTGGAATCCCTTTTGCAGGGCATGGGACATCCAGTAGAGCACTTGGAATTTGTGCAGGCACATCTGCAAGTTGGCCTTCTTGTAGTGCCGACTTAGCGGCTTTTTTCGGGGTCTCACATTGTTAAAAACCGGACCACGACGCGTGGGCCTTGTCACACCCGATAGGATCAATTGGAGACTCTCAAACCATCTCAATGTGCTGCCGTATAACACCAGACTGGGTATGTCCAATTCCAAATCATCGCCCGCTTTAGGCTTCGTCTCAAAGGAAATCCAAATATTAAGATTCAACGAACGGAAGGCACGGAATGAGTCGTGAACCTGATTGCTTGAGTACTCTGGCAGCTTGTCCGGAGCACAGGGCATCACGGCGTGGTGGTCGTTGGGATTGGCCAGACAAACCCACTTCAGCTTGACGGTCAGCTTAAGATTCGGGAAATGAAGCAAACGGCAATCGTCGTAACGTGAAGCCGTTCGAACAGTGACCTGTAAAGGGATAACTTTAGTAATCTGTTGGACAACTGTTAGGATTTATTGGCTTACATTCAGTTCCCCTTTGAACATAATCTTCGCATTGGTCAGCACAATCCCGCAATTATTCCAAGTCAACTCCATTTCCTCAGTGGTGTTATAGGGATCCAGCGAGGCATGGAGGAGTATGGTAAATCGCTTGGCTATCAGCGTTAAACGACCATGCAGCAGTAAACGCAGCTTGTCCCAAAATGGCAAAGGAGGCGAGGGATCCTTCGATGGAGCCGAGATCTTCTCAAAGCTCAGGTTGCACTGGGCCATCACAGGTTCCCAGCAGGCACCAAAGGCATAGCTGCAGCTCTCTAGCTCGCAGTCAAAGTCGTGGTAGAACTTTAGCGACGGCATGCTGCGTTGGATTACTTTGGTGCCAAATGGTTCACCCATCTCAATGTAGACATCACGCTTAGCTCGCTTGGAGCCCATTTGCTCGGCTCCACAAAGATTGCCATACAGCCGCATGCTGTTCACACAGAACATCGGTTGCGGGAAGTCCCTGAAAGTATAATAATAAATTTATAATTATTAATATGATTTAACGGTATAGATGACCACGCACCTCAGCATGAATTTCCATTCGGTGCAGCTGATGTTGACCCCTCGACACCAGAGAGTAGAGAACTCCAGTCCCTCCTCCGGCCAGGGACTCTCATGATCGATCTCACGCATTATATGCGTCACATTTTCGTAGCCATGGATGGAGGTGTCTGCCATGGCCATAATATTCACATCCGTCATGATCCAAGCCAGCAGGCGTGTTCGAACTGGGCCACTTTCGCGAATCTTCTTCGACCGCTGTATGTATATTTCTGAGTTCTTCTTCACCAAGTTGGCATAGAGACTTTCCTTAGTTCCAGCTGGCAAAAGGAGACGTTCCGAGCAGAGCTCTCCGATCTTCTTATCGAAAACCGCCTTGCGCTTCAAGCTTTCCAGATATTCGTCCACCAGCAGGACATAGTTATCGCGAAGCTTCACTTCGAAGGGATCGTCGCTGATTTCCAGCAGGAACTCCTTGATCTTAATCACCAAATCACAGGGCAGCGGTGAGTCCACCGTAAACGGTTTCTTCTTATAGTTATGTATAAGTTTTAGCCACTTGAAGTGGGAAACACACTCGCCGTTAATGGCATTGTAAAAGTCGTGGTCATATGGGAAAATGGCTTTAAACGATCCAATGGTCGTGACCCACACTTTGTTGAAGGGCAACACAAAGCCAGGAAAGTTTTGCCGTTCTTGGGTGAGTACCTCCAGACGTGGGACTGACTGCAGATCCAGCTCTTTGACTGTAAATATGTGCTGATCATCGATCTTGACAAACACATTCTCCGCATAGATGATGCACCGTTCCTTCTGACTGAAGAAGAGGCTCTCCACAAATATCTGAATTGAGTGACGATCAGAAAACTTTATCTCAAATATTGTGCTACGTTCGGCAGACAACTCCACCACAAGTCCTCCTCTGGGAGTGGTATTCTTTACAGGCGAAGCTGGAATCGCCAACTCCGTCTTCAAGTCTTGCATATCCCTTACTAAGGTTAACAGGTGCATGTGCAAATTGGAGTTCCACGTGGCCTCCGTGTTGCCGGGTATGTAAATAGACAGTTTTCCCAATGTACCCTCCACTTGTTCATGCTCCAGTCGTATCAATTTGCAATTGGCAAACACGTCCGAAAAGTCGGTGAGACAAAGCGAAGAAGCCGTCAGCGAGCGCATTATTGCCATCTGGAACTCCTCGAGTTTCAAGGTGGTCAAATTTTGAGCCCGCGACAAGTTAAGCTCTGAGAAACTGAGCAGCGTATAAACATTGTGATGATTAACAAAGTAAGCCGTAATATCCTTGACCTTAACGGACACTCGCAGTGAGGTAGATGATTGTGATGGCTGCACGGACAGGGTGAGGCCTGCATTCGGCCTAGCCTGAGATTGACCTGACATCCTCTTTGGTTCCATTCCACGGTACTGCCTGAGGCACTCCATTGATTTGACCACAAACTCCGCCAACTGCATGCTGTACTCCGTGCGGAAAGTATGCACGGATATGTCCAGTTTGGTGGTGTTCGCATACGAGCAGAGCTTAACCAAGCTCACTCCGAGGAAGAAAGGCGACCCAGGCGAATGGGTTTTCTTGAGGTTGTTTGTGTCGTTAATAGAGTTCTTAAGATTTGACCACAGCGTTTCCACCATTAGTTCCATGCTCCATTGCCGTTGATTCAACAGCAAATTTAGGAACTTGTTTTCATAGAGATTACTTCGTTTCTCCTCGATTTGTTCCAAGAGGAACCTTGTATGACTGACGCTCATGGCTATGTGCTCATCCTCCAATTTCATTAGGAGTGAGACATTGAACAGCTCCGCACAGCCTTTGACCACGATCCTTTGCATGATCCACTCGAGAACACCGCCTTCCCGTCTCTGATTCCCACGGAAGTGGCTTTCCGGCGCCGTCTCCAGATACAAGTGATCCGGCAGAGATTTCTGCTTAAGTATCAGCTGCATTGGCTGTGATCCGCTCGAGCGCTGGCGGGCCAGAAAATTGTTGTTGACAAAGTCATAGATCTCGCTGTGGTTATAGATGATTTGAAATGTCTTAAGCTTCACATACAGATTGAAGATGTCTTTTTCCAGCTGATGGGGGAATATTTTGGGTAACACAAACATAAATTCTACAAAGGCAGGCGGTACTTACCACAGAATCTATGGTGAATTGTTCTACAAAGAGTAGTTTCTCATATTTAGTATCAATGTCTAAGTGCTGAAAACCCAATTTTGCAAGCATTGATGGTAGCAAAGTCTTTTCATCTGTGACTTTCGAGTTAAACTTTCCCGATATCTGTGGGTAAAAGTTAAAGTATTTATAAATATAAAGCAGTTATCTAAGAATCGACGTACTTGAAACGACTGCAGCTTGGCACTAAAATCGTTCTGTGAATTTTCTTTGACGGCGGAGAATGTTGCCGCTCTGATGCTAAAGCTAAAGTTCTTTGGTATAATGGGCGCCAGCTTCTCGTAGTTATCATTGTCGAAGGACCTTTTGGAGGGAGCTAAAGCCTGCGTGGAACGTCGTGACTGCTTACCAGTCGATGTCCTTCGCTTGGCCTCACTAAGGAATTCGTACAGACCGCCGTGGACGACTGATTTGGCATTGTTGATAACCAGACTAAGGGTCTATGAATTGGATAAATGCTTAGTATGCCATAGAAACGCAATTTAAATCTCTTACATCCATAGACAGCGGTCCCTGAGCAAAGAGCGACGCATCCAGAGTCATGTCGAAGCTGACCTCGCCCAGGCATGGCCGAATCTTGTTCAGATTCTCCAGTGACTGGCGGCGGGAGCTGCAGTGCCTCAGCATCTTGGCTTGCGCTTCGCTGAGCGCCGCATTTACCAGCAGGACACGGGCATTCTGGACGATACTTCCGTCCAGATGGAGTTCCTTTGCCGTGGCATGAATGAACCAGCCCGGATCAAAGTCATTGTTCATCAGGACCACTGATATGTTGTTAATATGTACGGCCATAAATTGGGCAAATGTGATGATGCTCGCCGGCACTTTGGTTTGCCTGAAGTCTGGCACACCCTTCGCCTCCACCGGCTTACTCTCTTGAGTCCGCCGGAGTTCGTAGAAGTCCTCAGTGTCATCCTGCCGGCTGTGTATGTCCTTGTTGATCCGGATATCGCGGATGTAAATGGAGAGCAGCTTGGTCACCTCGGTGGTGAAGAAACTGCTACGCAGGCACACTTCCTCGATTTGCTGAAAGACCAAGAGGCTTTATCGCTTCGAAGTGAGAGATTAAAGGTTATTCATACCACCGAGAATCCACTCTTGCTGATGTGCACATTCTTCAGGGACAAATAGGGCAGTGAGATGCGCCCAATCCGTACTTTGACCCGAAACCTCTTTACCAAATACCAGCTAATGCCCGTGGGCAAAATCCTAAAATGGAAAGTGATTAGATTTTATGTTTACAACGATGATGAGCCAATTATGTTGGCCCAACCCAAGCGGTACTTACCAATAGATGATGATGAAGAGCGCCAAGCAGAATAGCAGCAGGTGTAGCATCATGTTCGCGCCCCAAACACCATAGTGCTCCAAAATTTAATTTGTTATATTATTGTTTTTAAATGTTATTACTAAAAATTAAATACTGAAATTTACTAGTTGCGGGAATAGTGTGAACTTATTTAAAAAGCTCAAAAATACCACCTCAAACGGTCTGTTGCTAATCTAATTAACCCTTGGGGATCTGCCCAATTTACAAGCAAACTTTTTAACAACTTTTGAGTCATTGCTAACTTAAAAGTTTGCATCAAATGCTCTCAATTTAAAATCAATTCCATGTTTTGTTCCTTATCTGATTACTAATTCTGCCAAGTCAAAGTGACGAAGCCCATCGAGGGTTAAACATAATTAAATTTAGGTTTTCCACAGACGGTCGCACTGTAGCTATACATCTTGAACACAACAAATTAAAAAAAAATATAAAGTTATCTTATCGCCGCTGCCCGCGCCCGATATTTGATTGTAAGCATGCGTGCGTGAAACCCGTGCCCCAAAACCGCGATGTTGCTGTTAGAGCTGAACATTCTGACCCTGAATATTTGGTGAGATCTCATCTCCTTTTAAGGCTTCTGTACGAGGTGCTCCTGCATTGACCTCGATCTGTTGAGACTAACAATATGTGTACACTTTCAGGGGCATTCCGTATGTGTCGAGTGATCGCGGGCCCCGCATCGATGCCATCTGCAAAGAGCTGGGAAGCGGGAAGTATGACATCGTGTCCCTGCAGGAGGTGTGGGCGCAGCAGGACAGTGAGCGGCTGCAGAAGGGCACGGAGGCAGTCCTGCCCCACAGCCACTACTTCCATAGCGGCGTGATGGGCGCCGGTCTGCTGGTGCTCTCCAAGTACCCCATTCTGGGCACGCTGTTCCACGCCTGGTCCGTCAACGGCTACTTCCATCGCATCCAGCACGCGGATTGGTTTGGCGGCAAGGGAGTGGGCCTGTGCCGCATCCTGGTCGGTGGCCAGATGGTGCACCTGTACAATGCCCACCTGCACGCGGAGTACGACAATGCCAACGACGAGTACAAGACGCACCGCGTCATCCAGGCCTTCGACACTGCTCAATTCATCGAGGCTACCAGAGGAAACTCGGCGCTGCAGATCCTGGCTGGCGATTTGAATGCCCAGCCGCAGGATATCTCTTACAAGGTGCTGCTCTATACCTCCAAGATGCTCGACAGCTGCGCCTCGGACTCCTTTCGCACCAACGAATGCCAACACAACTCGTACACATCTAAGCAGGCTCTGCAGAGGAATCCGCAGGGCATCCGCATCGATCACATCTTTGTGCGTGGAGGTGATCATGTGAATGCCGAGATAGTAGAGTACAGCTTGCCCTTTCCGATACGAGTGCCCGGAGAGAAGTTTAGCTTCTCGGATCACGAGGCTGTGCTGGCCAAGTTAAGATTATCTAAGCTAACAGCGAGAACGGAAGAACCAGTGGCCACCATCGAAGTGAACTGCCAGGTGGAAGACGGCGAAAGCTGTGTTGTGAGGGAACTGGGAGCAGGCGATGCTCAGGCAGGGGAGGAAGAGCAGGAACAGCAGCCGGCCCAGTGCAATGGCAGCTCCACTGCCATCCAAACCATCCCCGCTGCCCGAACTGCCGCCCTTCACGAAGCCTTGGCCCTGTGCGATGCTTCCCTGCTGCAGCTCAACACGGATCGGATTCTGTACTACAGTGCCGCCACCTTCCTGTTCGTCCTCCTAGTCCTGCTGGTGGAGTTCACCGCTCCCGTGGGCATGCGCACCATCTTTCTGCTGCTCAAGTTCATCGTGTTTGGCGTGATCCTGTTCTGCGTCTTCATGGCCTCCATTTGGAACTATATGGAGAGAAATGGGGTGCTGCAGGGCAAGAAATCGATGGAGGTGATGCTGTACTCGTACCAGAAGTACGAGTACTTTTACTGAAGCTGTGTCGAGAAGCCGAGCTCAATGCGCATTTAAAATCCATGTGTACCGTAGATTAAGAAGCGTTGTATTGTCTTTAACTAGAGGGTGTTACTAATCTGACGCGATCTTTTACGTCCAGTAATATTTCAATGCATTTCCATGGTCTCTTTCTATGTAACGTCATCCATATCCCAGGAATTATAGTTCAATAAATTCGACCAACATTAAGAAAACAAAATCCAAAGCGTGTTCAAAATCATTGGTAGGAACAATTATTTTGTTTTTATCTATAATTCAAATTATAATTTTCAAGGGGTTTTCTTGATATTATTTTAATTAAGAAAATCATATATTTGGGTCAACAGCCTCGAAGATTATATATATATTATTATATAGTTTTCAGTCTAGGCCGTAAAGTATGCTTCATTTCCCCAACAAAACCATATCCCACATATTCACAGAAATTAGCTTTAATATTAGGGTGTTTTTAACATTTTTTCTTTATTCTCGAGTAGAAAACAGCTCCGCATAATCCCATCTGGTATAGTTTATTCGGGCTTCTTTCCCTTAGCAAGCTCGGCCTTCTTTCCCTTGACGGGGACGGGCTTCTGGGAGCGCAGGACAGCAGAAGCACGGCGGAGGGCAGCCTGAAAACACAAGGAAATTCATAAGATAAAGCCAATCAAAGGATTACTAGACTATTTTTTGGTTGAGAGCCTCAGATAAGTTTATCAACACGATCATTCAGCGATCTTGGTTGTGTAGCATTAAAAAAAGATCATCATGACAAGAACCAAAAGAGATGTCTCTGGCATTACAACGATATTTACCTGGGTCAGGTCCTTGCGGTATTTGGAGCCGATGAGCAGGTTCTTCAGCTTCTTCAGGGAACGGCGGGGACCGGCCTTGAAGTCAACACGCACGGTGTTCTTGGCGGGACGCTGGGCATACTTGCCCTTCTTCAGCACGGCGGTGAAGCCCTTCTTGTCGGCGGTCGGCACGACTCCCAAGGTCTTCTTGTGCACGATGCCGCTGTAGCGGAACGAGCTCACGCTGGCCAAGTTGTTTGGCTCCTAGAAAAGTGAGTTTAATATTTATTTAAATTGTTAAATTATCTCACGAAAGGATGATGCATTCAACTTTTGTCAGATTAGAGTTACTATCATGTTGTATTCAAATATCATTGTGAAAGTTGTAAGTTGGAAACATCATTGTAAAAGAGATTCGTTACCACGATTATAGACTGGTACAGAATAGGTATTAGTACCATTTATTAAAGAAACTTTCTTTTCACTTTTTCTTGACATTTAGACGAGTCTATAAACGTGGCACATGGTATTTAAAATCATATTTACTTACTGTGCTGAAGGGCTTGGCAACATCGCGCTTCTTCAACAAGAAGGCGTTGTTGTTGCGAATGATCAACCAATTGAGGTGCGAAGAGGTTGCCATCTCACGTCTGTAAAGAATTTAAGAAATCAATTATTAATAGCTCAAAGCGACTTAATATTCGTCTATATTTTTTTTTGGGTATTTCAGTTTTGGGTGATGAATATAGTCTTCAAGAACTCTTCTGCTAAATCAATCCTCATTAAACAAATCTGAAGTACTCAGGATGGTTTTTACTGCTTACCTTTATAAGAAAATCACCAAATAGCCCAACAAAAAGGAGAGACATGGAATAAAAAGAAAATTGGGTAATTAGATTATGATCTTTTATAAAAAACTTTAATAGTTCTTGGTATATTTTCAGTTTTGGGTGATGAATATAGTCTTCAAGAACTCTTCTGCTAAATCAATCCTCATTAAAGTAGAACTGAATTACACAGAATAGGATTTAATGCTTACCTTTATAAGAAAACCAGTAGATAGACGATCATAGCGGTTAACATGAAATACAAAGAAAGTAGGTGATTAGATTCGGATATTTTTAAATAAAGATAATTATATCTTGCGTTATATTCAGTCTTGGGTGATGAATATAGTCTTCAAGAACTCTTCTGCTCAAATCATTCATCATGGAAGAATAAATCAAGCGTTTAAAGACCACACGTGTTCTTACCTTTATAGAATAAATCCACACAAAAGCAGGACAGGGATTAGCATGTAAAGAAAGGGAAAACGAATATTAGATTGGGTACAACAAAGTCGACTTATCTTAGTAAATTGACTTGATATGTTTTTTGATATTTAAGCCCGGCCTAGTTTCACAACTAAAACTACACACTTTAATCACTATTTGCCCGCTGGGTTGCACGTGTGGGTAAAACTCAATTTACCTCCGAAGTTCAGCGGGCCGGCGGTAAATGTGACGGAAACACGTGGGGCAGGCATTATGCCTCAACACTTTCGGAGCGTTTAGAACGCTGCCGGAACGCTAGAACTTAACCAAATCGAGACAAAACGCAAAATGCCCACCTTTTCTCGTTGAAAGACAAGCAGGAAAGAAATATGGCAGCCCGGCATAGCACGAAGTTGGCTGCGCTTGCCGAAAACACAGGGTTGCAGTTGGGCCAAACGAGTTGGCAGGACACCTATCGATAGGAATCCGACATACCCGACCCACGTTGCCACCAAGTCGAATTGGAAAAGTTTCGTTGCCTCTAAATTATACCAATGTTTTTAATTCACTGAATTGTTTTTGTACCATTTTGGACACATTAAAAAAAAAATGATACAAATTGGAAGACAATTTCTTACCTATACCATTTGGTTATAGTTTATAATTTGGAAACAAGGGGCTTATCTCCATTTGGTCTAAGTTTTACTATCAAAAACGCATCCTAAACGCATTATCCTAACTTAATTTATTGGTATTTGTTAATTAATTCCTTTATTAATTTATTCGAGTAAAGAAAAAAGAGAATTAATTATTTAAATTAATTCGTTTTAAATGTTATATCTCGTAGCTGAAAATATATTTAGTGGTATTTGTTTTTGACCGGTTGGTATTTTTTGTCGTTATCGGTGCGGTCACACTGCTTGTCAGACACATTTCCGAAAAACTCACTCAGTAAAACGTTAAATTAAAAGTTCAGATATCAACAAATCATTTCAAAAAGTTTTTGTTTTAGGCTGTGGTTTGTTTTTATTGTCGTATGTCCATCCAGAATTTAAACACTCGTGGTAAGTAGAGGGAACACCAGCGAGTTTTCCCCGACTCTTACACATGTACATAAAAATGGCTGCCTGTCCGTCATCATCGCACGCACACACATACACACCCGCATATAAGACACGCTGCAAGGGTGTGATTACATTACATCTATTTGGATCCCCCGATAATCCCAATAATCAATCCAATCTTCCACTTTACAGACCCCTTTGCTGATGCAATCAAGGGCAATGATGATGATATTCAAGACGGGCTAGTGCACATAAGAATCCAGCAGAGGAACGGTCGCAAGACACTAACCACTGTTCAGGGCCTGTCCGCGGAGTATGACTTGAAGAAGATAGTCCGCTCCTGCAAGAAGGTGAGTTTACCTATAATCTACGTTCGGCCCACTTTGTCACAATACTGTAGTAGGAATTTTCGGTGGTAACTTTCCGCACACAGCCGCGGTCAGCATGAGTGCGATGCATAACCCTTTCCACCTGCATAGCCCAGTAATATTTGTGTATTTATACCCTACCCACTAGCTTAAAGTTCAGTCTTGAAAAAGCCAATGTACATATTTATCCTATAGCCATTCAATGCTAGCAACACAAAATCTCTTCACTCTCCTCAAAGATAGATCTATTAGATTTCTATCCTCTTTCCAAAGGTGGTATACATAAAATCACCCTTTCCACTTGGTAATAATGTAAAGGATAAATATTTGGGCTTGGTTTCCCAAATGAATCAATAATCACAATGCATTTTTAATCCAATCAATGTTTTATCATTTCCCACACACAATACTAACTTTCTACACGAAGTATTTTATTTTTATTACCCTTTTACCTAAAAAATCAAGCGCACTATTTTGAACAAACAAATAGCTTTCTCTGCTATTACACTGACCACATACGTACTTACAATTTGAAAAAGAAAATACATTTTATTCCCTTTTCAGGCCTTGATAGATTTCTTAAGCTAGGCTAAAAAACAGAGCATTGAGTAAAAATTCCTACAGTCTTGTGACAAGTGAACGATTTCAACCCAAAAACTAATTTTTTGAATATTTTGCAGGAATTCGCATGCAATGGCACTGTAATCGAGCATCCAGAGTATGGTGAGGTCCTGCAGCTCCAGGGCGATCAGCGTGAGAACATCTGTCAATGGTTGACGAAGGTGGGACTAGCTAAGCCGGATCAGCTTAAGGTGCACGGCTTCTAGGCGGACGAACAAACAAACGGTGTGAATTCTCATACTACTATTTCATTCTTAAGCTCCACAACAACACCCAAAACTTGCAAAAGTTCTTAGTTCCGATTAATTCAAACACTCTTGATAGAACATTTACATGAATACAGAAGCAATAGACCATTAACTGAGAACAATGTTATAAATAAAATTAAATGTTCAATTTAAATAAACGAATGTGTGCGGGCGCTGTCGTAGCATAATGGGACGAAAGTGGAGCATTTTGTCTATTTTCTGCGTCTATATGGGAAGCGAAGAAATATGTTGAGCTCAAAAAATACAGAGGATTTTTAAGATTCCTTTCACGACATTGCAAAACTTATCCAGTGTCTGAAATATTTAAAAATAATGAACGGCTTTTTAAAATATTTATATTGTCTAAGACAAAGCCTTCATTGAAAATCTGACATGCTTTTATTCTGAAACCTTAGTCATTTAAATAATGTTGAAGCCGTGATTATCGAGATAGTTATAATTTCGAATTACCAATTAAAAATTTAAAATAAAAACTGCCCAAATTAATGTGGTTCATGCCCCAGATACACCGAAGATTCAAACCTAGCTGTAATTACATATCCCGGTATGTTTATTAGAATCGCTACGCGGTTTAACGACTGTTGTCTAGTAAGGACATAGTTTGCGAAGGTAATAATACCAAAATATACCAGCTCACTTTAGACAATAGACTACAATATTTTCTTTCTTTTAAAATACTAAATATATATATATAATAAAAAAGCGGAGCGCGAATTTTTTGCGTGTGTTGCTTTTTGCTGAAAAAAAAGGGTTCGTGAGTGTCAAACAACCACAAATTCGCGCCTTAAAAACAACGCGTTGGAATCGTCGAATTTCCCAACGATAATTCGCTAGAAAAAGAAAACGTGGACGCGCGGAACGCTTGGTGTTTCGTTTGTTCGTTCGGTTCGGAAATTTAACAAGTGGTTTGGCCACCAGCAGCTGCACAAAATCGGCGTCAGCGGGTGGATTAATCCAGGATTTCTTTCATTTTGAATGGTAAGTGTGTTTTATCACACAATTATGCAGGTATTTTGTGTTGGAAAGGGGCGGAGGGGCGGGAAATCGCTTAGCAATATTATGTTCTTGCACGTTTCAGGGCTGCAGCTTTGGATGCAGTTGGTATTTTTTGCGGTTAGAATATCATGTTGGTATTCGTACAGTATTTTAAAATGTCATTATTTTATAACTAAAATTAAAACTAATTTTATAAAACCTGTGTGAAAAAAGCCAATTAATAGTGTTCTGATTAGGAAAACATTCTGACACTTTTTTAATTCATAACTGCGAGAACAGTGAAAAATCGAAGTTATTTTTCAAACTGCTGGCATTTTCAATCACTTGCAACCCTGCCTCTCGATCTATCGAAACGGCGAAAGTTTTCTATGACGATGAGAAGTCGAATTTTTGGATTTTTCGCGTGACAAGTTGGTGGTGAAAAAAAGCAGGCAGAACCTTAAAAATTGATTCAGCAACTTGGCAAGCGATTGACAACTGAAAAGCGCAGCGCTGGCGGGTGCGGGCGGTTAAAGTAGGGCGTGAAAAGTCGACAAAAAAAATCAATTGCCTCTCGGTCGTTTTCAATTTTCAATTCACACATATTCTCTGCGTGTGCAAAAAAGCGAAAAAAAAAGGAAAAGCGAGAAGAAAAAAATAGACTGCAAACGAAAGAAGAAAAAGAAACGGCAAACGAAAAGAAGAACAGCGCTGAAGACGAAGACGGAGGAAAAGAAAAAGGCAGCAACGTAGAAGTTGAAGAAAATGTGCAGGAAAAGGGGCGGAGGAGAAGGAGCCGTGTTTTCGAGTCGCCAACAGTATAAATAAGTAACCATCATCGATAAAGAGCGCGATTCGAGTCGCGGAAATAGGCGAAATACAAAATTTCGCAGTGAAAATCAAATTTTCCAAATAGAAAGAAGAGCCTCCTCTCTCTCGCTCGCTCTCTCTTGGCCTATCCTTTGCTCTCTCTCTGTCCCACTCCCGCGACTGGGTGGCAACGCGCGTGTGTGTGTGTCTGTGTGTGTGTGTGAGTGTGCCGCGTGCGTGAGTGTGTGTGTAGCTCGAAAGAGCAAAAAAAAAATAGATTTAACAAAAAAAAGAAAATAAGAGAAAAAGTAGGAGAAGCAAAATAACCGACTGTGTCTTTGTGTGGAATTTCTTGATAATTGCAACATAAGTTACCATGGAATACTACTTAGGTTGGTAAAAAATAGTTAACTAACTATGTATACATATGCATGTGCCACCCCCTAATGTACCATATGTATGTGTGTGTACTTTACGCTGGCTTTGCGTTTCATTTGTTTGTTTTTACTTTTTTTTTATTATTTATTCACTCGAAATGGGGAGAGTTTTCCTTTTCCCAGCGTCTAGCTTCCTCCGATTACGAAAGTTTCCCGTTACGTCTACAAAAACACAAAAATTGACCTTGTTTGTACACACAATCACACACACTCGCACACACACCACCCACCCACTGAACCTCCCACCCCTCATACTATGAAAACCTCCTATAATCCCAACCACTTGCAGGAGGATATGTCTACATGAACGGAGATGCAGTCAAGATCCAGCCGCCCGTCTACACGAACGTTCCTGTCGACACGGCGATGCTAGCCACCAATCTGTTTGGCGCCACCACCCAAATCGCAGCCTCCCCCGCAGCAGCCGCCGCTGCCCACATACCGTTGATCACAGCCGCCGCTGCCGCCGCCGCCGCCGCAGGCGCTCCTCCGCCAGTAGCTCCTCCAGTTGCAGTTGCTCCAGCGCCCGCCCAGCAACAGCAGGCGCATCCACACCAGGCCCAGCTCCTGGCCCATACGCACGTAGCCCACCAACAACAACAGCAGCAGCAACAGTCGCCGCATCCCGCCCAGCATCTGACATACGGCCATCAGCCGGCGCCGCCACAGGCCACGGCGGCTGTAGGATCAGCAGGAGGAGCAACATCCGCAGTAGGCAGCGAGTCTCAGGACACCAACGAATACGCCATCATGAATGGCACACTCGCCCAGACGCAGGACGGCACCGTGGTCTGCTACACCACAGACGCCCTCAACAATACGAATTTAGTTGCCCTCGATCCGCAGCCCCATCAGATTGTAGTGCCGGTCCAGGTTCCTGTCCAAGTCCCAGTGCCCGTTCAGCTGCCTGCGAACGGCTCGGCCGATCAGCAGCAGCAGGGAAGCCACAATGCAGCCGCCGGGGAGGAGTCCAACATACCGCTGGACAAGCTCAAGCAGATGCTGGCCACCCAGCTTGAGTACTATTTCTCCAGGTGGGTTGTCCAGTCTCCCAATATTATATATTATCTAACCTTTTTTATACCCTTGAATACAGAGAGAACCTGGCCAACGATACTTACCTGCTATCCCAGATGGACAGCGACCAGTATGTGCCCATTTGGACCGTGGCCAGATTCAATCTGGTGCGGAAACTAACCAATGACATCAAACTCATCACCGAGGTGCTGCGTGAATCGCCCAATGTCCAGGTGGACGACAATGGCACGCGCGTGCGTCCCAATCGCAAGCGTTGCATCATCATTCTGCGCGAGATATCGAACAACACGCCCCTCGATGACGTCAAGGTAGGTGACTCCTCACGCTTCCCCAGGCCATTAAAATACTAATTGGATTTTGTGTGCTTTGCAGGCTCTGTTCAGCAACGATAGCTGCCCCCGGCCGATCTCCTGCGAATTCATCGCCAACAACTCGTGGTACATTACCTTCGAGTCGGATGACGATGCGCAGAAGGCGTTCAAGTACCTGCGCGAGGAGGTCAAGGAGTTCCAGGGCAAGCCGATCATGGCCCGCATTAAGCCCAAGTCGTTTATTAATCGCATTCAAGCTGTACCAAATATGAAGAACGGCTACGGTCTAACGTCGCCGCCGACTGCCAATGTCTTCGATCCATCCGGAGCCGGTGCCGCCACAGTTAGCTATGCGGGTGCCCAGCAGCCCCGCTACTTGTACACCAACGGAGCAGCCCTCGCGGCTCCCGCCTCAGTTCCGTACAGCAACCCTGTACTGATTGTGAGTATATTCTCGACTAAGAATGACTTGAAGAATTGCATTGTTATTTATTGATTTATAACAAGAATATCTTGATGAATAATTTTTTTAATAGGTATAAAATAATTTCCACTTACATCTTATCTTATTGTTTTATTGTTCTATTGAACAGTACGTATTTCTAATATTTCCATTTTGCCATTTGCCATTTCATAGTATGAAAATTGATGGTTAAATTATTTTTTCTTCAATTTTAAAATACAAAATGAGTTCATATAATTGCATACAACCAATCATCATTGCCCACAAATAGCCAATTCTTTAGTTAACGCTTCTATACTGCTCATTAAACATAATTGTAATCTTAATCCTTTCTTTTCACAGCCGATTCCGCCAAATCAATTCTATCCCGGCTTAGTGGCTAATCCCTGGCCGCCTGGCACTGTGGCAGCCACTGCCACCCATGGCCAGAATTTCTACGAGATCGGGGGCAACATCTTTGCCACCAATCCCTTGGCTCCGCAAGCCGTGGCAGCCAGTTTCGCTCAAGCTCCGCCACCCACCGCACAAACGATGGTCACGTCCAAGCCGCAGGGCGGTGGGCGCTACAACAACAATCACCGCGGCAATCCCAACAACCTGGGCGGTGTTAACTCGGGACCACGCGGCGAGTCGAGGGGCAAACCCCCGCGCAACACACAAACAGCTTCGCACATCCAGGGCGGTAGCATTGTGCCCATCCAGATAACGGGCGCCATTCCAGGAGGAATGGTGAGCGTGGTCCCTGCAAACATTGTGCAGGATCCACTCCAGCAGGCTCCTCAGCCGCAGCAAGTTCTCCAGCAGATTCAGCAGCAGCCAACGAGCTCGGCTCAACAGCAGGCCACGGTGCAGGTGAACAGCTCTACTCGTCACTATCCAATCAAGAGCAACTGGAAAGGTGAGTTTTCAACAGGGTTTTTTTAAATATCCCTCACGTGTAATTTTGTTTAAAACTTGCGAGGTGTTCAAATATGTTGACATTGGTTAGGAAAATAGTCAGAAAATCAAAATCATAGCAGGCATTTAAACAGGGTAAAAAAAGCAATCGCTAAGAATGGTTAATTTTTTTATTTGTATATAAATATACTCGAAGATACTCGTATTTAGTGGTCAGTCTAATAAAAATATATATATATTTTATTTTTTGGCTTTGAGTCTAGGCTTTGAAATTGAAGACTTAATCTCTAATTGAAAACTTTGTCGCTGATGAGGGAAATTTATTTTCTTAATTTTTCCATCTCATTGTCGTCACTCGTGGTTAATACTTTATCTTACAAATGATGATTTTTTTCATTATGATTATTTTTGAGGGATATTTAAAATGACTGATATATGCAAATCCTGGTATTAAAATTGCTCAAGCAACTGAACCCTTCTAACTGCTTTCTTCTAACTACAGGCGGCATGCAAAAAAATCTGGACAAGAGCTATGGCGGTGGAGTGACCACTCACCATCACTACACCACCCAGGTGCAGGCTCTGCCCGCCCACAGCCACCACCTGCAGGCCCAACAGCAGCAACAGGGACAATCCCAGCAGCAGCACTATCAATTGGCTTCCTCCGGCGCAGCCAGCGCCCCGCAAGTTACCTACGTGTCCACTGCTCCGGCTCAACCGCAGCCCGGCCAGCATCAGCACCACTTGGTGGTGCAACAGACGCAGCCACAGCAGCAGCAACAGGTGGCCATTCAGCAGCAAGTGCAGGTGCAGGAGCTGCAGGAGGCGGGGGACGGCGTCGAGCATGGCTCGCACGCCATGCAGCAGGTGAACCGCAGCAGCAACATGTCTGCCAGCTCCTCCTCATCGCTGGCCACGTCGATCAGTAAGGAGCCACTACAGTGGCAGAATCGCCCGCGTCGTCGTCGTCGTGATGAGGAGGGCGGACTCAACTACTCCCCAGGCGGGCGAGTTGGGGTAAGTAATCTGCATATAATTCAAATCATCTTAGACATGTAATTGTCGTTTGAAACTGAAATTGTAATGAAAACGTTCATTATTATTCGACTTTATTACAGATTTACGGCAGCTCACCCTCGAATCCACATCAGCAGCAGCACCTGCTGACATCTTCCGCTGGCAGCAATATTCAGCCAGGTGGAGGAACCGAGGGGGCCGGAGCCTCCCATCGCGGGGAGCGCCAGAGCCACTACAACACTATCCACGACGTCCCACCGCCCCAGCACCGTGGCAACTACAAGGGCAACAACTACAATCCGCACTACCACGCCCAGCATTCGTCGATGGCGAGTGGCTCGCACCACCACCATCACCACAACGCCCTGTCCTCACAGCAGCAGCAGCCGCACCACCTGTCCTCCGGCACTGGACAGCAGGGCACGGGACACCACTACCACCACCACCATCACCACAACTCGATTGGCAGCAATGTGGGCAACAGCGGCGGCTTGGGCGTCAGCAGTGGCGGATCGGGTGGCGGTGGATCAGGTGGGGGATCAGGCAGCAACAGCCTGTCCGGCGGGAGCAACGAGCGCGGTATTCACCACAGCTCCTTGGGCCACCAGCAGCATATGATTGGTGAGTATTATTTACAAAAATTGTTTCGCTGTATTATTAAGGATTATTTACAAAAATGGTATTATATTTTATTAATGTTGTCACCATGTTGGTGTGTATTATTCACAAGAACCGTATAACCGTTTTAGATTTAATATTAATTTGTTATTTATTTAACCTGCACCAATAATTTAATGTAATTGTTTAATATATTTTTTTTTATTGCAGGACTGAGTCAACAACAACAGCAGCAACAACAGCCACCTGCGCCGGTGCAACCGCCGCAGTTCGATCTAGAGGCAGCCGCCTTTCCACCACTGCCAGCCTCATCGGCCACCGCACCGCACCCAACTCAGGCCACTGGCGGAGCTTCCCTGCTTAACTCTACCACCTCGTCCTCCTCGTCAACGGGTCTGGGCCAGAAACAGGCGCTGCACCAGCAGCCGCAACAGCCACATCAGCACCAACTATTAAGCAGCAGTGTGGAGAGCGCCGGCGGCGATGAACAACGCCCAAGCAGTCTCCAGGGAATAGAGAGTAGCAATATCCACCTGGCGAACACTTCCTCCGCCAACAACTGGGCCGAGAATCGACTGTCGGACGTGGTCCGCACCGGAGGTGGTGCTGGTGGAGGAGGCAAGGGTAAGGCGCGTAAGGACAACAGGCACCAACAGGGCCAGAACCAGCCGCACTTGGCACACAACTATCAGCCGCAGCAGCAACAGCGCAATCCACCTGTTAGCCCCACGCCCGCCTTGGGCGCTGAGTACGCGCTTCAGCTTCAGGAGGGCAACAATACTAAGAACGTTACTAAGCAGAGCTCCAGTAACAACAATTCGATCCATGTGATAAAGTGTCTAACACCAAATATCAATGCCAGCGGCAAAGAGGAGGCGGCCGGAGCCCAGCAGCAGCACCAGCAGCAGCTGCTGGACAAATCAAACAAGACTGAGGATGAACTGCATCCAAAGCAGCCGTCGCAGCAGCGACTGGTCGAAGGCTATATCCAGCAGCAGCCGCATCTGTCTCCGCTGGCTGGCCACAACGAGTACTCCGCCTGTTCCGTTGTGGAGGGTGGTCTGACCACCAGTCTGGCCGAGTGCAGCCTCGGCCAGCACAAGAAGCCGCCCTCAGTGGCCGCCCTGCACGCCAAGAAAGAGGTCAATCTGCTGGAGAAAGGTGCCAGCAAGCACAAGAGCGTGGCCACGTCCACGTCGACGGAGAACCTAACCAAGCTCAGCTATGCCCAGGTGGCCCAGCACCACAAGGCCGCCTCCACCGCTGACAGCAAGGAAGCTGGCTCCGGCGGCTCCACTGGCACCCTGTCGCCCACCGGCAGCCACAAGATGGACCTAGTCTTTGGCGATCCCGCCGCCGTGGCAGCAGCCGTGGAGAAGAGCGGCCTGACCACAGCCGTTTCGACCGAGAAGCGTGCCGTAGGTGGTGCCTCGCCAGCCGCGCTTTCCGGCAAAGCAAGTGGCCCCCTAACGACCAATGCCACTCAAGGCAGCGTTGTCGTGGTCTCTGCCAAAGAGAAAGGTAGGATCAAGAGTTCTCAAGAAAACTGGTAGTGTCGATCCGGTGTCGGAAAATGCAAGCAATTTTAATTATGTTTTCATATTTTTTATTCCTTTGCTATACTTGTTTTAAAAAAAACGTCTTTCGTTTTGAAGAAAAGACAAAGTCAATAGCGATTAAGTTGCATTTCCCGATCCACCACTACCATATCCAACGTGCTTATTACGAATTAATTTAATCATCTATTCGCATTTCTCAGATAATCGTCCCAATGCCTCCGTTCGCCAACTGAGCAAGGAGAAACAGCAGCAACACCAGCAGCAACATTACGGCTCTGCAACAGAGCACAATACCAATGCCAATGTCGGCTCGGGGACTGGCGGCAACCGCAAGTCCAGGGCCAACAACTCTTAAGAGAAGGAGGGAGTGGAGAATCGCGTTGCCAAATCAAGGCAACAGTGAGATACCTTTGCAGGATGCCTTCAACGATGCATCCGCCTGTATATATATGAAATTCCATGTGTAAATATGAGCAAACCTTTTTGTTATACCTGTAAGTGCTATAGATATTTACGAGCAAACTAAGGAGGCATATGAAAGGTGAGTTGGTGGTGCACCCCGTGTGATCTTACTCTATCATTTGCATCTTGCAGCAGTTGCCGCTGCTCGATGGACGCGAAAACGAGAGCAGAGGAAGGAGCGAGCAGCTGGCGACGCTTGGACCAGTTATCATATTAGTAGGGAAAGACGAAAAATGAATGGTGCATACCCTTTCTCCAGCTATATTTAATCAGTTATCAGTTAATGTTAATCTACCTAAGCTAATGTTACCTAGACTCGATGGGTAATCACTTAGTTTAGCGCCGCGCGGAGATCCAGGGAGAAGGCGACAGCCAGAGGAGAAGAGACAAGAGATGAATATGCCTAAGCTATTATTACGATTACCAATAACGATGCCGAGTGAATAAGTCTAAGAGGTTTGAGCGTAGTTAGCCTACTTGCATCGAACGACAAAGCAAAACTAAAGCAAGCTAAGCCAAGCAAAGGAGGAAAGGAGAGAAAAGGAAAATATTAGGTTTTATTGATAAATTACCGATGAACTCATGAATCACACGATGATTTTACGTTTTATTATCTACGTTTAATATTTCATCATTTTCATTTTTGCTTTCACATCAAAACATAATGTTTATAGCCAAAACAGAAGTACACAGATACGAGTACGTAGCGAAAATAGCTATGCCTCCGCTAGTCCCACAGGTTAGGGTTACTTCTATTATTTAGATATATTATATATAATATACACGATTGTTTTGAATCATTGTAACATTTTAACGGATGATCTTGTTTGAGCAAGTCGTTTTTTTAAATAACTTGATTATGGGGATTCTCGTACTTAGTTCATGACTTAAGGGATCCTTCACACAGACACACCTGAATACGCCTAGACAAACTTATCTTCCCCTTCCCCCAGACACCGACTCGTGTATACCCCTAATTTTTATACTTGTATCGTATATCGCGTGGGAAGAACTTACATTTTAAAATTGCATTTGTTTCCACATGAAAGCAATTTTCTCAGTTTGATGGTTTCACACGTCTATTTCAACAAACAAAGAACGAAAACGAAATGAATTAAGAAGTTAGTGCATTGCTAAATACTAAACTTTATCCTTACAAAGCGTAGGTGGACACAGCTCAGCTCAGCTCATAAGACAAACACTATCTAATGTTATAATTACGACTTAGGACTCTATACAAAAAGGTGCCATAAACTAAAACACACACAGACACACACGAAATTTTATGAGGTTTAGGACAACACAAAATAGGCATTTAAAACGAATTCTTTTCACTATGTTTTACTGTCTCTCAATCTGCAAAGATGCTGCTTCATCCTCGTCCCCAAATTATTGATGCTCATCTTAGATTAGGATTGCTAATATCATTTTAACTATTGTTTTCTCTTTTAATAACTCACGATTTACGCACAAATTGATTTATGGAGTCTTAATTTATTTCAAATGTAAGAAGCATGTAAATTAATCCTTGAAGCATAAAACCAATTGCCAAGTGAGAAAAAATAATCAGTAGTTTTAAGAGCGTAAACACAATATCTAAAAACTATTCTAGGCAATAAGAATTACGTTTAGTATGCATATATGGATATTCACACTTAACTTAACAACATTATTTCTTCTGTTAATTATTTCCCTTATTTGAGAACAAAACTGCTCCGCCCTTTCACTTCCAAACCAAACAAAACCAAATCGAAAGAAATCATTATATTTTTTCATTCACAACTTCACCACTGAAACGAAGAAAAACAGCGTATTATTTTTGTTCTCTTTAATTAATTACTTATGAACCCACTGTGAACAAACCGAACAATGTTTTCCCAAAAAAAAAAAGAAGTACTAAAACTTTCATCCAAAATCAAAAAACGAAGGAGAATAAGAAAAATGAACTCTAAACGCAAGACTTCCAACCAAAATGAAATTGAAAATATAAGGAAAAGAAAACTAAACTGAAAAACCAATATATATACACATATACTTTGTTTCTATGAAAACAATCGAATATGCTAAGTGCCTATACTAACTAATATGTAACATACGAGCAGGGTACAGACCGACCACTGAGCCAAGCACCAAGTGGCCCCATCCGCCCATCAAATTGCATCCAATCACACACCACACACACACAACTGCCTCTAGGACATAAACAGCTATCAATCAATCAATCTTTCAAGACATTCAATCACTCATTAGAATCCTGGCGAGGTCCAGGATCCGGATAGTTCGCTAGGGATGGTGGCCACACACAGATAGTATACCTTGCTCAGTGGTTCGTCGCGTACCCGCCACACAAAATGTATCTTTAAATAATTCATAGTTTATAGTTTGTATCTTCCCCCTCCAAATTGAAGAAAGACCCAAACTATAATATCCAACTAACCCCAACACTCAGACACATTTCTTTGGAAAGTTCTCAAATGATTTTGTTGTGCTCATCACTCACTGTCGGCTGCCAACACAAAAGAATACAAAATAACACACCACACACACACACTACACAAACTGTACAGTTGAACCTCAATAGGGCGGACTGCGACTGGGACTGCGGACTGTGCTTTAGGTGAATCAATGGGTGAGGGACACGGAAGGTGGTCAGAGTGGAGCCAATGGACTCGGCGGGCGGCGGCTCCGAAATCCCGGCAATGAGATGTGATATTATGCAATTGACAAATCATCAATTGTGTGCGACAAAAAACAAAAACAAATAAACGGGATGGGGTTGACTAATGCCCACCGAGATTGCAACGCCCACTCGACCATGAGACAGTCGACACTTGGACACTTGACCACGCTGTCCATCCAGACGCTCCGAGATCGAGAGACAGAGAGATAGAGAGTATAGGGAATAGGGAAAGTAAAAAAGGAACATTGTTGATGTTGAATAATTTTAAGGAATACAATAAATTAAATTAAATTGTTAAATTGTAAACCTCAGTTCTTAAGTTATTTATTTTTGTATACTTAAGCAGCGCATATGACACCTTGTTATATTTACAAAATAATACTATTGCAAGTTCAGCAGACATGCCACGCCCATAGAGCTATGTATTCCCCCCATTGCCACCACTCACCATATCTCCAGTCCCCGAAAACAAATCACTCAAAACACACACACAGCTTAGAATATCGTTCAGTTATTTTTCTCACACCATCCAAATATTTCGTATTATTTAACTTTATGGAATGCTCCTCACCAGAAACCACTGTACATACCCTTAGCTATAGATTGTTGGGGGCATTCCCCTCCTGATTTCACAGAATCATTCTCTTTGGCACTGCCATATCCCTTACATATTTTTGCGTTCGATATGATTCCTAAACTTTTTTCGACGGTCGGAGATCTTTTGAGTTGTTTATTTTATTTGCCTTGGGTTGAATTCACTCCCTTATTTTTTACTACCATAAACAACAAACAACGCTAAACAAAAAATGCTTACGCACATTGTTATCACTAGAAAAACAACAACAACAACAACAAAAACAAAACAAAAAACCTGTCTGTTAAAAAACAAAAATGAAAATATGTAATATGAATAACGAGAAGTACATGCATACATATATAAATATATATATAATCAATTTGTAATTGTACCGAAATTGATAACTGTAAAGTAACAAGAAGTTTATAAAATTGCATATGATTTAAACTATAAACTAACTATAAAGAAATACAATATCCCTCTATGCAGCAAGCGAAAGCAAGAAACCAACAGCAGTTATACATAATTGAATGTGTAATATGATGGCATACATATAAATAAAAATATTATAATAAAACAAAACGAAAAAAAAAATACAAACACTGAGAAACAACCAAAAAACTTGAAAAGCGTAATTCATTTTGTCTTTATAATAGGATAGTTAAGCCAGAACAATTTGTACGTAAAAACCAGACGATAGTGATGAATCACTAATGATGTTGATGAGGAGGCGGAAACCTGTACTCGTAACGACTTATTAGCGAAAAGTTTAAATAAAATTTATACTTGCGAGTTGAAAACAAAACAGAACACAAATACGGGCGGATCTTTTCATGAACACAGCCCTACTCGAACACACACACTTGTCACTTTTATTATACACTTGCGGAGTGTATTAAAAATTAGGTCAGAAGTTTGTAATGCAGCCAGACATTTTCGACCCTATAAAGTATATATATATATTCTTGATCAGCATCACTGTGCGAGTTGATATAGCCATGTCCGTCTATTCGTCTATTTCTATCAAGTCAAGTATGAAATCGTATTTATTTTTGTGAATTTTTTAAAATTGTATTTGTGATTTTTCCGGATTTTGGCCTTTTTTATAAGGGGTTAGTTCATTGTTTTTTGTAAAAAATCGACTAAAATAAAATTTTTTAGCTGTGAATGCCATTCGGTTGGAAATTTTATAACGAATTCAACGAAGTATCACATTCCAACATTTGACCATTATTTCCCAGGGTTTTGAACAAAAAACCGAAATAAAAGTATGTTTTTCCGGGTATTCTGGATTTTGTCATTTTTCATAAGGGGTTACTTCAAGTTTTTTTTGCCAAAATGGGCCTAAAATAAAATTTTTTAGCTGAGAATGCCAATCGATTGGAAATTTTATAACGAATTCAACATAGTATGACATTCCAATATTTGACCATTATTTCCCAGCGTTTTATTTAAAAAACTGAAGCTCTAAATGATTTTGTTTGAAATTTTGTAGGGCGTTTTTAATCTTAAAAATGAGTAATACTACCGCCATAAATTGATATCAGGAATTTTGAGGCTACTTCCTCTCATCAATATTCGTCGCCAAAATAAACGAAAAATATCCAACGTTCTTGGGCACTACAAAACATTTTCTTTAATTTTAATTTTGAAACTCTTCACTGATTTCTTAAAGATCAATCCCAAACCACTTTGACAAGTACGTTTGGGTACATAAATACTAAACGAGTAATACAATTTTTTTTATCCATTTTGCTTGGGCATCACAAAACATAGTAAATCATACAATATATAGTTAGACAAGGCATATATGTATATACACGCATCGTGGGGGTTACAATTAAAACAAGTATAATTAATTATTAATCGGAGCAAACATTTTGGTAAGGACTGTGTGGTGTATTGTGTTGTTTATATAAAACTTAACCAAGAACACTTGCGTTGTTAAGTATAAAGAGTTGATCTAAGCGGTATTGGAGTAACCCTAATTAATCGTAAGGCGCACTAGTAGATATAGTTCAGCTGCATTTCGGCCGCCAGCAGCGCATCCTGTGACTCCTTCTCCAGCTTCTTCTCGTCGTCCGTGGGTGTGGATTGTCCCGGATTGGGATTGGATTGCTTCTGGCAGGGTTTGGATTGCGATTGCGTTTCCGTCTCCGTATCGGTTTCGGGTTCTGTTTCCGCCTCCGCTGCAGCGGGGGATTCATCCTTGGCCACCTGGTCATTAACCACCTGGTTACTGTTCCGGCAGCGGGCTATCAGATCGCTGTAGGGACGGTCGTGAAGCAGGCATACCAACACCACGGTCATATTGTCGCCCCCGAGGCCGCCCATTTGGCAGTCGGGCGCCAGGCAGTGGTTCATCAGCTCCTCGCAGATCTCCTCCGGATGCATGCCCATGCCGATGCGCGTGCGACAGAACTCGAGCACTTCCGCATTGCTCATCACATCCCAAATGCCGTCGCAGGCCAACACGATGAATTCCCAGTCCTCCATGATCTTGCGCGTCTCCACGTCCGGGTAGGCTATATGTATAAAAAAACAAGGTGATAATGGATAATGCGAACAATGGACGCAACGGTGACTCTCACCTGTGACGATCTGATCTTCCGGCTTTTTGTTCGCCCGCTTGAAGACAAAGTCGCCGAGGGCCCGGGAGAGGGCAAGATTGCCGTTGACGCGATTGAACTCCACCCAGCCGCCGCCCTCGATGATCCGCTTGGACTCCGCCTCGTTGTTGGGCTTGTGGTCCAGCGACAGGATCTCCAGTTGGCCGTTCACGCAGGCAATGGCCCGTGAGTCTCCGGCATTCGCGCAGTACAGCTTGTTGTCTTTGACCAAGACCACCACGGCCGTGGAGCCGGCCATCTGGTCGCCCCATGCCTCATTGTTCAACATTGCGTAGTCTATGTCCAGAAAGCCCTGCAATTGCATCAGTTTCATGAGTAATGTGTAAGTGATGATATGCAAATATGGAATTCCCGCTTGACTACAAATTTACCTAGAAAATTAAATTAGAGAAAGATACAAATTTCTCAAAATAAGTACCTAAATATGTTCCTTCTTCACATTTGTTATCTTTAGATAGTTGTCAAATCTAATTATTAGATAAACCCAAGTGACGCAAAAAGTATGGCAAATGATTAACTAGGTGTTGATATACATAGGTACAAATGGTACCTTTCATTATATTGGACTCTTAAAAGGCACAAACGAGTACCTAAATGTTGATAAGGCTGAAGTAAAGGAGATAACTCCCATTAAAGCTAAAGCTTTATTACATCTACATATATTGCTTTTAATATGCAAGTAAAGAAAGGGCACTAAAACCCAATATCTCTGAATATATAGGAGTAGAATCTGATCATTCTATATGTTACTGCACATAATGAAAACAAAAAGAAAACAGAAATATTCCCATTATCAAGCCAATTAGCTGCCATCTCCGTTCTTGAAATGCCGCCCTTTCCTCCAGCAAAAAGTGATTATCCCGTGACTCACCTGCTGCAGTGCCTCTTCGATGTTGTCCACGTACTCCGGTCTCTTCAGCACGAACTTGTGCAGGTGCTTGCCGGCGTACTGGGCCACCGTGGCTCCTCCATGGCCGTCATACACGGCGAAGAAGGCCGCTCCCGGATCGTCCGGCAGGGAGAGGATGTGGGTGTGCGAGTCCTCCATGTTGATGCGCCATCCCTGCATGCAGCTGGAGCCCACGCGGAAGGCGGCGTTCTGGCAGTAGGAGGACTCCTTGGCGGTCACTGGTTCCGACAGCGTCTGGCCCATTGTTTGAGTGGTGTGTGTTGTGGTTCTCGGGAGGATGAGGGCGTGTTATCGATTTGCGTCGCTTTCCTGCGTGCAAGAAGAAGACGTACAAGCACTCGGGTTAAGTTAAGTTAAGTTAATTACGAAACTGACTACGGACTACTGACTACCGACTGCTGTCAACTTCAGATACGCGTGGGCCCTGGAGATTAGCATATCACAGAGAGACCCATACTCGTGTATATAAGCTGCGAGCAAACAGACGTGGAGATTTCAAGTTTCAGGGCCGGATCGCGATCCGGAACTTGGCTGTTGTTGGGGTTGGGGTTCGTACGGGGTCAAAGGGCAGGTGATAAATGGGAGTCGATAAGGCGAACGTTTAACGGCCCGCCAATCATGCGCTCCGTAATTAGTTGACACAGTTTGCAGCAGACCTGAACTTATGCAAAAAAAAAAAAAAGCAGGCCAAGAAGCGGAGAATGAGGCGGAGAAACGAGTCGGAGAAGTGGAGAAGTAGCGAGAGAGAGAGAGAGAGGGGGAGAGGAGGAGGAGGAGGAGCGCCGGATCAGCCGCAATTGCAATCCGCACGAGAAACCCACCTGGCGTGTTTTTGCTCGCCAAAAACAAACGACTCCGCATCAAAAAAAGTGTCCAGTAAAAAATTAAAAAAATTGTATTTGGTTTGTGCTCAGCAGTGTGAACGTGGACGGGCGATTGAAAAATTCCAACGGCTTTGTAAACGCTTAAAAGTTTAAAAAAGCTGACCACACTCATTTCGTTGATTCCAGTCTCGAATGGGTTGAGGTATTCGCTAGCCACAGCCCTGGTTGGGTGCGTGTCCATGCTGGCCTTGAAGTTTTCCAACACTTGTTAGTTTTGGCGCCTTGATTCGAATTTTCCTAACAATAACAATTTATATTCATTAATTGTACTATTTATTGACTGTCTTTTTTGGCTGCCCATTCATATTTATAATTCAAATATTTCTCGCAATTCCAATGCAAATGTCGTATTATGTGGCTTGCTGGCACCTTCCTTTTGCTTCTCAATTCGTTTATTTTTGTTTTTGTCGTCATCTTATCTGCTGTTTTTCTTTTCAGTTGGCGAGTGCATTGAATTTTGCGAATTTCGCTTTGGGTTTGCGGCAAATATACGATTTCAAGGACAAATGACGTCAGCTAAACACTTTTTGTTGCTCTCATATTGTTGTTGTTTGGGGAATTAAAGCTTGACTGGCATTCGCTGCCAACGCCTCTGCTTTCTATTTATTGTCTTCTCAGTCTTCTCTTTTACTTATTTTCTTGGATTCTTTTGTTTTGCGCTTTTGCCGAGCTAAAAAAAAATGTATTAAATATTTGCACAGCAGCAGCAAAAGCCACAGAGCAATTTTTGATAAAGAACTTGTGTATTTGGTTGGGGCTCTCCGTTCCACTCTCTCTTTTTTTCGCATTATCTTTGCCGCTCTCAAATTGTTTTGGCAAACAGAGTCAATCAGAAGTTTGTTGTCGAACTAGCGCTTTTCAACGGGGAGTAACCCACACAATTGCCACTTTGCTCCCATCTTCCATAAACGATACTGCATATAAAAATAATAAAATGTTGGACTTCACATTAAGATAAGATAAGATGGGATCCAAATTTCATAACAATTTCTTAATTTTCGAGTCTTGCTTGCCTTTCTTGAATATAGACTCTTAATTCTATTTAAAATCAGTTAAATTTGTACTAAAAAAAGTAGAAAGTAGTAGGAAGGCACATTAGAACTCATATCTTACGGACAAAAATAAAAAAATTAAAAAAAAAACAGCACATCTTTATCTCAGATCAAATTAATAATCTTTGACACTATCGAACTTGTTTTCAAACATGCCCGCAATTTTGTTCTGTGTATAATATCTCTGCCTTTCTTATCGTTGTGTTTGGTCATTGAAAGTGCAAGGCGTCGACGTCGCTGCACGCATTTTATTTCCCAACCTCCAGAACGCACATTTATTATGCATTTAACGTACCCCGCTGACGACTGCAACTATCGTCCACCCCCCTCCATGTCTCGCCCCTCCCCACGTCCGACCGCCCCTTTCTGCCATTTAAGATTCGCTTTCGCTTCCCCTTTTATTTCAGCGCACTCTGTAAAATTTCCATATTGTTTGTCAACTGGCGATTGCATCCAGGCTCGGCTTCTCGGTTTCTCGGTTTCGGTCCCTGAATCGGTCTCTAAATCGGAATCGGAGTTGGAGGCGATCAACAGCTCCGTATGCAGTCTGCATGCAAATGCTGCAGCTCTGCTTCCGAGCACACTGCGAATAATAATAAATAAATACTTATATCCTTGAGAATTAAATACTTAGTTTAGCTATAATATTAAGGATTATTAAAAAACGGGAAAGGAAGCTAGCTTAGGCAAGCCGAAGGTTTAATATTCTTACAGTCATACCGAAAATAGATAAAATGGCCATAAACCCGAAAAAATAGGTCAAAAACCTGGGAAAAAATGGTCAAATGTTAATATATCATACCTCGTTGATTTTGTCTTTAAATTTCCAATCGATTGGCATTCTCTCTTGAAAGAATTTATTTTTGTCCCATTTTGCAAAATATCATAGTGTTACCCCTTATGAAAAATGCGAAAATTGGCCAAAAAATAAAATTTACCAAATCCACCTGGAATCGATTGTATAGGTTGTCATCTGCACAAAACAGTCATTGTTTTGGCTGTGCGTCTTATTTTGGCAAATAAAAAACATTAAAAAATGTGTTTTAAAAATATGTTTTTGATGGCCAAAATCCATAAAAAAAAAGCTAATTTTTTCAGTTTTTTAATCAAAACTCTTGGCAATAGTGATCGTATCATGGAATGTCATACCTCGTTGGATTCTGTATAAAATTTCCAATCGATTGGGTATCTCAGCTCAAAAATTTTATTTTGGCCCAATTTTGGCCAAAAATCAAGTGTTACCCCTTATCAAAAATGCGAAAATCGGTCAAAAAATAAAATTTACCAAATCCACCTGGAATTGATTGTATAGGTTCTCAGCTGCACAAAACAGTCATTCTTTTGGCTGTGCGGCCTATTTTGGCAAAATTACAACTAAAAACCCTTAAAGAATGTGTTTTAATTATGAGTTTTAATGGCCAAAATCAAAAAGAAAAACAGCTCGATTTTTCAGTTTTTTAATGAAAACCCTTGGAAATAATGGTCAGATCTTGGAAAAAATAAAATTTTTCAAATCAAACCAAAATTGACTTAAACTAGTCCAAAGCTGCACAAAACAGTCATTCTCTTGGCCGTGCGTCTTATATTTGCTAATTTTGAACAAAAAACCTTAAATAACGTTAGTTTTTATGTCCATAAAAAGCTCAAAACCCTGGTAAATAATAGTTAAATGTTAAGATCCCATACCTCCTTGAATTCGCCTTAAAATTTTCAATCGATTTGGCCCTCACAGCTGAAAAGAATTAACTTTTATAAAAAATCCTGAAAAATCCTGAAATTGACAGACTAGGCTGCACAAAACAGTCATTCTTTTGGCTGTGCGTTTTTTGTATAGACTAAACTATTCGAATTCTTATATCTTATTTGAAGATTGAAGACCTGATACGTTTTTTTTTGAGTGCATGTTCCGTGCAGGGAAAGGAAGAGGGTGAGGGACAGGGTCGGGGGCCGGACAGAGCAGGGCCCACAGATATCGTCAGGCAGTTCAATCACATTGCACAAAAGTTCGAGGTCAGTTATAAAAATAAAATTATATTCCCTCGCTCGGCGCGCTCCCTCTTCTGTTTTTCAGTGAGCTCTTGGATGGGATTGGAATTGGATTGGGTTTTGTTTTACATTAATTTCTGTTTGAATGCGACAAAATGGGTTTCTTTGTCTTTGGCTGACTGGGCAGGATCAGGATAATGGATAATGGGGTTGCTGTACGCAGCTCCTGCTCCTGTTCCTGCTCCTGCTCCTGTTTTCTGGACCGCCATGGGATAGGCACAAAGGCCATTGTTCGGGGACATTGCGGGTCACTCGAGTGGAAGTAGGCCACTGGAGTTCTGTGTAACTTGAGCACCATCCGATCGGGATCGCCGATGCAATTGTGTAATGCGAGCCCGCCGCAGGGCATTGACTCCTGGCCCAAGGATAATGGGGGAACTTAGTCGCGAAACAGGAGCTGTACGGCAAATAACCCTTTGCAATCTGCATTTTATGTTATACCCATTTTATGGCTATCATATCTTTTTTTTAATAGAGCTTTAACAAATTTTAGTTCAAAATAAGCCTTTCTTCCTTTTAAAATTTGATTGTCCCCTTTCCTAGTGTGAAACAAAAAGTTATGCATTAAGGTGCTCTATTTTCATAACTTTAACTTCTAAAACCAGATTTCGAAGTAGAAATATAAACTATATATTATATAAAATTATATTATTATATATATTATATATTATATAAAACTATATTATAACTATTATAAGTTGTTGATTTCTTTTATTATTTAAAATTGTTATACGTCTGTACATTTGTGCCTGTTTTGGAGTCCTGATGTTAGTACTTAATGAAGGTATTACTTTCTGCAATATAATTGTAATTAGCCAACTCATGATAGGCTGAATATAGGGTTTGTTGCCCGTTTCATTGTTATTATGGAGCTCTTGCAGAATGGTGAGTTCTGTGCCCAAGTCCCTCTTCGCAATAAAATCCAAGGGTCTCATTTCCTATCAATGTCCGTTTCTAAGTCTGGCCAATGGCTAGTGTTTTTGCTTAAAAAACCCTGCCCCAGACAGTCGCTGACCGGTGGAATGCTGTTGAACTGAATTTCGGCTGGCCGTACCGCAATGAAATGAAATTTCGATCATTTCCAGAGAATTCATGCCACAGATTTTGGCGCGGCGCGACGGTCGCGGCCATGGCCGATCCTCAAAACAGACCGAAAGCCGAAAAACTGAAAAGCCAGGGCCAAACTAGTTTTGCGGGCTCCCCTCCGCCCCCCCCACACACTCGGGTGTCCCAACCCCAAGGATCCCAGACGCAGGTTCATTAACTTGTTTGCCCCGCCGCGTTGTGGCTGCCTTATTTTTTTGGGCCGTCGTCGTCGATGCTTTCCAGCATCCCAACATCCGCGACGAGACAATAATGATCTTCGCTGGAAACGCGAGCCCCTTCACCGGCACAGTGATCCTCCCCCCTCCTCGAAGATCCTCCTCGCCGGTGGTGATGGTGACTTAATTGCCGCACCCAAATGGCTGAGCTGGACTAGGGATTAGCACGAAAAGTATTCGACCCTCATGGTTCTGCTCGGTGTATTGTTTACAAGGAGAGTCCGGTGCAAATCCCTTTATGGTGCAAGATTTACAGCTCATGGAATCCATAGCAGAGCGAAGCTTTTAACTTTTAATAAATACTAATTTGGATACATATATTCATATTTAGTTAAGGCCAATTCCATTTCAAGGTCAAAAGTTGGATTAAACTTTAAATGAAATCGATATAGATTAGATTAGATATACATTTAGACTTATTATCACTAAAAACTACTAATGGATACTCAGTATTCGAAATCCTTAAATACAATATTTTTCTTAACATTTTTGCTTTCTTTGAACAAAACCAGTTTGAATTTTTATTGCGATCGAAATGCAGATGGTAGAACGGGCCAAGCCCTATGATCCTTGTGACATTTGCTCATTTTTCACTGTCGCAACTCAGTTGCCGATAAAGTGGAGCACATTGTACTAGCCTCTGATTAATATGAGTTGTGGCCAGATATCGCTGCAGCCTTGGCCGAAGTCGTTTACTTACTGAATCACTTGGCCTTCCACTGCTGGGACATTGGGATATGACTAAGAGTGCCCCGGCATGACTAAGCCAGCGATGGTGAAAGATGGTACCGCTGAGGAGTATATTCATATACTAGTATTCATAAACCGATCATTAAAGCAACTTTTGTCAGGTAACCATAGTAAATATCTTAATAACTTTCTTACATTTTGAAATTCCCATATAGCAAATAGCAAATTTTTATGTACGCAACATACGGACCAATTGTATTTATGAATCACTGTTGTCTTTATCAAATGTTTTTGAAACGAAATTCTTGGGGAAAACCCTTATTTTTTTAATGTGGAATTTAAAGATTGACTAAAAGATTGATGCTGTCCAAAAAAATGGGGAAATACTTTTGCAAAAAAAAATTACTAGGCTAAGCATGTTTTAAAACAATTATAAACTGATAAAATTGCGTTGCAAGAAATTTGCTTTAATAAAATTTTAAAATATTTGGATAGCATTTATTTTTTAAAACCGGTTATCATAGCATAGAAATTTCGAGTTTCTTAAAATGAAACAAACAAAAATTTCTCAAAACGGAAACCAACAAACTTTTTTTGTATCTTTTAATAAAAATGTAATCTTCTTTGATGAAAGTTAAATTTGATATGGGAGTGATTTAATACTTTAAAATATAACACAAATAGAAACAAAAATTCAAAATTAATTAACTGCGGAGAGTTTTCTGGGTGACGCTTTCTAGCAGTGTAGTGAGACACTCGAAGCGAGTGCATCGTTGGAGGATCGATCGCACATCCTTGGTGAAGCGCAGGGCATCCAGGAAGGGCAGTAAGTTGATCAAAGCCTGATCCCGACTGTCGATCCGATAGGATTTGATGTGTACAGCGTTTCCCGCATTGAAACTGCATTCCGTCCGTGAGTTATCCAATAGTAGGACATTCGATAAATCTGTGGAGGCCAGCGAAACGTACTTGGCCCTCAGTCCAAGAATATCGATGCAGTCATGGCGATATAATCGCCTATTCAGGATGCCCTTTCCCCTGTCCAAGAAGTCCAATATGGGCGATGCGTATATCTCAATTCCTGCTGTGAAAATGGTGAGGTCGTACCACTTGGACACGCGGTCTAGGAAGTAATCCAAATGGGGTCGCTTATAAACATAGAATGTGACATCGCTTTCCGGCAAGTAGAACTCAAAGTCGTGCGGCACACTAGGCGGTTTCTTTTGGTATTTACCCTTCCTAAGCGTTGTGATCATTGTTTCATCCATGTCTATCACTAGGGTCTTCTTGTCCACCAGACTCAGCCGGCTCTTGGAAACGGGTGTCAGCCGATCCTCACTTAAATAAATAACGGGTGTGTACTCCGCATAGATCTGGTAAATCTTCCCCAGACATAGACGCAATCGTGGAACCATCGCACAGATCATGCTCATCACCAAGCCCAGAGTGGCCACTCCAAAGAGGCTACATGGGTTTTGAATTAGGGATAGAAGATGGTAGGAATTGGCGTTCACTTACTAAATCATAAAGGAGTCACTTTTCAACAGCATCGCAGAGATTTTTCAAATTTGATCAACAGCTTTGAGTTATAAAAAAAAAACAAAATGAATAAAAGAACAAAGGGAACTGAACCAAACATTTAAAAAAATTAAACATTAAAATTTCCAAAACAAACACTTAAGGATAAAACGATCAACTGAAAAAAATCGATGGAATTCAAATGTAGAATGAGGCTCACATTTAAACAATCCCTCTTGCCTTGACAACTGAATATCTGATTGCTACCTGATTGATTAAGCACTGAAAATAAATGGTAATAACATCATATTTCTAATGTATTTCAATCGAAAGAAAGCGGTATGAAAGCTTTTAGTATAACATAAAGAATAAGAAACCAATCAATAACCCTACTATCTTTATGCGTATAAACTGTCATAAATTTGATGATGTCTAAATAGTAAAAAATACATTTATTTTTTGACTTAGCACTGAAAATGTATAAGTCTATTGACTTAAGATAAATAAAGTTCGATAACACATACAAATTTAACAGAAATGTTAAAGAACATATCCGCTGTTAAATAATTTATCATTAAATATTTGATCATACCGATAATCTGAATGGCAATAATCAACAGTCTATGATTCGTCGTCAATTGGTTACGTTAATCGTTAGTTAAACTGAATTAAAAGTAAATTATAATACAATTGGAGTTCCTAAAAATTCCACTGGCTAATTATTTTCAAAACATCTCAGTGCTTTCAAAATATTGCGTATACGTCGTGTTGAACAGCCCACACCGACTGGGGTCAAAAACGCCATCAATCAACTTCGACGCTCTGTATATGATTTTCTTCCTGCATGGATGTTATTAATCAAGTTATTGTCGATACTATATAATTTTCTGGCTGTGTGGATATTCGAAGAACTTGTCTGGCTTGCAATTCCACTTACAGTGGGTGTTAAACGATCGGGAGTGCGTACGTGTGGGGGTGTCTGTGTTTCGGAGGGGGAGGGGGAGGAGCGGCATAAACAGCCATGAAATGCAGTGCCAGCGATGACGCACAAAGAGGGTGGGAGGATCGGAACTGGACGCCGATGAACTGAGAGTGTATATATGTATGTATACTATATAGTATATACACTGACGGAAGTTCGCCGGCGATGTCACTCGTGTAAAATATTGCACTGGCCTTGGGAGCAGCACGCACAATGTGACTGCGCCGTCAAGACGATTAACAACACAAAAAGCAGCAGAATCAGACTGAGCTGAAAAAATAATAACAAAAACTGCAGCCACTGCATCTGTGGCCATGAAGCCGGCGGCGTCATCCAGCAGGAGCACCATATTGTGCGCATCTGGAGGTTGCCTGCACGCGATTGGGATGGAATGGTTAGGCAAAAAAATTAATTAAATATTTTCAAGCGGGTAACATTCTTTTTTGACAGATAAAATTCTTTAAAAATAATATTTACTCAGCAGTTCTTTAATATATTAATTCTCATATTTTTGGAACTATTAAATTTGGGATTATAAACTTGCACCATCATTAACATGCTATCGTAAGAAAAAATTTGTGTATTTTTCTGGGGACCTTCCTAGAGATTTAATACTCTTTTTTTATTATTTCAAGGATATATTCATAGGGTTTTTGAAATGAATACAAAAAAATGTATGCACTTTGTATGTTTATTATAGAGAATTGAAAGACGTGTGTCCCCAGACATATTTAAAGAAATTAACAGAAAATAATAAAAAATCATTTCCCAGACCTTACTTCTTGTAGCAATTAAAACTTTTAAAATATAGAATGTAGCAGAACTCTTCCCCAAACAAGGTCCACCCGAATGGTCATCCCACTCATTAGGTTTTTTCCTGCGGTTAGGATTCGAGATCCCGAGGCTTGCGTTTTTTGCGGTTGACTGTGGCGTCTGCTGGGTGTCAACATTTAACCGCATGTTGTGCTGCTGCCACAACTGCAATTCCCCAATTCTTGAAAAAGGGTGAAATTAACTTCTGAGTCGGTTGGAAAAAAGGAAGGATGGGGAGTTAGCACCCGCATCCAGGCACATGTTCTGTATTTCTTGTCGTGCGACATTCGTACAGTCGCCGAGTCAATCAGACCGGAAAATATGCACAAATTCCTATGTCTTTTGTCATTTAGCAAGTAAATTGTGACTACTTTGTTGTAATTTCTGATTCCAGATTGCAGTTAATCGAACAACAGTTGGTACGAAGAGAAATAACAGAAGCACTTATTAAAAAAAACAGATAAAACAATGAGGAAACACAAAAACAAAAAATAAGAATAATTCAACAATAAATGAATTCCCCATTAAATATCTTAAATATTACATTTTCTTATTTAATAAGTAATAGATAATACATTACAGATTACATTTTCCTGATTACAAACATTTTACGTTTTTTGTAAATTTCATTCGCAAATTAAACGTGGCTTTTTACGGTGTACGGTTATCACCTTGCTTATCTCAATTCGCGATTGCCTGAACCTGTAAACGCAATTTTGGCAACCAGCTTTTTGGATAACACATTTGACGTGTGTTAAATTAGCATTAAACAATAATTCTGTGGCTGTTTTTTTTCGGCTTAGCCGATGTTTTTGTGGTTGCTGCTGTTGTTGTGGTGAATGCAAAATAAATTGCGCATAAAGTTTAATCACTTTGACTTTGCACAGCACACACAAGCAACGCCGAAAAAATAAAAACCCATAACAAAAGATTCTTCACACATACAAAAATAACGAATACAATATCGGCAGCAGCAGCACAAACAGAAACAGCAACAACAAGCTCAGTGGACAGTGCAAAATAAGTATTAAAAAAAAAAAAATAATAAAAAATAAAAAATACACAAGGCGAAGGCGACGATGGCAACAAGCAGAGCGAACGAGATGGAAACAGAGTCAACAACCTTAGTGCATTACTCACTTTTAAAGACCGTGTGTGTCCTTCAACAAAAACTTTATCTCCGTCCCTCACTCGCTCGGTATCCCCCTCTATCTTTCTCTCTCTCTTTCCCATTGGCTGCTAGCTTCGTTTTTTACATTTTATAATTAAACAATTTTGCAGTAGTACCGCCCGCACCCTCTGACCCCCTTGTTCCTACTCCCTCCGTCATCTTTTTCTGGACAAACAGAAACCCGAAAAAGTAAATCTTGCTGCACAGAAAGAAATAAGATTAATAGTACTTTTTTCCAAAATAGATTTTTTGAACTCTAGTTCTTTATTACTTATTCAAATCCTTTTTCTTAAAATCTTAATATCTTCTATTTTTATTAGTCTATTAGTTTATTTTAAAGTCTTTTACCCTGGAATTGATTATTAACTGTCGACAAAGAATTAATTAAGTTTTTGCATCATTTTGATACTTAAAATGCCTTACGAATTTATTTTAATGATAAATTAAATTAAACTGCATAATTAAAAAAGAAGTTAATGGTGCTGAAAGTGTCAATTTGAAAGGCATAAAATAAACTTTTGATTTAATTTGAATAAATTCAGATAATCCCCATCATTTATTTTTTTGCGTGCCGTTGTTTTTGATATTTTCTTCTTGTTCTTGTTCCTGAAGCTTTGCACAAGTGTGCAGAAGACAGTCTTCTATCTCCACTTTATCGATGGGTCTTCGGAAACTTTGTCGATTCCGCTGCTGCGCATTTTGGCGAGATGCGAGATGAATAAACTGTTGTACGCTTGCGTGACCTGTTCGCCGTCCCACTTGCTCCTCCTTTACTCTCCTTTAGAACCCCCCGCCCCCCCATTATAAACAAAATAAAAGAGACCGAGCTACTGCCACATCCGCCCTTCATGCGTGTGCGTCTTTTTGTGCGGTTAATGTCATTGACTGCAATTTGTTAGCAAAATATTTCAACTGATAAATAAAATCTACACGATGCCAATGAACTCGACTCTCTACAATCGCCATCCGAAAGCCAAAACAACCCGAAATTGCAATTTTCCCCCAATTGCAGAGCAACTTAGTAGGCGTGTGCAAGAGAGATAGCAATCGCACTTTTACAGGATCAGAGGCGCAATCTAGTTCTTTTTTTTGGGAATTACAGTTTTTTAACTCTTCAACTTCAGAAAAAGTCCCTTATAAGAAATATGCGAATTCTTCAGACAGACAAAATATAATAAAACATCCTTAAACCATAAAATAAACTTTGTTTTAAGTCACAACTTTTCCATTTTAACATAATTCAATTTAACATATGATATCGAGAAAATAACATGCCAATTAATAAAAAAAAGGTCATTGAAACAAGGACCTAATTAAAAAGGGATTACATTGCATCACTGAATAGTGATAATTAGTTTTATCTCTTCTTATAAGTTTTTATTAAGATCAGAGCTCTACACAGTCCGATTTATGAAGAATATGGTCTTAAGTTAAAAACTTTAAGATTTTTTAGTTTGTCAAAACCCCTTCCGAAAAATGTTTTTTTTTTTATCCGCCCCTGCCTAAGAGCACAGGTTGGCAATGCCATAAACAAAGAATTCCTTTTGTTTGTTGATTCGATTTCTGTTCTGCGTTCTTTATTTTTCGCAAATTGTATTTTTATTTTTAAATAAACAAGCCGGGTTCATTGCATTCGCCAGAATAAGAATATAACAAATATACGACACGAAAAGCACTCGACAATCAACAAAAGGCGCAAAAAACAGGAACGTCGACTGATATACATGGCGTATAATTAACGGCTGCGCGTGTGTGGAGAGTTCAAGTTAATTTATCAATTCTTTCTTTTTCGGGACTTAACAATGCTTGCATTTAAGTAGGCAGAGTGGCAGCCAAGTCATAATTCCATTGGTGTATATATAGAATCAATCAACTGATTAATTGCAGCTGTGCAATCTTGGAATTTTCGGCAAACATTAACTTTATGCCTTGTGACATAATTTACTTGTAGTATTAAAGGTATTCATTATGTATTTTCCAACAAGAAAATAAAATAAGGTGACAAAGTAGGATGACAAATACTTTCTGGAAACTGCAGCAGATTATTACTTCTGATGCGAAGTGGAATTCGTATTCAAAATTCAATTTTATGATTCCTTTTACTTAAGTCAAATGCATTTTTTTTAGTTATACCCTAATAGGATTTTCGGAATACCTATATTATTATAAAAACCCCTCCCCTCAAGTGTGAAC